TAAATTAAGCCCAGTATTCTCGTTTCTCTCCCACAGCTCCCTGATTGCGCCACTCGACTGGTACTTCTTTAAACGCCCGGATCCTCTCATACTTTGTCATGTGCATTGGATTGTGCTGCTGACGTTGCAAAGAGTGCTGTCCTTTGTAACTCCACACTATGTTCAAGTGGGTGACGGTATCAAAGTCTGCACCCGGCAAGGTTAAACATAGTTGCTGCAGAGTGACAGAAGCTGATCACACTCACTGCATATTTTCTGTCTTGTCGACTACTACGACCCCCACCTTTTCATTTCCTCTGTTCATTTGTTGTCTTTTCTTGCGCCATTAGCATCATAAGCAACCTCAACACAGGTCGCTGAAATACAAGTCTGCTGCTAATGTATAAACTGTCGCTGAACTACCTTTTTCGCTCATCAGAAATGAACGAAAACTACTGTTCTTCTGCTGACTGTCAGAACGTAGGACTTTTACTGGCGTTGCTGGCTTTTGGACACCTGTGATGTAACAAAGAAAGCACCTGGTATGCATAAACTCTGACTGATGATGGGGCAAATCGCTTTGTTCTCATCGCTGTATCCATACCGTGTAGCATACTGCCGCACGGTGTGTTTTTAGACTGCGTATACTGCATATGTAAAGTAGAGTTGTACGATTGCTTATGAGAGACCCTATTTCCCCTATTCCTTTCAAGAGGAACGTGCTACACAGACATTATATAGACCGAAACATTTCTAAAAGGGGGAGGAGACGAACAATTTGCTTCTTCTGCGTATTTTGTTTCCATTAATTATATTGGAGCAGAATAAAGTTCTATTATTGAAATTTGGACAGAAGAGAGAGAGAGAGAGACAGAAACTATAAAGAAAGGGAGGAAGGGAAAATATAAGAATGTGTGTGTGTGTGTGTGTGTGTGTGCAAAGGAAAGACAAGAGGAGTGGTATCAAAAGAGTACAATGTTTCTTTGTTGTTGTTGTTGTTGTTGCTGCTGTTGTTTGGAGTGAATATGTTTACGAGAGGATGGTGTGTGTTTGATGCGTTATGCGATGCGTATGCGTGTGCTGTTTTTTAGTAAAGAAGTCCATAAATGAACATGAAAGAAGTAACACATGCAACACCAAATGCTACTCCAAGACCGCCAAAGTAATGTGACAATAGCCTGTTGCCAGCATCATAGAAGCACGTTGGGCAATAGTCGGCTATACCAAACAAAAAAAAAATCATCAATTGTGTGTGTGTGAGAGCCCTTTTTTCCCTTTCGTAGCTATTTAAACCACTTCGCAATCCAATTCTCCCAGAATAATCAAGGCAGGGATACTTACTTCCAGTCAAGGGTCGATAGGACTCTGGATTGTAAAAGGCAATGGTCAAACGGGTAGCGGGAGCCATATAACCGGGTTCGGCATGCGCGGAGACACCACGCTGATCGTAGAGTTGGATCTGATACATGCCGTTGAACAATGGGGTTTCTGCAGGCACGTCCGAGAGGTGCCAAACAGCGCTGGTTTCTGCACCGCCCATTTGAGTGATTGTGTAAGTAGCCGACTGAGGGCCGACGGCAGCCAAGGTCAAGTTGACAGGTTGTACCTTCAAGGACTCGAATTCCCAACGGAAAGTGACGTTTTCTCGCGAGTCGATGCGGTAGAGGGGCGAGACTGATTTGCTGCCTGTGGGTTCCAAAAACGATACCATGCCGGGATAGATGGTGTTGCCGAATGAGCCTGTGGTGGGTAAGCCCGAGAGAGGGTTGTTGCTACCGCCTGACGCTACGCTTTGATTGCCCTGGGGTTGTTGACTTCCAGCGACCGTATTCGGTGGTGCAGCACCACCACCCGACGAGCCTCCGGCTGCTGGTGCAGATGTAGGTTCAGCTGGTGCGGGTGAGGCATTGTCGGATTCGGCAGGTTGTTGTCCTAAATTAGAGACAGGTCAAGAGATTCAGTAACTTTTTCTCTCGAATTTTAAACTTTTTTTTCGTCATTGAAGGTGTGGATTGTTGTTGTTGTTTACCTGGGTCTTGAGGCACTAAAATAATAAAAAGAAACACACACACACACACACACACGCGTGCGCGCGATTCCAGATTAATATTCGATCCAGGTCATTTCCAGGAGAAAGCAGGGAGGGGGGAATCGTCATCCTGGGCTGAACAAAGAAAAGAATTACCTCGCTTCTCGAATTCGACGGCAGACACGGTCAGTACAGATAATAGACATGCGATCAAGAAGAACAATCGAAGCTGACGAAGCATGGTTGAAATGGTGTGTTTGTTTAAAAGGAAGAAAGAGAGAAAAAAAAAAGGCGGAGAGTGGAGAGCTTTCAACTATGTTAATGTTTTTTTTTGGAATCCTCTCCTCCTTTTCCAGGCATGCGATGATAAAAATAGCAAAATAACACACACACACTTTTTTTTTTTTTTTGCTTGACTATGGCGAAAGTGGAAGAGTTCACAACCTGTGCTGCTTAAGAAAAAAAATGCTTAAAATATAAAATAAGCATGTCGGCTGCAGCTTCATGATACATTATGTGGGGCAGTAGAAGGCTCTCTCTCATTCTCTCTTTCGCTCTCCCTGCAAAATGGATCCTTGACCAGCTAAACAGGCTGGGCCAAATCAAAGCTCGGTCGGTCGTGAAACTATTTCTGTCTCCGGACTGGAATTCTCGACCGTCCCGTTCCCATAACTCTAAAGTGATCAACCTCTTCTCCTCCAACGTGCTTATACAGAAACTACCATCATCACCACTTACTGAGAGAATAGATACAATGGCTTTTATATGTGTGTATCAGTTGCTGTGTGCAGCTATTATATTAGTAACGTTTTTCAAGGAGGTGTGCTTATGAAATTTTCATATTGACTCTAATTCTAAATTGCTATACTACCTGCTCCTTTCTTGTCATATACTACATTTACACTATCTGAAGGTATTATTATTATTGTTGTTGCTTGTACAATCAAGGTCTGCAGGAAAGCAAAGGTGTTGTCATCAGCATCCTTTGCTGTCAGCCATTTTACTCGTTGTCATGATAGTGGATGTACACAGCTTTGGGGATATGAGAGTGATGAACCCGGTACATTACTCGAATGATTATTTACACCGCCTATTCCACTCCGATGGACGATCATCCTTTCATTCAAACGTAATCGGCAGTGCAGCTGGACAAACATTAAACCCCGCTCGTTATTAACAGGTCGTCATGCCTGTGCTTTTGAATACATAGTGCGTACTAAGCAATAAGCGAGAGTTTTCATGTCAGTAATCAATACAATTCTCGGTAAAAATGTCTAATCTTTGATCAGCAGTAGGAGGGCTAGAGTGTTTGTTTGACATTCAATATAAAAAAGCAACCTGTGCCAGAAAAAGCCCGGTAATGATGTAGACATCATGCAACCAATAATATGATTGGTTTACAACGCCATCTGTCTGCATGAATTTCTAACCAACATATAAATAAAAAACCCACGCAGTAGTGTATTTTTTCTCATCCGCAATTCATTCTTCTTCTTGCAAAGTTTAATATCCATCGATTATGAGCCAGAAATACAAGGTGACAATGGAAACTGTCGAGGACACGGGTGAACCCATGATACGAGACGGCAGCAAGCCCACATTTGATCTCGACGTACTCGGTCATCCATCGCACGACGCAAGAGCTCCTTCTGAGGAAGAGAACCTTAGCTGGGTAAATAAGTGCGAGTAAAGACACATACATAGAACAGTCTGCTCACGGAATAACAAAATCTGGTCTCTTATGTACTGTTCCGCATATTATAAAAAACAGAAAGAGGTGGATAAGATGGAAGAAAAAGCACGTCAGGAGCGACAAAACAGTCAAGACGAGCAAAACAATGCGCATGAAACGGCACAAATGGTTGATGACTTTATCCGCTATCGAAAATAGTTAGCGAAAATACAAAAAAAAAAAAAAAAAAAGTATCTGAATAAAGTGTATATTTTCGAAGCGAAATGTTATATGAAGAAGACAAAAAGGAGAGACTATTAGAGTGGTTTCTAGTAGCAGTAGCTGTATGTAGTCTTTTGGGATGATTTTGGTTCTTTACAATTTATGGTACTGTAATGGTGAAAAGACAAGCATAAAAAGTTAGCAGCTAGCAAGTAATAGCTCTGTTCTCTATCTCTTTCTTTACCTTTATTTTTTGCCCAGCTCTTCTTTAACGTCGTCGTCGTCGTCGTCGTCGTCATCGGATTCTTCTTGGTTATACTGTGACAATACACGACCCATCGCCTTAAATTCAAACGAAAGCGCCTGTTGTCCTTGTTCAATCATTTGCTCGGTCATTCGGAACAGGCGACAAAACTGTTCGTCCTGTTCCCACTCATCGTCTGACAGATCGGTCTTTTCTACAGGCAAAGGCAGTGGTGGTGGCGGTCCAATAGGATGTTGTCCACTGATTTGGGTGTTGGTAGGGAGGTCACCCTTATGTATCGCACGATGTTTCCCTCCTCTCTCTCTCTCTCTCTTTTTTGTCTATACCGTCAGACCTTTTGTGGGGACCGGTTGATGAATTTTACCTTATTTGACTTTTCATTTTTGCAACTTCGGATGCTTGCTTACGTACAGTGGCCTCTAGCATGGAATTGACAGCGAGCAAGGATCGATTCGATATTTCCAAGTCGGCAATCTATTATTGCACACGTTTGTGCCATTAGATTTCTTTAACATTGCCTCGATTTCTTTTTTTGAAATAACTTTCTTTACCTTTCTATTGACCCGAGCTTCATTGACTTCTTCATCTTCTTCTTCTTCATCATCATCATCACTTGGATCTTGACCAAGATCATTTTCTTGATCGGAAAGCTCATCCGGACTTTCTTCATGGATGTTTGAGCTACTGGCACTAAGGATCGATTCATCAGGTTTGGCAATAGCACCGGCAACGTTCCGAACCGTACTGGTAGCACGCGATGAGGATGATGACGGTGATGTTGGTTGCTGTTGTGGACGACGCGGTGAATGTTGCTGTGACACCAGACCAGCAGGAGGTACAGCAAGTGTTTTGGCGCGCGAGGGGGGTTTGTATATTTCAAAGTGTGGGCGTGTTGTTGATGCATGTACTGATGATGAGGATGAGTTTGTTGAGGTAGAAGAAATACTGTGGAAGGGCAATTGTTGATGGTGGGGTGGTGGTGGGGAGGGTGGTAAAACTGTTGCTGTTGGCGAAGAAGAAGAAGAAGATGATGATGATGATGATGCAGCAGCAGTAATATGAGTGGAGCCAGGGGAAGAAATAGGGGCTCGTCTACTCGAAGAAGTGTCTATTATGCTGAATGTTTTTGAAGAGCGTGGCTGTTGTTGTTGATGTTGTGGCGGAGAAGGTGGATGATAAATGTTCAATGCAGGTTTATGATGAGACAGATTGACGGTATCATGGACTTTGGTAGTAGAAGTGACTCGAGGAGCTTTATGGAAACGCGGTTGTTGATTCTGCTGCTGCTGGCTATATTGGTGAGTACTGCTATTGTGGCTGTTGCCGTAGTGGTGGTGGTGATTATTTTGCTGTTGTTGTTGTTGTTGTTGTTGTTGCTGATAGTATGTTGTAGGTGGAGCGCTTACAAAACTGGCTTGGGAAGATGACGATACCCGTGATGTCGGTTTTTGTGGCATAAAGCTATGAGACGGCCGTACAATATTGACAGCTTTGGGTGGTGCAGTTTCTTTCGCCATGACTTTTTCTTTTTGGTTCGAAATTTCGATAGTGTGTTCCGGTTGTTAAGTTGATTGAGGGGAGGATACAGTATAAAGCTTGTATATCAAGTTGGGGTAGTAGGAATGGTATAGAGGCGAGCACCGAGAAAAAAAAAAGGAGAAAAAGGGAGAAAGAAAAGATGTATTAAAAGATGAAAGCGAAATGAGACTAGTTTATACCAATGGTAAAGGATTCATTGGGATTATAACAATGAAGTAGTGGTTTATAACAGTTTTCTATAGAAAAAAAGTCACCCCTTGTTTGCTCTCTGCCCACACTTTTTGCCCCGAGAGCGAGAGATGGAAGAGAGAGAGGCAAGAAAATCTTTCGATATAAGAAATTGGGGTGACACAAGGTTTCTACCTTTGGTGGCTGTAGATCCCCGGACCGCATTGGATTCCTTTTCTACAGATGTATGTTTGTGTGTGTGTGTATGTACAGTATAGTAATAATGATGGTAGTAGTAGTAGTAGTAGTAGTAGTAGTAGAGCTTTTGTTCAGGATAGTATAGGTAGTAGTGTTTCCCTTCTTTTGTACTATGCTCTTCAAACCAACTTTTCAATGCTCTGTAGAACCAATTTCGCAAAAATCCTCCAACAGTCGAATGACTTGTGCTTTGGATATATTGGACATCAACTGCATAGAAAGAAAACAACACCTCGACGTTAGCTGGGAGAAATCGCGGACGAAAACATTTCAATTACCTTGAGTTTGTTTTGGGAGATATCGATATAAGCGATAGGCGTTCCTATCCTCGTTAACCGAAGTGCTCCTAATTGCAGTCTCATGCTGTTGTGTACTTGTGTCTGGATGGCGTCGAGCAGGGATATATTGCTTGCCCTGATACTAATAAAAGGAGGCATGAATATACCACATCCTTGCTTGCTGTGTGAGATCAACTAAGAGAGAGAGGTTTAAAAAAACTTTACACTGCAAAGATGTTCATAATGTCTGGGACGCTCATTGCAATATTAATGGTAGAAAGGTCTCTGGTTCCGGATACTGTGAGTTCAAGCTCTAGTTTTGAATTCCTTGCTGCGATATTTTTGTTCGCAACTAAAAAGAAAAGGCTCAATTACTCTCTTTCACATTCCATCACCTTAGCATTATATTCTTTCTTACCTATGATACGTTCGTTTTCGCTTGGAGGAAGATCAAACAATTGGCCGGCCCACCATTCAGTGATATTGCTCAGTATATTAGGCGTTAGATTGAGTAGTCTGACATGGCAATCCAGCGAACGCTCAAGCCATGTCTGAATCTCCAACCACACAATACGGGTTGCTCGTACAAGTAACAGTGGATAAGAGCAGAATACTAACACACACACAAACATCAAAACTTGAATTAACGATGCCCTTTTCCTTTCCATCCTTCCCACTTACGATCACTGTTTTCTGGCTGTTCTTTGTTTGGAAGCATAATGACTGAACCTCCAATCTCTTTTTGAAGGCGATCCATCTTGATCCTGACAACAATCTCAATCGGTGTAAATGCTAAATATAAAAAAAGGTGGGTTGAGTGTGTGAGCTTTGTTTTACACTTGTTTTGGTCTTGAGGCATTGACATACGAGAATCCCATTGTTCGATTGGACATGTGTTGAACTGTACGCTTAATATTTGACCCTTTGATCTTGTTGGCTGTTGATACTTGGACGTAGAGGATTGAGTCGTTTCACGTTCCTTGGGCAAGCGTAATTGTAAATTCGAGCACAATGCCACTTTGAGTGAGTCTTCGCTTTTTTTTCGTGCTCGTCTTTCAGTTTGGAATGCATGGAATAATGTTGCTTGGTAGGTGTCGAATGTTTTATCGACGAGTTTCGCTAAATGCAAAAGAAATTTTAAAAGTTTTAATTTGTTTTTTTGCAATAAATATCAAGTGAAAATCCCCACCGTCGAAACAAAAAAGAAGGGGGGGGGTAAACAGTTCCTTTCATGAATGGTGCAACTGTACCATACCTAATCCCGTTTCTTCATTGTCTTCCGTTTGCCGTTGAATGCGGGTGCTCATTTTTTGTTTGAAAGAAAAGAAACGCGCTTGCTGATGCACAAAAGTAGGAAATTTTGGGAAACGCGTTGTTGCGCCGCTCCGCTTTCTTCGTACCTGAAGCAACATTAAGCAACTCTTTAAAGGCGCGTAAAATTGATAGCTGCGATAACGCGGTTGTTTATACGCAATTATAGGCCTACTGCTAGCTACCAAATCAGCTTTTATTTGAGGTTACATTTTACAGATACAAGCGGTTAAATGATACGTTTGATTATACGTATTAAAACACACTTAGCAGATTGACGTTGGGGCGAACACAATATTACGAGCGTAGTTATTGAGAAAACTAAGATAATCATTACTATTTATGCTGATGACAGTGCTAATAGTAATGATATTACATATTTAGTGACCTCAGCCTGTATATATTTTAACAGATGATAGCGCTTCCTTCAGAGAACGCTGCACATTTCAAAAAGCTAAACTTTGCGCGTATATCATGTATAACTTTGGATGAGAAGTTTAAGAGCAACGTGTTGCGCTAACCGTAATACAACTACAGCTTTCGCTCAAGTGTGAATTGGGGAAAGGTAGCACATCTCGACTGGTTCAAATGAAACCAACGAAAAAGAACCGGTTCTCCGACTGTCCCTGTTTCTGTCCACACATTTCGGAATATGCACAAACAATCGTCAAGTCCGATGTTGAAAACATCCCACTGAAATTGACAGACGTCGGCACGGCTATTTATCCAACCAACCAATTCCGTCGGTCCGAGTGGGACGAGAGACATGTTTCCTTTGACAGGGACGGAATAATCTGATCCTGTCTGTGTGTCCATAATCGACCCTACTAATGACTTGATGGGGGCATCAAGGGCACAAAAAAGTGGGTCCTTTTGAAAAGTGATCGTGATGTACTACCACAAGTTGCTTTTTAGCGGGAAGGGTCCAGTTTTTTCGCAAAGCGACCCGGCCGAGTAACATGAAACAATAAGCGCTCTATGTCAAATTCCAGTCTTTCCATTTTTTTGGCACGCTGCCCGTTGTGGGGGGTGTGTTGTATTCAACCCGTTGGATTTCTGAGCCGAAAGAAGTGCAATAGCAAAACATGAGATTGTCTTAGCGTCCGTTCTTACCACACACACACAAACACTTTTTTGTGTTTATAGGTGGAAAGAGGACCGGTGAATTGCATATTTGTTATATTATATCTGTGAAAGAAAAGAAGAAAAAAAAAAGAAAAAAAGGCCGTTGCTATGGTAACCTAGCTTACTGGAACTGTATCTTCCTTTGAAGACCCCGCAAAAAAGTTAGACTTTGTTCATTCTTTTTTTTTCTCTCTTCTTTTCTGTTTCCTTTTTGTTTTCCACCATTCTTGTCACGAGAAAATCACCTTGTCACGAGAGAATTACTACAACAAGCGCATTGACGCAAATAAAACAGCAAGCAAGAGAAAGAAAGAAAGAAAAAAGCCTCATTCCAAACCCATTGCATCTGGGGAAAACGCTTTCCGCAACAAAAAAGAAAAAGAACCCTTCTCTTCTTTCTCTCTCCCCACTCCCTTCCTCTCTCTCTCTCTCTCTCTCTCTCTCACACTCTCTCTCTTCTTCCTTCTTTCTCCATTCTCGCCCCTCCTCCTCCTCCTTCTTTCTTTATTTTCAACCATAATATAACGTCGTCAAAATTCCATTACGACTTATATCCACCGTTGCCTCAATCTTTTTGAGGCGACCGCCGTCGAGTACGACGACGACGACGACGCACCGTGAACGACAAGTCAATGACGCTAACGAACCGAGGCAACATTCTACCATTACCTTTCGTTCGTCTGTAACACTTTACGGTTTTGGAACCGGCGGCAGCAAAAAGTCGACCAGTCTTGATGATGCAGCCACGACCAGCACTTCGAGTGAAGACGAAAATTCATTGTCTCAGTTGCTTGTGGAATGGCAGAATCGTACACCTCGTTTTGAACCAAACCCTGACCTGGGCATTCAGGATTTTGATTTACTCGAAACGCTTGGTACGTTTGTTTGCTTTTTTTTTTCTTCTTTGTCTTTGTGGGGGGGTTTTTTCTTTTCTATTCTATATCCATATTCTACATCTATCTACGCTTCTGCATTCTCTTCAGGAGAGTGAAAGAGAGAGAGAGAGAGATATTAAAGACATGGATGAAGAGAGTGCGAGAAGGGGAGGGACGTGAAGGGGGGCTGAGTGTGATAGAGTAGAAGAGGCCGTTCATTGCGAGAGCGAGAGCGATGGTTCTACGCATCCCAATGCCACAGGTTCTCGTGTTGTATACGGGTAAAAGAGGATCCCTGACCCTTTTCCACCCAATTTTTTTAGGAACGGGTACCTTTGGTCGCGTGTACCTGGCCAAACAGAAAGAACCCAACACCTATTATGCAATCAAGGTGTTGAAGAAGGCCGAAATTGTACGGTTAAAACAGGTTGAGCACATCAACAGTGAACGACAAGTGCTTTGCCAAGTGAATTTCCCGTTCATTGTCCAACTGTAAGTTTATTTTTAACCTTGTGGGCTTCGTCAATCCCGTACTACGCGTGGTGTGTACATGGACCCAGAAAAAAAAAGATCCTAATATACGCTGTCTGTCTGTCTGTATGTATGTATGTATGACTATTGCTGTATGCTAAATGGCTGTATTCATGCAGGTGCTGCACGTTTCAGGACAACCATAGTCTGTACATGGTACAGGAGTATGTGATCGGTGGAGAACTGTTTCGACATCTTCGACGGGCCGGCCGATTTTCTAGCCAGACAACACAGTTTTACGCAGCAGAAATTGTGCTTGCTATAGAGTAAGTCCCCTCTTTCTTCAAGAAATTGGTGTACAAGAAACAACAACTTATCTTTTTTCTTTACGTGTGAAATAGATATCTGCATTGTAAAGATATCATTTATCGTGATCTCAAACCCGAAAACATACTTCTTGATACGCAAGGGCATATCCGGATCACTGATTTTGGCTTTGCTAAAAAGATCGAGGACCGGTAAGTTTTTTTTTTTTCAAAACAACAAACAGAAAGGGCCTCAATGAACAATGTATTGAATTTTTAAAAAAAAGGACATGGACGCTGTGCGGAACACCCGAGTATTTGGCACCAGAGATCATCCAAAGTAAAGGCCACGGCAAACCTGTGGATTGGTGGGCACTTGGGATTTTAATCTTTGAGATGTTGGCCGGATACCCACCGTTCTATGACGACACGCATGTCGGCACCTACGAGCGTATTTTGGCAGGCAAGGTGCGATGTCCACGACACTTTGATAGCGCAGCCAAAGATCTTGTCAAGAGCCTCCTTGTGGTCGATCGGACCCGGCGGCTAGGCAATTTGCGTGGAGGAGCGCAAGATATCATGAACCATCGGTTTTTCCGTGGCACCGATTGGCGGGGGCTACTGAACAGGACGGTGCGGGTAAAGTGATCCCTTGTAATAATAATACCTTCCGCCCCCCTTAAAGCACACGGCAGTGTAGAAAACCTGGGGCCCCGCTGAGAGGGGTCAAGTCACAGTAATAATAGTTTGATTCATGCTTGGATTATTATTTTTTGTTTTTGTTATAGGCACCCCTTGTTCCTGCGCATGCCAACGAACATGACACGAGCAACTTTGAAAAGTACCCTGCTGAGAAACAGCACCATCATCCAGAAGGCGATCCGTATCGTCATCTCTTTACCAGCTTTTAAATTATTCTCTCTATTTCTAACTCTAGACCCTCTCGTCATATTGTCTTTGTTTTTCTCTTTCCACTTCGTACAAAACACACACACACACACACACAAATTCGCTCTCTTCTTTACTTAGATGTTAATATCCTAATCCCCTTTCCTTCTTTCTCCTTCACCCACTTCACTGCCATTACAACAACTCCAACCCGCTCTGTGTAACCATTTCTTTTGCCGACCGCTCACACACGTTCTCTTTTTTTTTTTGCCATGTGCCACTCCTACCTAAAATATACAAATTTGTTTGGGACGCAAAAACTATATCCCACTATTCAACAACAAGAAGGGGCGTTCTATTTACTCGGGTAAACAATGTTTCGTGTTGTAATGCAGATGTGAGGAACCCCAACAGCTTGGTCAAAAGTATATAATGAATTGCATCATCGATCTTTTATGATCACGAAACGGTAGTGTATATCAAATCACGCGTAATCACATTCATCGATCCGCTTTTCTGGACCCCGTGATTGCAGATATATCTAACGTGTGTATTGCTAGACTATACACATAACTTATAGCTTTGTACCGAAAGAATGAGAGGTAAAGGCAGATATAAATGGAGCGACGAGATCTCATAATGTATGTGTGTATATTCGAGAAAGTGTTTCTTATAGTACTAAATACACAGTGCAATCGACGAAATTATATATATCGCTACCTTAACTTCCTTACGTTCAAGAGCAAACGACGATGAAAATAAATACAATGTTTTATTGGATATTAAATGCTTTTATTCAAGGGATGCACTAAATGGATTTAGAATTTGTTATCTCAAATGTATCGATAGCTTTTGTAACAGCGGTCTCCTTTCTTTATAACTATTGCAAATCGACTTGTTGCAATTGGTACAATGTGTGCCGCTTCGGCGAATTGTATGCCTGAGAGAATCGCATACTTGTTGGGTAAATCATCAACCAAAGCCTAACATTGCATTTGTTTTATGTCCGTGCAAATACATGGCAAACTGTCTAGCACCAAGTCGCAGGAGGAAAAAATCGTACATGTAGCTATTTGACTATTAAAAAAAACCGCGCAGCCGAAACAGCCTTTCTCGAACGGGATAAAACACGATAAAATCCACAAGATGTCTGCACAGGCACAAGTGTTAAAAGCACATATATACCACGTTGAGCCCATGCAACATCGCTCCAAGAAGGTGAATTAGCGTACTACTTGTCAATCGTTCCGCTTTGCGGGACTCTTAAAGCACAGAATTGAAAGACCTTTTGCCGCAGAATTTAACCCTTTCAAAGTGTCGATAGGCTTATCCTAATCGATGATGGTGATGATGACTGAGAGGAAAAAAAAAAGCCTCGCCAATGCCTTTTCACTGCTCGTACGCGTATACATGCACGTGTATATAAGAAGGAAAATGTCACTGCGTATCCGGTCGTCGTCTTGGTTGTTGATATACAATTTTTTTGGCCATGCTATCAAATTTATACTAAATATTGGAAATCCTTGTACATCCGTTGGACGATACCCTATGTGAGCATAATAAATCTGTTTTCGTCGCCTTGGTGTGCTGGCTGGAAAGTGCGTGAAGGTCAACGAAGTTTTGTCTTGTGAAATTTTTTTATCTGCAATCATGGTGCGAAGATTGGTTTCTTTAAAAATAGGACAGCGCACAGTACCCGTGTTCGTGCTCAACGAGGAGCCCGGAACCACCTCATACATGATCTACGCCATAGCTAAGGAGTAATCGCTGGTTTCGGCACCTGTGGGGGGAAGGGGGAACAAACCTTGTGTGGTGGCAGAAAATGGACGATTTACTCAAAAATTTTACCGTCCTCGGTAAAACTTTCATGTAAATATTGTACTGTTTCATATGTTACAGCTTCTGATAGCATGGTTTCTTACATGTGATTCATTGACTTATTAGAATGCTCTATGCAAAACTGGAGTAATATGACACAAGAGACTGTTTGACAATGTTCTGAGCAAAATAGCTTCAGAAAAGCGAGGCAAATAAGCATACATACAAATTTGACGATAACCTAAAAAAGTAGTAAAAAGAAGTATAACAAAGGCAGGAGAGAAAGAAAAGCACATATCTTTTGCATCCTTGTATGTGACATAGATGCTCGTATACGGTTACAACACTTGGCAACAGTATAGGATATAAGCACTAAATAAGTAGTTGCATCACGCTCTCTGTTTTATTGCGATTCGTTCGCGTTCGTTTGCGTTGGCACAAAAAGTGGTAAATTATTGGGCAAACCGCGATTAAGTTTCTAGAACCCCCATTATATTTATATATTTACTAGGTGTAAGCTGTGGTAGCAGATGCCAGTGCGACACTGACTTATACTGACAAATTAAGTTCGATACCTCATAGTGTGCACGCATAATATATGCACACAATGCATGATGCAGTGCAGCATAGTCGATCAAAGTCGTTTTCTGCGTGGTACAAAATGCTTATTGTTGTATAGTCTACACATCGTGTTTGATATGATACGCTTATTCAAGTAGCGCCTTGTTGCTCCTGCTTTACGAATTAGCTTGATATATGAACAAAGCAATAAAGCTCATAGTTTTTTCTGCTGATAATCCGTCATTGTCATTATGTTTGGGTTCTTAGGAAGACAATTCGTCTCATGAATGTTTATAGTGATGTTTACTGGAGCAAAGCGACAACTGTTCCTAATCCGAGCTAGATCAAACATATTGAGCTGTCAAAATCAAATCCGGCTATTGCGATTTTGACGGTAGTTGACAACTTACAATCCACACCCATTCGTTACTGGTTTCGGCAAACATGGCAAAGAAAAGGACCCTGTAGTACAAAATACATTTAGAGTGACTATGTATCTGAATTTGCACAATTTTTCGCAGGCTAGAAAGTAGCATCAAGGATGAGGGGGGGTAAAATATCATTACTTTAGTCTTATTTGCTACAAACAGTGAGCAGTGTTGGATAAATGACGGCATCCGCAAGATATGTGCAGTAGACATCGACAAATTCGCTCATGGCTGTATGTATATGTGCAACATACAGACCCTTTTCTTCTTTTGGTTGCAATTAGTGCTCAGCTATCGTGCATGCTCAGCCTATCATCACGTCGTTGTTATTGCTAAAGAAGCGGTCTATTGTTTATGAGTTGCTTTTTCAGGTTAAAGTATGCTAGTAGTAAAGCTCAAGAAAAGGTTAATAAAGGGGATCTGCTATACGTCCTTTGCTCCAAAGAATAGAGAACCCTGTGACTTATAGGCTCATGGCTGGGGAACACAACACACAACAGATCTGGATCATGCAGCATGAAACAGCCAGAGCAACAAATCAACGCTGGGTTTCAAGCATACAATTATCCTCCTCACCCTTTTCCTTTTTCTTTTTTTACGTTCTTTTTTTTTATAATTAGCATCCTCTGCCAGCATGAATGGCACTAGAGATCCGCACTGGGTAGCTACAGCAGATCGCTCCTTATCCGATTCACCATTTTCTGACACGAGCAGCATGAGACGAGCACCTGAAAGCCGACGAGAACGACTGCGATCGTTTGCCCGCACAACCAGTCAAGTCATCCGACAAGAGATCAGCAAGTACTATTACCCTGAGAACGGCGAAAACGATGTTGTTCCTTCCAATGCCAGTATTCGGTCATCACAGACGGCATCGTATCAGCGGCCGGCAGTACCGAGACAACGGACGCAATCCATGACTGACTTGGCAATGACCAATACGCCAGATACGGTTCAGCCGCATTGTATGCTATTTCCGACATATGCGTACCAAGTAGTGGACAAGGAGCACAAACAATTCAAATGGAAGATACGATTAGCAGGCTGGACATTTGCAAAGCCCGGGTCCAGTCGGTTTGAGCGATGGATATTAGGTATACCTTTTTTCCTTTGCTCTATCCTATTTGCTTTTTTTTGCCCAGTCCAATGATGATGTTTTGCTAAAACAAGAAAACAATCAACATCATCACCGTTCAAACTCCAAAAAAAAAAAAAGCTGCCGGACGGACATACGGAGGTTTATCCGCCAATTCGGCGGAAGATATCCATTTTGCCAGACTTTTGAATCAGTTTCGGTGCCAAACAATGCGGGGCATCGATGTTCATCTTTATGTGGCAGGCGTCATTCCTGCTGAACGAGCACTATCACCGTCACCACCGCCACTCATATCACTATCACCGACATCAACAGCAAAAAGTGCTACGACAGACAATGATCATGTTAATAACAGCAGCAGCACGAATAGGAATCATCACACATTTGGTCTTCATCATCTTGTCGATTTGGCACACGACGCCATCAAAACAATAATGATTAACTCGGGCCCCACGGGACGTTTCGAAGATCTGCTGATGCTGGATCCGACGCAGGTCCTTCAACATGTTGGACGAAAAATGCTTCGTCTAAAGGCTTCTTTTGAAAATGGAATAGGTATTTTCCCCCCTCTTGTTTGTTTATGCCGAGTTTGACACTAAAGTTCTCATATGTGTGCTGTGTCCTTTTTTCTTTAAAAAATCTACTAGATACACCCCATGACGGCTTTGTTGACCTCATTGAACCTAATGGAATATCTGTGATTTCAGTAAGTAGTACAAAGTGTAGTACATGTGCATTTCATTTGTCATGGACATAGCGACGTAGTGGACGCGTGTTACTTGCTGTTGCTAAGTAACTGGCTATATAGGACATTGATGATACCATCAAAGTGACAGGCATTTTAGACGGCAAGGACACTATCCTCCAGAACACGTTTTTCCGAAAAGCAGATGAAGTGCCCGGCATGTCCGAAGTATACCGGAACTGGTCGAAGCAGGGCGCTCATGTGCATTACGTATCCAACTCGCCATGGCAAGTGTATCCGGCTCTCAGTGAGTTCGTCCGCGATAGACATTTTCCGGCGGGAAGCATGCATCTCCGCGCCATCAGCACAGGTGATCTGATACGGAGGAAACCTGGGCAGCACAAACTTGATGTCATACATCAAATCCTTCAGGTATGTGTATAAAGTTTCTGTATTATAGCTCTCACTCGAACTGCTTACACATTTTTTGCCTTCTTTTTTTATGTTATGCGTATGTCTCTCTTTACGAATCACAGGACTTCCCCAATCGAAAATTTATCCTCGTGGGCGATTCGGGTGAACGGGATCCTGAAATGTAAGATTGCTTCGTTGTTGTTATTGCTTTTATCCCAAGTGCAGCTTCGTTTCTAAATCCATAAATTGCTGTAGATACCAACAAATCTACAAACAATATCCCGAGCAAATCATCAAAATTTTCATACATGATGTGACCAGTGAACGTGCACGACATGCGGATCAACGCGAGAGCGAGCGATCCGATTCTTATTACAATAATTTGAAAAAGTTCCTGGCGCGTGATCAGCAAAGTGGTGGTGGTGGTAACCTACCGCGACGCTCGGCAACAACGACGACTTCGATGTTGGACGCAATTGGCGAGACTGAGATTCCTGATGAAGAAAAAGTCATGATGGATCCGACAGTGTCTTTGAAAACGAAGCTCGATATCTTCCATGAAAGAATGGATAATCTAGCTCGCGAGTTGCCAGAAGGTGTATTGACTGTTTTCACCTTGGCTTCGCAACTACGCACCGTAAGTATTATTATTTATCGTTATCATCATTGGTACGGTTGTGGCAAGAATGATGATACTCATTGGCATCGATACATGTTTTGTGAATAGGATCCTATCATTACGCATACTTTTGGTACTCGAGCAAGGAAATCGTCATTATCATCATCATCTCATATGCCTTCTCCCATCCCCGCCAGAAACAGCTCTTTTCCTGTATAGCCATAGAATGTTTCTTTCTCCTTGTCCTCCTTTTTTTTTGAGTTTCCTTCCTTCCTGTAACACATGTTTCGTTTATTATTATACTTTTTTTCACTTCAAGTATTAGTATTTTCTTTATAATATACACTTTTCCATTGGTTTTCTTTTAATCTTTGACCATGGTTTTGCAGAACAATTTGAGTCGAAACGCATCTACTCCGTTCAAATAGTATCGATGCAGCCGTTTATCCTTGATAAAACCAAACCGTTGATACAAGGCCAGTGCGCCTTGGTTGGTATATTCGGTCTCCAATACAATCTCGTCAGCATCTTGTTCCTTCATTGCGCGAATCGCTTTTTGAACCAACGTCGTACCGATCGCTCGTTTTCGGTATTCCTTGGCAACTGCCAACATGGCAATATAACCTCGGTTGCTTTGCTTGTGTAAATCAAGTTTGCAGATAATGACACCAACGCAAGTATCGCCATCCATTGCCTTGGAAATTAGAGCTTCATGTGTTAGTTTTGCGTTTGTCTATTTTTTTTAATCGTAGTTTTTTACCAGGAAGCATAATTTCGGCCAGTTGTGTATAAAGTATCGATAAGTGTAAATGGAGTACGGCTCTGAAAGATCGTTTTCAATGAGATGGATAATTGACGGTAGCTGTAGCTCGGACGTGTAGTCTACGTAGCTAATGGGTGCAGGATCTGCGGCGTTGTCGATACTCGTCATACCATGTAAAGAAGACGAAGAGCTGAAACCCGAAACAAGAAATACTACAAAATTTCGAGGCATAAATCGCTTGTGCCTAATCTAGTCGCGGCGACTGTAAAACACACTATATACTCATTTCATTGCAAACACCGTGGTCATTCTTGTTTCCACAGGATAGTTGTTTCAGTTGAGGCATATACTATTGCTGTACGTTAAAATAAGCTTATTCTGCACCATGTAATATAGAAACTCAATGTCATCAAGATATGCTGTTTGAAAAAATCATATTTCGTTGCAGCTATAATGATTGATTCTCATAACCATCTTTATGAGTTGCAAACATTCCAATTCTTTGATATAGAAACATATAAAGTACTCTTCATTCATCTTGGTCGACGTATTACGGGAGCTCCTCTTGCCGCAACTGAGTCTCCCACACATCTCATCCTTTTAAGTCCGAGTTCATATAAAGCGATGATACCGTTCAGTATTAGCTTATGTAAACAGCTGTTCAGCAAGTCCTCGTTATGTAATATGTCTTTGTATGAAATAACCCTCCCAAGCGTGCTAAAACACCTCATGCAAAAGTTTCGATACCTTTTGCTGTATTCGACACCGGCTTGAAAGCTGCGTGGGGAATACAACAAAAACCTGATGTCGCATATGCCTAATGGGTTTACCTGGTAAGGAGAGGACATGCTATTGCACTGAGGCGCAGGAGGAAGCAACACCCATTCGATATCGCCGAATACACAAGTGCTATTCCTTGTACACTTATTGGTCTCTCTTGTCCCGAGATAAAAAAAAACATTCAATAAAACCCAAAGCTAGTGCAGATGCAAGCTTTAGTAAACATCAGTGATATGTGACAACCACTAGCATGATATCAACAGAGTAAAGTGCTTATGCACCACATTTGGATGTGCTTTCCATTTTCTCGGAAACAAAAAAAGAAAGATTTTGTAGCCAAAAACGTATTTTACCAGCTGCTTATAATGCTATGTGTATGCACACCATAAAGCAGCAGTACTACTTGACACTGATAATTATTTCAATTCGAGCAGATAGTGTAGAGTTGCATATTACTCTAAAGAAATATCCGTGATATGTAGTTGTTTTTCTGAAAAAGTTAATAAGAAAAAAACGGAAGGTACACAATCCAATTTCAGTAATATGAAGTTTAAAACAAAGCGCCACAATCATATATGCATTATTACTCTTCTTTGCCAGCAGATTTCCTTTTTTATATTAAGAAACACGAATATTGTCTTGATCGGTTCAGGAGCTCAATACACTCGATGAATACACATTGAATAATACATGTACTGTCAAAGAATCCTAGCATTCTGCTCTATGTCACCGAGCAAAAGATGAAATCTCATGGCATAATGCAAAAAGACAAACCATGATTATACATTCAAAACTGAGTCTTACAGCCGCATCTGTTAACTAGCGTAAGAGTTTTATATGACTTTTTCCTTTTATACCACTTAGTAAGGGCTACCAGATCAGTGTACAAATCAGCTATTTACACCTACGAAAACCATCACACTAATTGTCATGCAAAACATTATAATATAGAGACCAGCTATGACTTGTTGAAGAAGAAATGATTAGCAAAAGAGCAAAACTACAGTGCTTCCTCTGGTTGACATCAGCGTAGCTAATGGTCGTATATGCTGCTGCCAAGAAATTCTACTGAAAACTGCCAGGATGTTTGTAATTTGAGTGTGGCAGCAATAGAGCTATTGTCTGATCTATGGCCTTGTGTGCTATTTTGGCTAGTGGTACTCAGATAATATGCCGGAAATCTACAAGCAGTATATGCAGAGTGTCCCCGGTCAACAACACCACGGTCACCACTGAATATATGACAAAGAACAAGGCTACTGATTATGCAGTTCTCTACACCTTTAGCTAGCGCTAGTCATTACTCTTGTAATTTCTCAGCTATCATCAGCATAACATGTTGCATTGGAGCCTCTTTTCTCGTGGCCAGGCTGAAATACATAGAAACGCGACGCTCATTCACAAACCGCGCTCAATTTGATTAGCGGCATAATAAACTGAGCTAAACAAATCCATAATTGTAAGGCAAAGACCAAGACAATATATAGGAAGGCAGCAGGTACTGATGTTTTTCTTTATATAGACTCAATTTTTTATTTTAAAAGTTAGAACAAGCGCGAAAAAGGATATTTGCCTAGTATCTCTTGATTGTGCTGATCTATGAGGCAACTCTACTTATTCTTGTAACCAACATGGATCAACAACACATATTTTTTTGATCTGTCATTAACGATTACTATTATTTCTCTCATTACATCACTTGTGCGCACATTTCCTCATCCATGTAATATCCTAAAAACCAAAAGAGACAGAATAAGTCAACGAGACCCGTAAAGAATTAAAACTAGTTTATTATGATAACAGAAGTTCTCACTATTTATAAGAAATGGCTTATCCTTGGCAACTACCACAGTGTGAGCATTGAACAGATTTTATAAATCAATTATAAAGGATTAAGTAATGTGAGTAAAAGGAGGCATGAGTAAAAGGAGGTAGGGGTCGCAATCTGACCCGTGGGTGGGTCAAAACCGACCTGCGGGTTAAGGACAGGTCATCAGGTCGGGTTGATGCTTTTTTGACCCATAGGTCAACCCATCTAACCCTTGACCCGACCCATTGACCTGTTGTGAACCGTGTATACATATAATATGTATAAGGTACCTGTTTTTAAATAGTCAATCTTCTTACTGGGAAGCATCGTTATATTAAAGATATAGTTGTCAATATGTCTGCTATAGAACTATCATATATAAGATGTACTTATATTCTTTTTATCATGGGATCATATTTTATATTCAAGAGCATAGGATAAGTAAGCTATAAGCAATATACGTAAAAGGAGTAAAGAAGTAGCAATAGTACAATGAGAACGGATAATAGAGGGTGGCAGTAAGAGACGAGATTTGACAAAAGATATAAAAGGAATTGAGTAAAGAAAATCGAAGGAAGAAGAAAGAAGTAAAAAGAAAAGGGAAAAGGGAAATGAATTAAGGGCATAGACTAAGGAAGTCGATTTTCAACCACATTTTAACCATTGGGCTTTCTTTAATGCATGTGAGCCCAATTGATTGCTTTTGTGATGGCACATAACCCTTTACCTTTAAGGGCTGTGTATAATGTATGGAGTTGTGCACTTCCAGTGCTCAACTTCAGGTTGATTGACACTACTTCCTTCATCACCATAACGAAATCAGTCTTGACCCATTAACCCAACTTTTGACCCATCGGGTCGAACAGGTTGGTAGCTAGTATTCTTTCCTATACTTAAAAAACGATATCTTACTCTAAATACTATCCATCCTTTTACTTTGAGATGCAGTTTGATTCTTTAATAGTGGAATGTTACAGCTATGTAAAAATAATTTATATATTGGTTTTTTGAGCTTACTACTATTTGTACCAAATATTGAAATCTTCTTTCTTTCTAAATAGTGTTCATATTTACTATTATATTTAGCTACATATTGACTATAATCGAGGATACAGATTTTTTTCCCTTTCATATGATATATCCAACTCAATTCTTTAATTCTACTGATTCTTACTGAGACGATTCAATTCGATTCCTTACTTGGATGATGATACTGATTCGATTCCCTCAAGGAATCAGTGGGAATCGTCTTCTTGTATGGAACCCTATAGGTCAGGTTGCATCAGTGTTTTCTTAACTCACAGGTCAATGGGTCAGACCCTTGAGCTGACCCAACTATCTAATTGCGACCCCTAGTGAAAGGTATATCTAGGTAAATGCCTTAGACAGTAGCTAATCTAAATAATAACAACTTCTTCCTCGGCATATAGCTGATCAGTGTTTCACTAAGATGTGTATGGATTAAGCAATGTCTGCATAAATGAGATTATGAGGGAAATAACAGCAATTATTATTGATCGATTAAAGAATATGTGTTATTGATTATATTGGTTACAAGTTACAATACTACTATTGTTATTTTATAAGTAGGTAGGGGTTTATCAAGTAGTAGTTATTTTAGAAGAGCTATAACCAGCAGATATTCAATATTCTACATTATTTTTTAAAAATGGGGATTTAATATAAATTGGTTAATCAGCTTTTTCTTTATAAAATAAATAGATTAATTCTTATCAGTAGTAGGAGGAGGCAGTAGTGCAGCAGCAGCAGCAGCGGCGCGCTGGTGTGTGATTATTTATATATGTAGGTGTAATGAAAATTTACAAACAAAACGCCCTTGTAGCTTAGTGGTTAGAGCGCTGTGCTTATATCATAAGGATATACCAGAGTCACGCAGAGGTCGCGAGTTCAATCCTCGCCTTGGGCATTTTGTAGAACTTTACGTAATTTTGCTTCCTTTTTTTTTGCCGTACGAGCAAACGTCGTATACCAGTACTACAGTACGAAACACCAACAGCACGTACTAAATTTTTATGCTTATCTACTGACCTTGCAAAACGTATATGCCTCGCTAAGTTATCTGTCACTACATACTGGCTATTAAAGCACCATTGAGCAATCAGCCCGGGATTCTGTCGTCCAGCTGGTGATTTCATAAATCTAGGTTAATACTGCAATGCTGACAAGGAGTGTTATTTACTGATCTTTCATAAAATTCATAAAAATAACCTTTTCGTTGCTGCATAGTAATAACTGCATAGTAATAGCGAGCGGCTTTGTCTCCAGGTAATGGCCAAAAAGGAAAGAGGAAAAAAAATTCTTCCCAGAAGGAAACGAGACACCGCTCTAAAGCTGGTTGGCAAGGGCGAACCAATCAGTTCGAGTGCTTCAAGTATTATATGGAATGTGATCTTTGAACTGACGTGATAGGAATAAAAGATGAGCTGTCAGGCTAAAATACATACTTTTGAGAGGATGCAGCTAATATTTCGGTTTGTAGGAGGGAGGGAACACACTTAATTTGCGCTCCAACTATTTTAAGCATACATACACCGGCATATATATCCATATATAATATATGACAGCAGAAGAGCAATCAATAAAAGCTGTGAAAACTTTTTGTATAAGGTGGATAGAAGATGTAGCTTCATATAATATATGTGAAGACATTATTTTACTGAAGAAAGGTAGAAGATATTCATCGTGTCTTGAAAAATTACAGATGCGATAACTCAAGCCGCCAAAAATTCGCCTTTGCTTTGTCCTTTTACCTCGCGACCATCACCACCACCCAGTCCACACGAGCACCGATCAAAACTGAACATGGCCCAAGTAGCCAGTGCGACCTCAGCAAACAACAACAACAACAGCAGCAGCACCAATGACAAACCTTCCGCTGTCGTTGGCCGGCCCATTGGTCGATCACCGTTAAGACCCCCCGGTGAAGGCAACGTTCCATTTTCCAAAATGGTGTTTGATGGCAAACGCATGCGTAAAGCGATCCAACGACGTACAGTTGATTACAACCATAGTTTGACTCGATGGATGCAGGTTCGTATATAAATTGCTTCAATCTATATCTCTTTTTTCCTTCTCTCTTTTTTATCACACACACACACACACTCTCTCTCTCTCTTTCCTCCCTCCTTTTCTTTCTGTGCCATTTCTCCCAATTACTTGGATACTGGCTGGATAGACTTGTTTATTGTTTTCGCAACGACAATAAAATTGGCCATAGTGTTACATATAAAAAAGACTATATACTCAAGTATAATATATGCTTTTCCCTTTTTTTCTTGTGCTTGTTGCCACTCTGTTTTATGTTTCTAGGAGCGTGTGTGGATACGTGATCGAAGAGACACACGATTTCTACGTCCAGATCCAAACTTTATTGTCCAAGTAAGTTCGATATACGACTTTCTGTTTCCATTCTTTTGATTTCTTTGTATCAAAGCAAGTGCCTCAACTACTGTGAATATTCTTAATAATAAAAACCGGAAACATTTTGTCCTATTGTAGCTGATGCCACCTGTTGCGTACCTTGACAACCCTATCAATGCTGTTACGACAAAGTTCGTTCATACTTCAACAAATAAAATACGATATCCAGTGAATGTTGTTCGGGTAAGGAGCCAAGCTTGGTAGATGCGAATACACACACACACACACAGACACAAAGGGTCAACTGAAGCTAGCTTTAATCTTTATCTAGTGGACACCAGAAGGTCGACGTTTAATAACAGGATCCTCTAGTGGCGAATTCACGCTATGGAATGGATTGACATTTAACTTTGAGACGATTCTACAGGTAACGTGTCACTTTATCATATATCTGATAGCGTAACAACTTGGTATTGCTTGATCATTTAAAGTTATCTGGTGGAATTTAACGTATTTTCTCTGCTGTAGGCACATGACTCTGCAGTCCGTGCTATGAATTGGTCACACAACGATAACTGGATGGTGACAGGTGATCACAGTGGCATCGTGAAATATTGGCAATCCAATATGAGCAACTTGAAGATGTTTCAGGGACACAAGGAAGCAATCCGGGATTTGACGTATGTTTTTTATGTTTTTTTTTTTCGCCCTCGATTAGACAACAAGCATGTGTGTAACCGAGATATCCCTTTTCATTCTTGATTAGATTCGCTCCTTCAGATACTCGATTTGCTACTTGTTCAGATGATTCGTTGATTAAAATTTGGGATTTTAACACCGGTGCTGAAGAAAAAGCATTGTCTGGACATGGTTGGGATGTTAAATGTGTGGATTGGCACCCGTATAAGGCTTTGTTAGCTTCAGGAAGTAAAGATAATCTTATCAAACTATGGGATCCAAAAACGGCAAAAAATATCACCACACTGTAAGTGCTTCGAAGTTGTATTAGCAATCTTTGATCTTCTTGCTAAGGTACATCTGTTTTCTCTCTCCACAGCCATGGTCATAAAAACACGGTATTAGCCCTTCAATGGAATCAAAACGGAAATTGGTTGGTGTCTGCAGGACGAGATCAGCTGGTGCGTGTATACGATGTTCGGGTGATGAAGGAATTGCAGATATTTAGAGGACACAAGCGTGAGGTTTGCTGTAAGTACAACGAGCTAGTAGATATAATTAATGAGTTTATGCTTCATCTTCTAACGTCGGGTGAATAGCTGCCAAGTGGCACCCACATCACGAACGATTGTTAGCAACAGGTGGATCAGATGGCGCGCTTATGTTTTGGATGACTGGGTACGTTCTTCACTTTTTTTTTGTCGAATAGTTAAAAAACAAGGGATGCACGAAATGAAAGCCAATACATTGAATCTAGACAAGACGGTCCTATTGGCGAACAAGAAACAGCACACGATTCAAATGTATGGTCGCTCGACTGGCATCCTGTTGGACATATTCTGGTTTCCGGATCCAACGATCATACTACGCGCTTCTGGACAAGACCACGGCCGGGTGAGACGTCTGTTGATAAATTTGACGCTAGTCAGCATGCACAAGAAGAAGCGCGCGAAGAGGAATCGGTCAAGTCATTTGAGCCACCACCATTCCGACCAAATAATGCACCGCCCAGTCGAGTTGAGCCACCACCCTTTAGACCGCTTAATGCGCCCCGACCGCCTAGCAATGCCAACGAAACCCCTCTATTTCGACCGCCCAATATGCCATTTCCACCACCACCAATGCGTACAGGACAATATCAACAACAACAACCGCCACCATTTGGTGCAAATATGCCACCGCCAGGTGCTCCACCACCATTCAGACCGCCCCCACCGCCAAACAATGGGATGGAGCCACCTCCGTTTCGTCCTATGCGTCGCCACGATAATAACGGGAACATGAGTGATCTTCCACCGCCTCCTCCACATTTTCGACCACCACCACCCCCGCCTTTTCGATCTGGCAACGGGCCTATGCCGCCACCGCCACCGTTCCGACCACCTAATGGTCCACCAGCACCCCCACCGCCATTCCGTCGACACAACAACGATCGTGGAGGAGGTCCTGGAGGGCCAATGCATGGACCACCCGGGGGAGGAAAGAACTATCAGCACCAACATCATCAACCCTATAATCGTGGACAGCGACGAAACGACGGTCCGCGTAACAGACGGCATCATTAAGTCACCCTGTTTGTATATCCATCATCGCATCACAAAGTACTGTTTGATAAAAATGTAACTTTTTAAAAGAAGAATATTACAAGAATCTTGCTCCCAAATAATGGCATGCCCACTGCTTGGTTGTTGGTTGAATGATGATGGACGTCACTATTCTCATGGTACTCATACACTAGTAAGAAGACATATACGCGTAATGTAAGAACAACTGAAGTTGAATCGTTAATAAATACAACATAAAAGCATTTTTATCGTTTACTGTGACTCGATGACAATATGCGTGATATACTCAGAGTTACTACGTAATTTGACTCAAACACACGAGTACATCATAAAGAGACGACTTCATATTTAAAGATAGCTCAAGTAGAATTTATTGTAAACATACAGGGATAACTAGAATTTAACTATGATATCCGATAATAAAGGGATCTGTAGAGATAAGACCTAATAGCAGCGCATCATGAGAGGAAACCGGTTTAGTATGACAATGTGTGGTCGACAACAGCGTACATGATACTGCTACTTGTATTTACCAATTGCTTAGGAATGGCAGGCACCCTTTCCGGCAGCGTGGCAGCAAGCTTCGAATTTCTTCCACTTGGAAGACTCGAGGTTTTCGTTCCAGTACTTCTTGCCGCTGTCAGAAACGTAGTTGTTGTAACCAGCTTTGCGCCCACAGTCATATGTGGGTCCAACACCTGGGAGGAGACAGCCACCACCCTGCTTGTAGTTGCACCAGATGGAGTCAGCGCTAGCGACGTAGGCAAGACAGGCAACGAGGAAAATCAAAACGGCTTTGATCATCTTGTTATAAGCTTGTTGTTGGGTTGTTTGAAGTAGAAAAATTGCTGTCGAGTGAAGAACAAAACATCTTGGTCGTCAAATCTACGGCCTTTTATACCTTTTCTCAAAATCTGAAATGCCGGTGTTTTTAAACATGCATATATTGATAGCATAGCCACAACTTTATCGAATGTTATGCAGCAGCCTTTTTTCAACGAACATCATATTTCTAATGTTTACTCATAACCGTTTCTCCCCGAACGAATATAGTGCAAGAGTTGCCCTTAAAAAAATGTGGCTGCATTGACGATGGTCTGGGAACCTCACACAAATAAATATTAAAGCAGAATTTGTTAACTATATTACCTCATCATCCATAAGTATGGATTTGTTTAGCTTAGTTTTATCATGCCGCTAATCAAACTGAGCGCGCTTTGTGAATGAGCGTGTGTTTTATTTCAGCCTGACCACGAAAAAATAGGCTTCAACGCAACATGTTATTCTGATTATAGTTAAGCGCTAGCTGAAGGTGTACAGAAATGCATAATTTGTAGCCTTGCTCTTTGTCACCATACTCAGTGGTGACCTTGGTGTTGTTGTCCGGAGACACACTGCATTTACTGCTTGCATATTTCCAGCATGAATTTAAATACAACCAGCCAAAATAGCGCACAAGGCCATAGATCAGGCAGTAACTTTATTGCTGCCATACTCAAGTCGCAAAACATCCTGGTAGTTTCTGGTAAAACTTCTTGGCAACAGCGTATACGACATTAGCTATGCTGATGACACCCAGATGAAGCATCGTAGTTTCGCTCTTTTGCTCGTCAGCTTTTTTGTTCAGTAAGAAGTCATAGCTGGTCTCTATTATAATGCGCAGCAGTACTCCTGCATAACGATCAATACGATCATCTCTGCAGCTGTAAGTAACGTATAGGACATTGGTCTGGCATTCCTCGCTAAGTGATACGAAAGGAAAAAGTCAATTTCAGAACTCTTACGCCAGCTTAGCACATGCCGCTGCAAAACTCAGTTTTGGAAACATAACGATTTGTCGTCTTGCGTCACATTGCGCGAAAAAAATCTTAGACTGTTGCTCAGTTGCATGGAATATAATGCTGAATCCATTCGACAGCAACTTCATAATAGCGGTTTACATGTATACATCCGATATCGACTCATCGAGTATATAAGACTTCTGCACCGAGTAAGATTTATGTTTGTGTTCTTGAAGAAAACGAGATCTGCTGGCAAAGAAAATTAATAATTCAGGGATGGTTGTAGCGTTGTTGTCTTGGACTTCATGTCACTAAATTTGGATTGCGTACTCTCCGTTTTTCCCGTTATTAACTCTGCCAGAAAAAAAGGATTACGGGCACCTTTTTGGAGTATTAAGGCAGCTCAATGTCTGCTCGAATATGGAATAATTATCAATGTCAAGTAATACTGCTGCTATATGGTGTGTATACACATAGCACAGCAAACAGCTGGTAAATCAAGTTATTAGCTGACATACAGATGTTACGAACTCTTGCTTTGACTGAATGCAAACCAAACTTTGCAAGAGTGAATATAGTGACCAAATCGGTATAGCCCCTTAGTAGAAACATACCTAATAGCTGTAGTTTCTTCTCCATCTACTATAATATTATTTCGAATTGTACTAACTTTATGCAATGATGGCTGTGCTTCGAAAAAAAAGGCTGGGTAAGCCTTCTTTACCTCTTTTTTGGTATAGCGACGTTTGACATGAATTGTGAAAGTTTTACCAAAAATACTTTGCAAGGAGTTACAGCGGCCTGTTGCTGCTGTGGGTATGGCAGTGGTTTTCATGCGTACAAGCGTAACTAACTGCGTTGGGTAAAGATGCAATATACTTGTCGCGTATTTGGGTATAGCTTTGCACGACGAAGTAGACTGTTTGCGCAGCAAGTGATTAGGGCCTTCATAGATCAAAGTGCTATACGCACCATACATGGTTATAAGGATTGAAAATCATGTTCCATATAATTCTGCACAGCGTTTTTAATCCAAAAAAGAATTGGACCTTGCAGGCTTCAAATTCTGCAAGTAAAACTACTAGCTGTACTCATGCGAGTGATAACGATATGTCAACCCATATATAGTAACACAGCCACTAGATAATCTTGCCACTCTCAAACTTCATTTCAAACGGGTTCATGTTATTTATGCTATTGTAGTGTACTTGGATCGCAATATACCGCGATCAAATTTCTTGAGCACAAGTGCTACGCTATTATAGGATGGCTATAATGCGTATAATCTTACATCTCCTTGGCTTGGTCCTGCGCCCGTTTGCACAAAAAAGGGCAAAGTAGACCGGAGGAGCACCGATTCAGCTTCCACCGCGTTATAGGCTTGTTTTTTTTACCATGCCCTCTCCAGATTTGATTTGGTCGTATCAGTTAGCAATCAAGCAAATGTTCGGGAATCATACACTGGAATATCCCAAAATCAGCTGCGAAAGATGAAAAATTTGCTACTAACGGGAGATGTTTGAGCAGTAAGACCATGATGTGATATCCTGAGAAGATGTTGCAAAGTGTGGAATTACATTTCCGGGTGTTGTGAGAGCGGTACCCATTTATAATACTTATTGCTATAGGTGTTGCCTTGGACAAACAACGAAAACAAACATCCGTACGTGTCGGGAATGGGAAAAAAGATATTCGGCGTGAACAAGCATTGATATAAGTTGCTGCTAACCGAAAGCCATGTTTGTTAGAGTGCTCACTACAATCATACAAACAAAAATACGTAATATAGACTAAAGAAAAACGCTTTGGAGAGCTGGGAACCGAACAATTTCTATCATTCTGCACGAAATTATCTATGTACCTGGTAGACAAGCTGGACGGCAGCGAAGCAGAACTATGCCAACGCGCAAAGGGCATTAACGTGGGTGTTAAAACAGCTGGTTCAAGCTCATGCTTACCTGAAGACTACAAAAAATCCAAGTAATACCTGCACGAGCTAGGGTATTATTCATGAATTTTCTTTTGATTTCGCAGTCTATGTTTTATATACATATCACTTTTTCTCTGTACCGTCTCTATTGAGATAAATTTCACCACCTAATCGTCAAGCAGCGTAAGATTTAATCCACTTCGTTTGATCAACATAAACGATACCGAACATTCTAATACAATAAGTGCAGTCTAATAAAAAAAACGGGTTTTATTCCTTTGTGTGTGCAATCATGAGGAAAGGATGTAAATAATTTGTGGAATTTATCGATCGACTTCACCGAACACAATATCCTATAGAAGATATACAAAAGAGAAAATGAGTTTCCTTCCATATCCACGCTTTTTCACATATTTCTTTAATTTACCATTGTACCAATGAGGGCAACCATATCGGGCAACTATAACCAGAGCGTTAGATATTCCAAAATACCTTTACATCTTCCCTTTATCCCCATTTACTCCCCATTCCCTTTCCGTTCAACAACTTACCAAGTGACCACGGGACATGAAATCAGAACCTTGCAAATGGTTGAAACCAGGTGCCCTATCACACAAGTGTAAGTAACGAAGGTCATATACATCCTGCCATATCCACTCTAGTTGAGTATACAATAGCACTCACTTAATCTTGCAGCGGTAAGGTCTGTTCGAGCCATCAGAGACCAAGAAGACACCATATTCACCCTTGGGGGCTTCAATGACGGTGTAGGTCTAGATCAAGCAAAACATATTAAATACGTGGTGTTTTCGTTACGATTTATGTCCTCCTCAACAGATGTGTCTTTACCTCGCCCGCGGGAACTGAGTAACCTTCAGAGTAGAGCTTGAAGTGGTGAATCAAAGCCTCCATGTTTTCCTTCATAGCAGCACGTGGAGGGGGAGCAATCTAATGGCCATGTGATGCATTATCAGGACACGAATTTAGCACTAGCACATATATAAATCTTCCTATTTCTTTTGTGGTTTCTCTTACCTTCCAGTCGTCGACCTTAACGACACCAGCGGGCATCTGATTGACACACTGGCCAATGATACGGAGGGACTGACGCATCTCTTCCATACGGCACAAGTAACGGTCGAAACAATCACCGTTCTTACCAACGGGAATATCGAATTCGACCTTATCGTAAGCATCATAGGGAGCAACCTTACGGAGATCCCACTTGAAGCCGGAGCCACGGACCATGACACCTGAGAAACCCCAGTCTAGAGCTTCCTTGGTCGTGACAACACCAACGCGCTCGGTACGGATTTGCCAGATACGGTTGCCGCTCAACATTTCTTCGACTTCGTCAATACGATCGCCGAACTGTAAAGCCCAGTCATGGATATCGTCCAAGAGACCGATGGGCATATCGGAAGCTACACCACCAGGTCGGACGTATGCAGCGTGAATACGGGCACCCGAGACACGTTCGTAGAATTCCATCAATTTTTCACGCTCCTCAAACATCCACAAGAAAGGTGTCAAAGCACCAACATCCATTGCGTGGGACATGACAGACATAATGTGATTAAGAATCTAAACATCAAATGTATTAGTTGCATACAGTTATACCCGCATTAAATAATATAATCTGCATGGATACGCACTCGAGTAATTTCACCAAACATGGTACGGATGTATTTGGCGCGCTCAGGTACTTCAATGTTGAGCAACTTTTCGACAGCCAACGCATAAGCCTGTTCGTTGGTCATCATGGAACAGTAATCGAGACGATCGAAGTAAGGCAATGCTTGCAAGTACGTCTTGTATTCAATCAACTTTTCGGTACCACGATGCAACAGACCAATGTGAGGATCGGCACGAACAATTTCTTCACCGTTCAATTCCAAAATCAAACGCAACACACCGTGAGCAGCAGGATGCTGAGGACCAAAGTTGACGGTAAAGTTGCGCATTTTGGCTTCTTCATCCTCGGATGCGACTAAAAAACAAATTATCGTGTCAAAAAGTCATCATTCGTATTTTTTTTCCTTAGGAATTTCGATTGGTTGGGGTGTTCGTAATATTTGTGTGTTGGAATACTCACCGCTGGCTTCTGTGTCTTCGGTGATGGTGGTGATGGGGATATTCTCAACGGTTTGGTTGGCAGCAGAGGCCATGCCGCGCCATTGACGCATGGGACGGAAAGCAGCGGCGGAAGGCATGGCTCTGGCTTTAGTGTATGACGATGGGCGAGTGGCGGTGGCGAGTCGACGCGCCCACATTCTCGTGGCAAACGACATGATATTATGCTCTTAAAAAAGAGTTGAAGAAGAAAAAAGAGAGTGGGGAGACTATAAATCAAAGAGAAAAATCAAAAAGAAATTGTTTTTCTGTCAGGTTAATGGTCCTTGTTTCCTTCCGAAAGCGCGTTTTCGTTCGATTGAATGAATCCGTCTAACCTGTTGTTCCTCGGGCTAGTTAATATGTGAGGAGCACTGGGGAAATTTTTGAGCTGTAGGCTTGTTTTCATCTTTGCCAGCAGGGCCAATAAAAACTCCGACACGCAAAGACGACGTCACGGCGAGACGTTGAGCTGCCATTTGAGGCATAAAGTACTCTTCCCGTTAGAAAAGTTACAGGTCATCCCTTATCAGAAAAACACTTCTGGGATGTTTCAAAGCATTATTTTTCAAGTTAAGTGAAAAAATAGACGAGATTTAATTAATCTGGAATGGTCGTGTTGATACGCTACTTCTATCATATCAGAAGGAGTAGTACTTGATAAGTGCATGAACCGTTAAGCCTCGACGTGACACTAATGTGCCACACATCGGCATACATATCACTTGATTGACAGCCTAGGAGCTCTACTGATAGTATACAGAATTATACAGCACATTCTTAACTCTTGTGGTTACTTTTCTTCTACATTTGGTCCTGAGGATTCAGTCTATAACATAACATAACAAATCTACTGTGAGACATTACAACAAAGCCATGGAGAAACGTGTTTAAAGAATTTACTATGCTGTGTATCTTACGTCTCTTGACGAAATAACAGCGACCATGTCTGCCTTTCTGGATCAAACGTTTGTCGCCAGCCAGATCAAGAGATATCAAAAAGAAAGTATCATTGGAGGTGACTTCGATATCATGTCTACTTGATAAAACGGGTTAAAGCTTTCCATTCCGTATTGAATGGGTGTCAAGAGAGTCAGTCTAACGGCTTATACAGATTAATGACAGGCCGGATATTTGTTTGGCATATATGAGAATGGCTATTTATTGCAACATGTTGGCTTCCAGTTGTTTTTTAAAAAGGGCTTGGGCTTGTAAAATGTTTCTTCAGAGTGATAAGTGTTATTGCATCGTCGAATTTTAATAGAGCCGTATCGTGCAAAACATCTCTTTACAACCGTCTGGCAACTGTATATTATTAGGCTTGCCATAGTGTAGCCACGCGTGTCCAAATCACTAATATCGAACAGATCCGGCGAGGAGAGGGTGGGACTGATTAGTTTTTGGGTCGCCACACTTAGAGAGTGCATAGCACGATACTGACAAAAGAGAACGTATGTATCAGCACATAGCTACTTTCGACAGTAGGTAGGCAAATAGTTGTGTTTCCCTTTCTCTACATGTATGTTCGATGATCTTTTTTGGTTTTCTCAGAGGACTACAAAAGTCTCGGTTGTGTACATATATTAGCCACTTAGATACAGAGAACAACAACGAAAAAATAGATATATCTTATCAAACATGTATACATAATATATTGTTCTCTTGGAAATGGAGGGAAAATTTACGAGTGTGCTTTTTGTTCATCCCTTGTTTAAAGAAGATCGGCAAAAGGATCCTGCTTAGCTGGTTGTTGCTGTTGCTGCTGTGCTGGAGGGGAGGGTGATAAAGTGGATGACAGTGGTGATTGTTGTTGTTGTGGCGGTAAGGTAGGAGCGGGAGAAGAGGAGCCAAAGAGATCACCTGTCATCATTAGAGCATTTTGTTGTTGTGGAGCTGCTGGTTGTTGTTGTTGGGAAGGAGCGTTGAAGAGTGAAAGGATGTCATCTACATTGGACTTTGGTGCATTATTACTACTTGTATTATTGTCGTTGTTGTTGTTGCTACCGCCAGCGCTAGATCCCCCAAGAGATAAAAGTTCGCTCATTGGGTTGTGTGGAGCTTCGGTCACAATAGGAGACGAAGCACTTGGTTCATCCCAGTCCAAATCCAACAAGTTGCCAATATCGTTGTTCTTAATGGCAGCTTGGATTTGTGGTGGAGGTGCTGTGACATCTTCTTCGTCGGCATGACTATTTAATATACAGTATATTCAAGCATGGTTTTAGTCTTTTCATCTTGTATTAAACCAATCTTTTCTATCTTTACCTTGCCATGCCTTTGGTGACACTGTCTGCGCCGTATTTTTTGCCAGCAATGAATGTTTCTGGAGGCTTGTGATATACAGATGCAAGCGAGCCAATTTGGTACAGCAATTCGTCTAGCATACCCGGAGAAAGGCCCGCATTTTCTCCAGCAATAGGTGGTTTCTCTGAAAGCACGACAGCCTAAAGGTTGATTGATCTATGTTAGCATAACTATCGCCTTCTTGATTCTTGTTTTTCCAGTTATCTACCTTGGCTGCTTGTGGATCCGTAGAAAGCAATCGCCAGTAAACATAAGCTCGATCTCTGATATCTGCATTGTCGCACTCGTTTGTAGCTGTTTGAAGGACACGTTGCACAAGCTCTTGATTTTCTGCAGGTTTCTTCAAGAATAATTTAACTGTTGCTGTCAAGAATTGAAGTTGGACCTGTATTTGGGTAATATTAGCTTTTATGCAATCTTCTCCTTCTCATGCCACCAAGCAAGCCAGAAACCTTTTCCATCAAAGCGTGATAATGTTTACCTGTGCGTTTTCTTCCTTGAAGTTCTCCACAAACATATTGATCAAATCGTCGGCATTTTCGATTCGTTCAGCATATTCGCCAATAATCCAGGTCAAAGAAGCCTTTGCCTCTGGTTCGTCCAAGGCATCCAAGTTTTCGCATAGAGTTGGAATAATGCCTTCGTATGTGCGTGGGTATTTACGGAAGATATCCTATCATGACATGGTATTCTAGTCAATATAGCATCCTTGTATATATATTTTCGCATTAAACTGTCTTTTCTTATACCTTAATGACGACAATAGCTTCTTGCACGACATAACTGACGCCGGTGTTGATCAGGTCCAAAAGAACGTTAATGCAACGCTCAGCAGCCTCTTCAATTTTGATTGCACAACGTCCGATAGCGTTAACTGATTTTCGAACAAAATCGACATCCACTTCATTGGCGTATCTATGGGTATATAGCCATCATATTCAATGCATTGCTCCTTCCCATCATCCCCCTCCTCCTACAGTATAAGAATGTATCACTTTCACTTACTCTTTAAGTTCGCTAAGAAGCTGATCAACATTTCGGTCGTTACAGAGTCGAATCAAAATCTCAAGCTTTTCAAGCTTGACGTAAGGTGGATCGTTGTAGCGACAGAAGAACACACGCATTTCGTTCGACAAAACTTCGGGTCGTCTTTGCAAAATCAAGCTGATGTTTCGCAGAGCAATATATTGTACTTCGGGTGGGCTCGAAAGGAGAGTCACTATATACATCGTAAAAAACATTTAGCAATGGAGGTCTGTTTTGTTGCCCACAAATACATCCATTTAAAAAAAGTACATACCAAGGGGAGGTGCCATTTTGCGGCAGAAGCCCTTAATAAGAGTCTCATCCTTTACAAGGCGCATATTCAGCAAGAGGACCTAGTAAGGAGAGAGTAATAGTTAGCAGTGCTCCGGTTATACTCTCGAATTCCTTTTCCTTCAACTCAGCGTGCTCTCTTTCTGTTGTAAAATGTACCTTAATGGCAGCCAACACAACCGCACCGTTGGCATGCTGTAATCGAGGCAATACACGATCACAAATTCCTTCTGCTTCCTTTACGCCCGAAGGCTTGTAATCCGCCAAAGCCGTGAGTATCGCGATCTGACCCCATCTATATTCAAAATTCTGTCAACTTGAGCTCTCCCACACACTGACCAGTGCTTTGTAACTTACTCGGTACACTCATTCAACGCGTGCAACAACTTGTTTAAAATAGTACCATTCACAACAAACACGTCGCTGTTTTGGGAAGCTTCATTGATATCTGAAAGGGCAATCACTGCGTTGGCGACGACCATGGGGTTGATGTCCGAAACCATTTCTTGAACAGAGCTCACAAAATCTTGCTCGAGAGTAAGCTCGGGGTTAAGTTCATACAGCTTTGCAACACAAATAGCAGCTGTCTTTCGTACATATGGGTTTTCATCCTGCAGGGAACGGATTAGGTATCAGTTTATCTTTTTTTCTAGATACCATAACTGCATGATGTATGGACCAGATGTATTACCTTGAGACACTTTCTTAATGGTTCGGTGAGATAGTCGATAATTTTATCTACACGCAAACAACCCATGGTACGAATGGAAAGTGCACGAATAAGTGGGTTTGGATCGTCCGAGTCCTAAAGCAATGGTTATGTTAAGAAAATCCTCGAGCCACGTAAAAACTAAAAAAAGGTAATACTATACCTTGACAAACGTATTAACGGCCAAAATAACTAGCTCGGGTTGTGTTTTTGCGTAGTTCATGAGGTACAAGTAGACGAGCTTCTTGAGCTCAATATCCTCTGTCTGCATGTTCTTCAACACATCCGGGAAAAGGCCACTGACATCCTTGCCGACGGTCATGTTGGCAATGACTTTCTTCACAGCATCTTTTCTAACATGGCGATATTCGCTGTTTAACTCGGCTTTAAGCTCATAGTTTTCGCCTGAAATATCAATAAAACACGGGTTCATCGTAAGCCTTTTGTTAATTCACTCTTGGTACACGTACCCTTATACACACACTCTCTCTCTTCATGTAATCATCCATCCCCTTCCCGCCAACTCTTTTTATCCCGCGAAACCACATTTGAAGAAAACCCCCAAGGGGAGAAACACTATTGTTACCTCTTTTGTTCGTTGCAAAAAATCGAGGTCGGCTCATATCGTCTTTTGTGTTAGTCGTTGCTTTCTGACCGAAACAGAAAAGCAGGCAATGACAAAATCGAGAGGTATGAAGAGAGATGGGTGAGCAGCTTCGCGCCTATTTCGCTCTGCAACAAACGGAGTTTATACTTGGTGCTGGTCGATCTTTAAATGAAGGCACACACGCACCCTCGCTTAAATCCAGAAAAAAAAGCATGGAAACTTATTGTTTCATAGTAATGCATGCAAAACGCCCTTTCTTTTATTTTATTACGGATACAATTGAAGGAAGACGGGGGATAAATGTGTGGCAGTCTATTAGTTATCAAAGAATTTGAGAAGCTCCTTCTTGGTGACCTTGCCCATAGCATTCTTTGGCAGTTCCGGTACCACCTCTAACAGTTGCGGCACTTTGTACACGGCTACCCGAGTTTTCATCACCTTACGCATTGCTGCGAGACCCAAAGACTACGTCAAAATCCATCATAAGTATTAATAAGAGTAGTCCACAGGTTAACAAACACGTGTTTGTTCATATTGTAGTCTGCTTTACCTTGCCCTCATCAAGCACAACAACTGCTGCGACGCGTTGACCCCACTCTGGATCTGGTATGCCTACTACTGCTACATCGTAAACGCCAAGTGATGCTGAAAGGAGCTCACGCTCGATTTCCAAAGCAGATACTTTTTCGCCACCGGTCTATATATTCCATCATTAGAGCCGCTTATCCCATACACACACATCACCATCATTTAGCCGAGTACTGTACCTTGATAATATCGACGCTAGCTCTACCAAGGATTCGGAAGTAGCCTTGTTGAGTTGTTCGCATACCATAATCGCCCGTTATAAACCTGTATAAAAGTAATCACAATTGTTACATACAGAAAAAGTTTCTCTGTTTGACGTAAAAAGTGGCATCCTGCCGATAACCCTTACCATCCGTCTTCTGTAAACTCCTTGGCAGTGGCATCTGGTCGCTGCCAGTACTCCTTGAAAACATTCGGTCCTTTGATCTGGACCATACCTGGAATATCACGCGAATCCGTGACATCCTTGTCAAATACGCCCGATCCATCTTCGGATTCAGCCATAAGGCGAACCTGAACATCATTAAGAGGGAAACCTACCGTTCCCTAATAACCCAAACAATTTGTTTATTCCATGTTTAACTTTAAATACAGGTGGTTTTTTCTATCACGTAACATCCGCCCCTCATCCTTACCTCGACGCGCTCAGAAACAGGATAGTATTGGCTAAGAGCCATGCCGATCTCTAATGTCCTATTAGTCCCATAATATGCAAGTGTGCATTCTTCTTGTGCTTAGATAAATACTTGATTCTTTTTACCTGTCATGCCATAACGTTCTAACAGAACCTGCCCACAGGAAAGTTTACGCCAAGTGTCTCGCAAAGGAGTAGGCAAAGATGCAGATCCGGATACCATAAATCGGAACTGTCGACATGCATTAGAATATGCAGGTCGATCAGCCTCAGAGTACGATTGATATTGCTTTACAAGCTTGGCTAAATTGAGGATAAACAATATAAGTTGTCTACTATCTATACGTCATATGGAGAAGACACCCGTACCATAAACTGTAGGAACGGACATGAAAATCGAAAGACGAGGTCTTGATGGAATATCTTGTTGCTGATCATCATCACCGTTTTCACCGCTACTGCCATTGGATGAAGCAGGAGGAGCACTGGATAACCATCGGTCCCATACTTGTACTGCGTCGAACTTCTGATGCATTTCCACTGTTGCGCCAGCATACAATGCACAAGAAAGGGCATTGATAATACCGTGAACATGGTGTAGGGGCAGGATATGATGGATGCGATCCGTTGCAGACCAGTACCAGGCTTCCACTAGTACGGATACTTGTGCATCAATATTTTTATGCGTGGTGACAACGCCCTTTGGTTTTCCTGATAAATGTTTTCAATCCCACAAGAGAGTGTGGAAACCGTCATCGTCATCAGTTACACTTTTTCTCTTGTCTTTCTTTTGTAACCAAATTTCTTTGAGTATGTTACCTGTTGTTCCACTGGTATAGAGAATCATGGCCCGTCGCTCCATATCCATATCGAATGTCTCGGCATTAATTGCCTGGCCAAAAACAGTTAGCATACTCCTCCGGTTCTTATAGTCAACAGTATTAACACGCACAGGGGTTCCCTTTAAAACCATACCTGTTGACCCCACTTGAGCAATTCATCGTCGTTGATAGTAATAAACGGGATATCGGTTTCTTGTGCAAGTTGGCTCACACGGTCGGAAAAAACAGGGTGGCCAATAATTAAAGTTGCTTGCGAGTCTTGGACCGTGTAAAGTTGTTCCGGAAGCGGATGCGTCGTACCTTAGAAAGCCACATGAGCATAAATTTGGTGATTAGGACGATCCTATTCATGTTATCCTCTCTCTCTCTTCCTTTAGAAGATATACTACTTATAACCTACATAATGGTACAGCGACACCTCCAGCGGCCCATATGCCCCATTGTGCTACAACATACGCGAATCCACTATACGCGTGAAATACAACCATGTTCATCAATTTTCCTTCATTCAGGCGTAGAATTCTTTATTTACCTTGGACAAAGAATAGTTACACGTTGCTCTTTAAGATCCCTAACATGGAAAGCATCAAATGAGAATTGTGATATAAAACGCTGACAGTTTACGTTCCTCCCCCTTCCTTGATATTTTTCATACTCTGAGTTGTCAAGGAGCTTTTCGCGCAAAAGGCAGGTTGCAGACACCAGCTCTGAATAAGAGAATGCCTTTCCGGCGCGTATATCGTCTATAGCTGGTCCATTGGGATGTTGGGCATAGGTTATGGCTTTGGCGAATAACGGTGTGTTGGGGAGTTTGTATTGAGTCATAGTTCTTTATCGATAAGAAAAGAGAGAGAGTGAGAGAGTGAGAAAAAGGGAAGCAGTAAAAATAACCCAGCTGTAAGGCAACACAACATGAAAGTCGGACATTTGGGGATCGGGAAGGAGGTTTAATTTTGCCACTTCACCCTTCCGAATCGTGCTCGGCCTTGCACCGGGAATAGTTTAACTTGTTGCGTATACATACAACGGTAATCGGGCATTGCCTCTAGTGGGAAATCAGGGTGAAAGTTTATAGTAGCTGCTGCTAACAGAAGCCCTTCTACAAACAACAGGATGCTTATTCGGCTTATAGTTTGGGGGTAATAGAAGAACAGCCTACCAGTTTATCCGAAAAAGACGGATGAACTGCGTTTGAATTCGCGACCGAAAATGCAAAACGCAATTCGAATGGAAGACACAGGCTTCAAGTGCCTACAGTCAATCCTCTATAGAGCTTTAATCACGTAGGTATAGTACGATATTTGGGTAATGCTTCAATACCAAATAATGAGCTCTATCGTTGCGTAGCATCGTCAAGCGCATGTCCTACTATTTAACGACTGAAAATTATACGGAAAAGCATATGGATATTGTTGCATTTATTTTAAAAATGAAACGAAGAAAAAACAATCTATACACAAGATGAATAATTAAATACGGGAGAAAAGAAAGAACGGAACTGCAGCGGGAGAAAGGGGCATTTGATTTTTGAACTTGATCAAGTCAGTGATGGTAATATTGTTATCGGCAAGCTTGCTATGATCACGGTTGAGGAGTGATGCTTCAAGTTCCTTGTCACTAGTACTACTACTAGCACCATTGCTAGTGCCATTGGTTTGTTGAACATCCACAAATGCTGTGGTCTCTTGTGTCAGCTTGGCCATAACACGTTCAATATCGTCTTCATTGGCCTTGAGTTCGTCCACCAACAGTTTTCGCAGCACTTGCTCAGCTGGTAACCCAGCATTTATGTCTGTGCCGACTGATTTGTTGAGCTCTTCCAGGCTCAATGGTTTCGTATCCTTTGTGGCGGAAAGACACGAATGCAGCGACTCGATGGTGACCTTGGTCGTCGTCTTGCCTCCAGAAAGGGCAGTAGCAGGTGATGATGGTACTGCCTTTTGAGATTGCAAATGAACAGAGAGTTTTCGGAACTGGGGTGATGTGGGATCGATGTATTTATCGAAAAAGTCAATCAGGGACGCCTTGTCAACTGTACGCAGCTCTGCAACATCCTTTTCGACGTCATCGAATTCATAATAACCACAGTCGATATCGCCCCAATACTTTGCACCTTCTTGACCCATGTTTTTGAATTTTTCCTTCTTGTCAGCGATCAATGAGTCGACCTGGGCTTGATACTCTGTCTCGGTCATGTTGACGATGATCTCGCGCAAGGTCTCGATGAACACTTCCACCCGGTTTTCCAAATAGACCGTGTCGCGCTCACTCTGGATGATAAATCGAAGACCCATCGTGCCAATGTGGCGTCGGACACCACTAAAGACCAGGTAGCCGAGTTGTTCCTTTGTTCGCAGCTGATTGAAACAAGGTTCTTGTGCCATCTGGGCCACGAGACTGAGTCGGGCTCTGAGTGGAATATCAATGACATCGCAGATTTGGCAATAGTATTCGATCGCTGAGTTTACGTTGTCTGCATCGCGTACAGGTAGTTGGTACACGAAGGACTCGCCCGCAGGAAGGTTGAGGCTTCGCGAGCTGATGAATTGGCTCGGCATCAGTGGCCGGGCGTCAAGAATGTCTTGGACGTTGCGAAACATGCTAATTGCGCGGTCTTGGTCCAAATTGCCGTGCACAAGACTCTCGATGTGCAAGTTGGACAGGATCGTTGGATAGAATGATTGCACGTCTTGGAGTTGGATATCTGCAAGTTCATTGGCAAGATCGTCACATTTCCACATCTTTTCTCGGATGGCGTATGTGAGATAATATGTTGCGTGTTGGAAGGGTGGCTCTAGGAAGAAGTTTTGATATAGCCGTTTGACCTGTCGTGTGTATGTAATTGATTAGTCATTTCGATTTCTCCTTTGCATTGTGATGGGTTGTACTCACTGAATCTTTGATCACTTTGAAGCGATCAGCCGCAATGTTTATAGTTTTCATCCTTGTTACGACCTTCTCCAGAAGGAGCGGTAACTTGTCGCTATAGCCACCCATATTAAGCTGGAAATGATGAATATGTGTATATATAAAGTTTTAGCTTGTGATTAGAATGTTTCCGGCTGCTACATAAAAGGCAACTTACCGCGATTCCATTGGGGTCTGTGCTCAGGTGGTATGACAACCCAGTAACCTCGGCGTTATAAGAGTATTCCGTTAGCGAATCCTCCAGCAAGCTAACGTACAACCTAAACAAAATGAAAAAAAAGGAGTTTATTATTCTTTGTTCGCCTTTTCATCTTTACCCTTCACTCACCGCCTCACACACTCGGGTTATCTAAAGGAAGCCTTACATTGATATCACGGCGTTTCTTGGCGTAGCATATGTCAGCGGATTTCTAAAAAGAATCCACACATTGGTCTTTGGAATCCAAAATGTATCATCTTGTTTATGCCAGAGCCGAAGCATATTCGTTTCCTGAATAAGGTCGGGCTTGGCTTGCTTTTCCTTGACAGCACGTCTAGTAACATCCAATTCGGTAGGAATAAACTCATTAATTGCTGGCAAGTAAAATGCGTCATTAGTTGTCAAGTTGCTTAGCATCTATAAGTATTGTTTGTTTCACAGATTAAGTTAGAAAAAACAAATATTTTGCCAATCCAATAAAAATAAACAAATGGTAGATATATTACACCACCTCCCATTATTGTTACCTGCTTTAAACGTTCGGTGAGCGGCAATACAGTATATTCCGTATTGTACCATCGCTCAACCCTGTCACACTGGATGCCATATGGGAACTCTTGGCTGGCCAGTGTCAATCGGAAATTGTCGGGGCGCAGCAAAGCAAAGTGCTCTTCAATCAGATGTGGGTCATACGCTCGAAGCAGGCTGGTGCCGCTGATGGTCCATTGTGGGGGGTAGCCTTCTTGCATCTGTTGTGTCAACCACGAGGTGTATTGCGATGGAGGGTACTTTTCCGTAAACTTGAAATCAATGGCTGCCAAAGACTGGACCTCGTCGAAGATCCATTTCTTCACACCAACGGTTTTCATCATTTCGATATACTGGAAAATAACACCCACAATATCTTCATGGTGATCTAGTAAAGCGAAAGATTGAAATTTAAGCTCTTTTTCTTAGACTCTAAATCTTTCTCTCTCTCTCTCTAGCAACCCCTCTTATCTCGATCCCATCGTATATATAGTATGCAAGATTGATGGATGCATATGGAGATTCTTACGTAACCCGTCTTCGGTCAAGTCAATACCAACATGGAAAAAGCCGAAACCACGACCCCCATAGCAGGTACCGGAGCTAAGATAGGTTGCCCAGCCCTTCTTTTTCAAAAAGGACAAGATCGAGCCAGGGCCTTCGTGACCGATAAGGTGAGAAATGTAATGCGCAGGCTGTGTAAAAGTCGTATATTGGCCACGTAAGAAAAAAAATAAGAACATAAAACGGGTTCAGTTTACATTCGATGCTAATGTATGCTGGCTGTATATATGTGTGTTTTTCTTTCCCACTTTGCACATCAACTATCAACATTACTTATTACGTACCTGGCTTTCGAAATAAGGATTCTGATCCGGAAAGGGAAAAGTAAGATCGAGAGTGCGATTATGCTTTACTGACTTTACGAAAATTTGTTTCTAAATCATGCCAACATTTCAGTCCCAATACAGATATAGTTAGTAAAACCGGTCCAAAAAGGGATGTATGGACAGCGAAAAGCAGGAGTAGCTAAATGTTTACCTGGACTTCATTTTCGGTGAGGGGGTGACCTTCGAACTCTGGAACTGGGGTATTCTTGTTGCGCACATGGGAGAACTTGCTGGTTACCCATTCGGTAAGTTGATCAAGAGACTCTGCAAATCGGGTCGGAGCAAACAATAGCAAAGCGATGGTTTAGTGTTGTGCTTTATTAAAAACAAGCAGCGCATGCGTGTGTATGCTGCTCATGTGCATAAAAGCTTCCCTTACCTTTCCCAAGCACACAGAGTTTCATTATGTTTGCGGAATAGAACGTCTCGTGAAACTTGAGCAGTTCCTGACGCACATCGACTCCACGCCGCTTCGGAGCTTCCATTAATGTTTCCAGGTTACCGGTCTCGAAGTGGCGCCATGGATGCTTTGGGTTGCTAAGTGTCTTCTCGACTTGTGCGATACGCCAGCAATCCGATTGCAAGTTCTTTTTATGCTCTTTAGAAGTATATGTGTGTGTTTGCGTGAGAACCTCGTCTGTTTCTTTTTTCGGTGGAGTGGAGGGGATAGCAGGAGCTACCACCATTACTAACTAACTCCATACATGCATTTTACACAAACATGCAAAACACATAGGATATACTATGATGTTGTAAGCTCATATGCTCAAACAGCAACAAACATCTCTTACCAGAATCTACAGCACGGAGTTCACGCTCAGTGCAACTCTCTGAGAACAACGGGTCAATAAAGAATCGAGAGAACCGATCCAATGCACCCTCGAGCCATGGATGACCGACTTCGAAATAATAGTTTGTATTTTCGGTACCAGTGAAAGCATTCGCATACCCTACAGACATAGCAAACGGGTAAATGAATCAGATATCCCCCTCTTTGAAATCAAAGACACGCGAGAAACCCCATTTGTTATATCAGTACCAGAATGCTCGGAGAGGTACGAGTAGTAATCGTTTTCTTTTGGATATTTCTCGGTGCCCATAAAAAGCAAATGTTCGCAAAAGTGTGCCAGTCCCTCTAGCAGATCCTGGTTTTCAATGGAAAAGTAAGTACCTGTTGTTGTTTCCTAGTAACACAACACATAATAAACAGTTTCTATGGTAAACTTACGGGATCACTCAAATTGCCGACATGTACATCGAGTGCAGCACTTGCTCGATCCGTTTCGGGATCGCTGATGAGCAACACCTCCAGTTGATTGGCAAGTCGTACCAATCGGTATTGGCGCTCATCGCTGTCCGGGCGTTCAAGTGGGTGCGCATATACGTAATGAGTGCCATCGCTAGAAGCGGTCCAGTCAGTCAAGAGCGATCGTGCCACCATAGTTTATTTTTTACAGTTGTCAAGCGAGAAACAAAGAGAGAGAGAGAGATAGTTTTTATGTGAAAAAAAAGAGAAAGAAAGGGAAAGGTAAAGAGAAAGCCGAACCGTTAAGTAGCAATTGAGAGGTGATTGAGTGAGAGTGGGTTAGCAGTAGCATACAAGGTGCGTGACACGCACCCCCATTCTTCTCCTTCTCCTCCTCCGCATGGTGCGCGCGGTTACAAAGAGCGAGGTGTGGGGGTGGGAGGGGTTGCAAAGAAAGCATAGATCCGAAGGAAGGCTTTGATGTTATGCCTCAATATTTTCGATGAGCCATAATGTGTTCCCCATTTATCGTTCGGCGAACAAGAAACAGGTCACTTGATCTCACTGACGTTTTACTCGTTCGGCTTACATTATAACTTTGAAACTCAAAATGAAGGAACCTTCGTCAAAGTAGAGTCCAGTTGTTGTGGCTGTGGTGGTTGGTCTTTCGATGATGCATAACGACCCAATTTGTCCGAAAGCTTTTCCAGGACAATATATCTTGTTGCTTAGTTTCTACATACTCCTTGGTTGCCATGATTATTACTATAAGTTTTTTGGATGGGTTTCCATAGTAACAAATTATTGTTGCAAGAGATTCCCACATGCATAAATATATAATTATTTGTGCTGGTAAGGTGATCCATTCCGTATTTTTTTTATTATAGAAGCGTGGCCCGGCGAGCTCAAGCACAAAAACAACTTTTTACTGTTACATGCGTCGTACCTGCTCAGAAAATCTTTGTTTGGGGGGGATTTTCGAGGAAGGGGGGGGAGACCAAGAGGAAAAGAGAGAAAGAGAAATCCAGGTACACCGACTACATATATAAAACAAATTATACATTATAACCTACAAGATGATTAAATTCAAGTTGCACACGCACAAACTAAAAGACTGGAGTGTAACGTTTTATCCTTTGTACTATAAAAAATGTGCTTCAAGTTTAATGTAGCAGCATTGCATATGCACAAACTTTTAAGCTTTAACCTGAGCTTATCCCCCCAGTTCATATGTATCTCATGAAGAAGAATGCAAGTAGAGCAGTCAAAAGAATGCATTGGACATCATCCTCAATAGAGCCAGTAGCTACCTTCAGGCTTCGTCTTTCCTTTTTATATTTTTATTCGCTTCGGCATGACGATGACGGTGTCTCAAGGTGCCACTCGTCGAAAAACAAAAACATGTTAGCTGCGCGGGTCATATTCCAAACTGGGCAAAGTTTGCCACTATCCACGTAGGGATGTTCACCCCCTCTCCCCACAATATCTTTATCCAGCTGACTTATTGAGCTGTAAGCTCTCTATATCTCTTCTCCTACCACCCTCCCCCAACCAACAGACCTTCTCCACTCAAGTGGCAGTAGTTTTCCTTTACAATAGATGAGAGAGTAACAGTAAGTACGATTATGAGAGGAATATCGGATGATTAGGTCACATTGCTAACCTGACTTTAGCTACGTCCTTTTGTTACCTTTCCTATATATTATAGCCTGTCTTGTTCTTGACTTTGGGTAGTGCTCAAGTACGATGGTTACCAATTATAGCACGATACATCTGTAAAACCAAAACAAAGAAGCAAGAATGTTTTCATGAGACGTCTCTGGAAAGAAGGGGGTCATGATGGCGGAGAATTGATACAATGTGTGAGTTTGGGAGAAATATGGTATTAGCAGTAATGATACGTATGTTATATTATCGGTTGACACACACACACGCTGAATAGCCACAAAAGAGCTTGGTACTCTTTTTAAAAAAGGTATCAGTGTGTGCGTGTACATATACACTGTTAGCAGCAATATGAAAGATCTGCTGCAGCAGCAGCAGCATTGGAAGAGGGAAAAAAGAGGAACGGGACTCACATGATTACTCTCTGTATTTGTCATATCATCACTGTACTTCATCATCCGTCCGTCGTATACAGTTTGTGTCTCAAGAACTTTTCCCGCCAAATGCGAAACACACACATAGAGTCAAAAGCTGTGTTCCGAAGCACCCCGGCAAATGATTCCTAGTGTGTGTGACATGTATGGCGCTTTGGCCAGGTATCATTGCACAAAACTGGAGCGGGTTTTGGGTAAAGTGATGTTCAATGACGAGGAAGTAAGCCTATTAGAAATGGATCCGATAGAGCGAGATCACGTTTCCGTCGCCCGACTTTTGTAGCGCTCTTCTTCTCCGGAGAGGAGGGGGGGAGAGGTGTTGTCATACATACCCGGTTACAGTAAAAAGTACACACATATTTTTTTTCTTTGTTATTTTTAAAATAAGTGTGTATATATATTGTTTTTGGGAGCATGAAGGACCGAGGGGAACACTGAACTAAATCTTATCATCGGATCTACCTTATATGGACATACCATGTTGGTTACTACATGTTACTATTGGCGGCTCTTGTTCTCTTTTGCTCGCATGATGATAATGATACCACCATCATCACCTTACCACAAGGCAGCAGTCGTAAATGATACAACTACCTGTTCATCGCAAGCAATGAGAGAAGTGTAGGAATCATTGTGTATCTTTCTTCTTGATGCAGACTAACAGCATTGGTAGTGATAAGTAAGTACAACGACACAACGAAAACCTCGCAGCCCAGGAGTGATAATAAAAGCCTAATCAAAATATCAAAGCAGAGAATGTAGAGAAACTATTGCTCATTCTACATATTCATCATCACAGGCACATTTTATAAACAAGAAAATAAAACAAACCAGATCGTGACTCATTATTGTGCTCCGCGCTTACTTGATGGGCTATGACACTGTGGCTGCAGCGAAGTGTCATGAATCTCCGTAGCGCTATGCCGGCTGGGCATACAGGCTGTTGCTTTTAAAAGTATACGATAAGCGTCATAGGTGGCGCTCGCACTGTACCGGCCGGTGGGAGAATTTTTTTTTTCGCAATCTATGTTGTGAACGAGAGACCGGGTCAAGCAAAAACAAGTGATGTATACACCAACGAAAGATGATGATAATACAAAAAAAGGTATCCCAGCATTTTTCTTTTGCTACGTGGGACGACGATGACGGTCTGTGGGGACATGTGGCGCAGGGTGCGTGTACTCATGCAACATCGTGTTACATGTGGTTGCTGTCCGGTTTTCTTCGCTATACTACATGTACAATTCTGCTACTATATGTATGGAGAAAGCGCCATAACGTGTGTGCGCAAGAGATACAAGCAGCTATCCATTCAATGCCGGAGCGGGAGAGCCATCTCGTTTTCTGTTTTCATGGGCTTAGAAAGACAAGCTCCGCTTGTATATTGTAATTCTCGATGGTGTTATGAAGAAAAGGTGCTTTGTTGTTTTACAATTTACATATAATCACGTGTTGCCGTTACTTCTTGAGCCTTTCTTCTGACAAGAAGGATCATTTGCAGCAGTGATGGTGGCCCACATCAGGAATTCTTAGACGCACATCATACATAGAGACAGAAGTTTCATCGTTCCAAATATTCGTCTCAAATATCCAAATATGTAATTGGGCTCAGAGTCATCTGTGCATGAGCGCCGCCGCTCTGGAATGCTGTCCTACACTGTTTTTAGTCCTATAGACAAGACGCAACTGGTGGCCTGTCTGCTGCTGCTGTAAAGGAAACAAATGTTGCAATTACATCATACTGTAAACTGGAATGGTAAGCGCCGTATTAACTGTCAACCGGCACTTTTTTTCCTATCACTGCGCATAATCTAATGTACGAAATAAAGGTGTATGTATGCTTCAATGTGTAATGTTGCTCAGTAATAATACATTTTATTTATAAACAGCTAGCCTGGCTGTGGTGCATGCATAATATAAATGCAGCATTCACAAATGCAGCATTCACAAATGCAGCATTTACAAATGCAGACAGACAAGCATGCTGTATTATTTAATGCATTTCAATGAAAGTCATGTGATATATGTATGGAGATCCTTCGCAGAGAGAGAAAGAAAAGGAAATGCGTAATAGTTGGTGGGCTAGAATGCAAGTTACAAGTGTTTACAGTAGTACAGTAGGTTTGTAGTCAGGAATCTGCGAATTATAGCAAGGGAAATGCAGTGTTATAAAGTGGAATGGGGTATGTAAGCTTATGCAAAGAAAGTACGTATGTAGACTCGTTTATAGTAAACATAACCGAGTGAGTAGAATACATTACTTGTTTTCTTCCTCCTCCGTCATAGAGCCTGGAAACTTGCTCGAGCATTGTATTCCTGCTCGGCTCTAATAGTGGTAGATATACAGGTAAATTGATACATAATGTTATGATGAGTTTGAGAAGTAGAAAAATATCTTCCACATGTTTATTTTCCTACTTTTATCACTTTAAGCTCGGTAAAATTAGAAAATTGGATTCCATAAATGATATGTACGTTGATGCTTCTTCTTGAGCCTTTTGCCGAGCGCGGTCTCGTTTGGTTGCGATCCATTCAGCATCATCACGGCTGACCTTTTTTGTGATGGTGATAATTCCCACAAGATCAACAGTGAGTCGTTTTTTTTTGAAGAAATCATAATAGCTGTTCTTGTTTTTTAACATTACTATTATCAAAAAAAGTCCTCACTTTTACGATTTGTACATTGCGCTTATGACAAGCAGTATGCAGTCTCAAAGCAACATGTCTCGGGTCTTCTTCATAAACTTTTGCAGGGTTCATGATGGCTGATAATAACCATACAGATTAGATGTCTTTTCTGCTTTCTATTTTTCTTTTGGAGTTCCAGGTATGTATACAAATGAAAATATCCATCACTGACCGTCGACAATCTTTTTGCTGGTAACTCCAACGACCAAGTAAAACCCTTTTGGAAAGATGTCAACTACTTTTTCAATAGCCTATTGAGAATGATGTCATTATTACGATGATGTGGATATGGATCGAATGAATGAAGTTATAGATTTACTTAAAACTAAGCATTATTAATATTAAAAAGAAAACTGTACCAGTAGTTGCAAATGGAAGAATGAAGTAGGCATAGTTTCTTCCAAGCGCTGACATAGTTCTCGAAACGTATCATCAGCCCAGCACACCGCGTATGTTGCAAAAGGATATTGGCCGCGCTTCCAGTCCTCCTTGCGGCCAACTTCGAGCAAAGCAACATGTTCTCTCGGATGCGGTACTCGGCCTAATGCAGACTAAATTCATTCACACATACACAGTTGTGTGAGCTTGTATCATGTTTTGTGTGTAACAGTTTATGTATGGTTCGTTGTTTCTCTCGCCATTCCGTATTCCCTGTCCCTTTTTCCCCAAAATCAGCAAGAACAGTAATGGCAATAGTACTGACTGTCCGCTCGACGGTTGAATATGGCATGGTGAAAGAAAAAGTCAAACTGGAAAGGCTTTATACAATATACACATGGCAGACAGGTTTTTATTTTATTTTATTTGCATGAAAAACCTTGAGCACGCGGGCCTCGGGGAGAGAAAAACATGGAAAAGGCGCGACGCGAATTCACCGTGCTTTTTCGTACCTGTTCTACAAACACACAAACGATGCTGAGAAAACGTAAGAGGCAACTGGCCCAACAGCTATTACAACAAGAAGGAACATCACGGATCCTTGATGCTATTGAATTACCACCATCCGACCACGATTCATACTATAGCAGGGAGCAGCAACAACAACAGCAAGAAGTAGACGACGACGACGATTTCCAAGTAGAGGGTAGCATTGTAGCGGCAAGCAGTCGACATTCGGTAGTGTCACGATCCAATTTACCAGTAGCATCACGCCAATCCGCTTCCCTGGCTCGACACTCAATAGCAGCTTCTGTACGTCAATCACCAGCACCAACACTGAATCGTAGTATAACGGCAGTTTCCGTTGAACGAAACTCAGTAGAATCAGAATTAGGATTTTCCCTTCACCGTTCACAACCGTTAGAAGAGGAAGACGATGACGACGAGAACGATCCGTTCTCGGACGGTGAGCAAAGCGATGATGACCGTAGTGCTGCCAATACAAGTACGTTTTTTTGTGAGGAAGGAATTGTGTAGAGAGATTAGGTTTTTTTCTTCTGTGTACAATCCATGCAATATAAACAGATACACATATACTCACGTATACACTGACTGAACCTCCACTTGTGTCATAACTTAGGAAGTGTTGTTAGTGGGGCTCCTGCTCGTCGCCGGAAAAACATGCGAAAAGAGGCACCGACCTTGGCGCCAATGGATGATGCTATGCGCGCAGAAGTGTATAAAATATTGAAAAAAGCTGTGAGGTAAGTTGTGCCCCGCCCAACGGTATGATAGAGGAGGATTGTATATCCACACAATTACATTCAGGTTTGCTAATATTTGCAAAAAAAGTCAAGCTATGGATGATATAGTCAAAGAGCTTGGTCTTCCAAAAAGCGCTGAACACGTTTCTGTTCATTCTGCTTTGACCAGGATGATGGATGTGCTGCAGAAACGTATCTATCGAACACCTATACCGTCAGATGTCAAAGCCAAAATGTTCAATCGAGAGAAAATGGAAGCATCCAATGTACGCTCCCTATACATATATGATAAGATTGCATGTGTGTATATATGGATACTTAACTCTCTTCTTCTTTTTTTTTGGTGGTAGGCGAAAATTGAAGCCACAATAAAATCAATGTTGAGCCAGTTGATTACTGTGGAACGCGGTGCTCGAGAAGATGAAATAAAATTAGAAGAGGAGAAAAAGCAGTTTGAGCGGTTACAAGAACTGGAACGCACAGAGCAGGAGAGGACGAACAAGAAGCGAGAGGAGCTCATGGTAAGAAGAAAGAGCTTTGATACATGTGGTCCATATCTTCCAGCTGCATAAAGGGTTAACATTTGTGATATGTAGGGTATCGATAAACTGTTGGCTCAAGGTCCGCCTGAGGATGACTACGTCTTGAGTTTATTGCATTATCCAAGCTCAAAGTTCTCTTAGAGAACAATCATCTTCAGAAACCTCTCCTCATAACTAGCACCATGTATCTACAATCTCGTCATCACGCATTATATATATCCCCTCCTCCTTCTATTACTACGTCTTCCCTCATCCGTCATCTTCATTCTCCTCCTTTGCATTTCAAGTAGTAACATCTTAATTCAAATCATATTATATCTCAACTGCAAGCATCGTTACAAATTAATATGCTTTCGAGAAGAGGCATATGCTTCGAACACGCACCTCCCCAAAACGCAGCAACGACAATGTATGTGCGACAGAGGCATATGTCAACCACTTAAAACAGTCATCTTGGCATTTTAAAAGGCATTCTTTGTCTTTTAATGAACTCCTTGTTACAACTTGACATTTTCTTTGGTTCTTTTTAAAGATAACATTTACTGCATACTAGCCCTTTTTTCTTTCCTTTTTTGGAGCAACTGAGCTTACTCCCTCTCTTTCCGTTGTTCCTAATCAAGCACAATTTTTCTTTTTTGCCTCTATCATGCCACGTAGTCGTTATGCCTGCCGATGGGGCGATTGCGATCAGTTTCTCGAGAATGCCGAAGCTCTTTATGAACACTTATGCGACGACCATATTGGTCGTAAAACAACAAACAATCTCTGTCTCGAATGTTGCTGGAATAACTGCGGCATAAAAGCCGCCAAGCGCGATCATCTCACTAGTCATTTGCGAGTGCACCTTCCCTTAAAACGTAGGGCTATTTCTATGAATATGTGATAAGCGACTCTATATCACTGCTCTAATATGAAGCATTTTTCTTCTTCTCTGGATAATAGCACACCGTTGTCATGTAAGTGAATATGGATAAGTATCAAAATCCAAGAAATATTGAATTAATTTGGCCCAATGTCCCTATCAATGAACAACAGACTTGCAAGAAAGCTTTTAAGCGTCCACAAGACCTTAAAAAACATGAACGCATACATACAATTGAACATAAAGGTATATAAAGCTATTTACCATAGATGGTTTTTCTATTGCTTTCAGTAACTTTTTATTGACTATTTCGATATAGCATCGTTGCTAAGCAACCAGCCTGGATACAAACCTGTTCGCCGTCGGCGCAATACGCAGCAACAACAACAACGGCAGCAGCAACCAATAACTAACGTAACACAAGTGTCAAAGCCAGCGACCATATCATCGACCAACCCACAGAGTCGTTCGCTATCTACATCTACCAGCAGGAACGACGGTGATACAGACGCAGGATACTTTTCCGAAATGTTGACTGGGAGCAGTCCAAGCTCATATCGAGGAAGTGCAAATTCATCGACTAGCTACCATTTAACTACAGAAACAGAGGACGACGATGGGAATGATAGCGACAGTACCTACGTTACTCGAGTACGGAACAATAGCGAGAATAATACAACGTTCAAGATGGAAAGACAACGCGGAGCAGCATGCACTGAGGATAATCTAAACAATAATAAGAACAGCAATAGTAGCAGCAGCAGTAACAGCAGTAATGTCGCTAGTGATGCTTTACAAAACTTTCTGTACGACGCCATCCAATCAACAACTCTATCACCTGATTATGATACGGGTAAGAAGACGATGAGGGGGAGGGGAGGAGGATATGGAGGGAAGATAGTGGGTTTACTAACGCACTAGCTATAATGTTTTTCCTTACTCCAAATTTACAGAAATGATGGAACGACTGGATAGCATCTCTCATGAGCTACAGCGACAACAATTTAACAACTGGACAGCACCAGTCAATGATCCCAACGACATTAACACATTACAAAACTGGCTCGAACAGCTATCAGCCAACATTCAGACCGATGTGTGCCTGTACCCTGAAATCACTTCGCCCTACCAACTAGCTACTGCTGGTGTGACCATGCCAAGCAATCCTGACAACGAATTGTATCCCAGTGCAGAAGCGACAATACCGGACTGGAAAGCCATGATGATGACATATTCGGACAATCCTTTGGCAGCCACTCTACTTGAACAACAGCAACAGAAGAACAAAAGTGATCTCACACATGGGATGCCACCTTCTGTTCACTCTTCCGGCAACACGTTATCTTCTTCAAACAGCAACATGAACGGCGCAGCCAGTTCGTTAGGTGCCAGCTTCTTCACGCCCGGGAATTCTGCAGAGGTCGAGATTCAACCCATGGAAGATGCAGGACCGTCAGAAGCGATTGAATTCGAATCATCCGCCACGACCATGGTTTACAGCAAACCGCAGCCGCTTCATCTGTTTGAATCATCTAAAGAAGAGACGGAGACTGCCAAGCAAAATGTACAGTCGACTCTGCACAGTGACAAGAGGAGTATGATGCATATGCTGAATGCATTTACTGCACCTGCCGCTGCTGACGATGATGATAATACAAAAGAAAGAGCAGTTCAAGTCAGCAAAGTATCTCCACGAGCAGTAGCAACAAACGATCGACACGAAGCACCGTCATTACCTCAAAAAGACAAAGATGAAAAGAAAAGGGTTGGAGACGGTGATCACGACAATGAAGAGCAGTTCACAGAAGAAACGCTTCGATTACCACCTATAGCAACATCAACAGCAAAGACAACGTTGGAGACACGATTGAATTCGCGCGATTCTATCACACAATTACTATTCAGCAAAATCGTCGACGAGAAGTCTCCTACTATGCAGGAGCATGACAGCAAGCATCGACAAGAACTCGGCAAGAATTCGTCAAGGGACAGGAATAACGGCAGCGGTGGTTCACCTTCACCTTATGCAGAGCTCGCCGACAAATTGCGCGATCTGACTGTTGATGCCGACAACAAATCTGCAGAAGAATGCGCACGACAGCGTCATGCTGCGATCGTTGATCGACTTTGGGAAGCCGTCTTACGAGCCAAGAAAGCAGCTAATAACAAAAACGCAACAAAACATCGTAAATCGCCTCCTCCTTCTACTTTTAATGTACGTGATACCACCACTACCGCTACTGATGCACAACAACAACAACAAAAGCATTATCAAGATGTTCAGACCCCTCTTGTATCAGTTTAAACAACATTTATCACGCTCTTTCATACCACCAGGCATGCCCACTTTCTTTCTTTCCCCCGTTCTCTCTCTCTGTCTTACACACGTATATGTAATTCCTCCTATAATTCCATATCTTTTTGTCCAACCATTTGCCATTTGATACCTTTTCATTTTCTTATATTTTGCTGGATATACATTTAATATCGATCATTTTGTGGCAATATAACAAATATCTTGATTATTCATTTTTTTAATGTTGCAATAAGTTTTACTAGCAGTGAAGCTATTCAGACATTATTGTTGATTACTACATTTTTGTTTAATAAAAAGGATGCTGAGTGGTAGTTGCTCGCTAGTGAAAAGAGTTGTATTTTATCTACATGATTGTTGTGATGGTGTAGTGAGAAGGGGTTGTGTCTCCCTGTGTGGGGATGAAGTATTGTCGCCCCGAGCTCCTGCTTTTTGTGATCATCGATTCCTTTTTCTTTTTCTGTTATTCTTGTTGCCGCTCGAGAACTTGGTTAATTCGATGCTGTAAATACTCTTCATTGAAAAGACATAATGACCGCTCCTTACGACTTAATGCAGCCATTAGTGTATCGACCACTGTGTCGATCCCAGCATTGTCGACTTGAGATAATCTTTGCTGCACGACTTCATGTAATCGCTGACGTCCGCCATCCGGTGGACTTGCGGTTCTTCCAATGGCTTCGGCTATGCTACTACTCTCTGATATCCCGCTCTCGGTAATCCTGTCGTCTACATGCTCTGCTTCTTCTTTTACTTCAGCACCACTCGTTACTGGCTCTACGATCTCTTGCTGTTGTTGTTCCGCACCCTTTTTTGTATTGTCTCCTTCCACAAACGCCTCTGTTTTCTGCTGGTGCCGCGACTTTTGTTGTTGTTGGTATCTTGATGGTCGTTGCTGATGCTGGTAATGATGATGCTGATAATGCTGTTGCTGAATTTGGGAATGATAGTGTATAGCTGGCTGATGTGAGGCTGTTGGTGACATGGAAGAAGAAAGAGTGTGGATATGAGAAGGTGGCGGCGGCGATGGTGAGAAATACTCGGCCATAGTAATAGGCTGTTGTTGAGGTTGATGATAATAGTAATAGTATGGATTAGTGCTGGCACTTGGAGAATGAGGAACTAGATAGGGGGAGTGTGGAAACATATAATGATGGTGTTGTAAGGTGAAAGGTGACACAGGCTGCGATGACGGCGTCTGATGTGTTGGCGAGGGACTGTATGGTGTGTAATAAGATGGCGATGGTGGTGGCATCATTAATGGTGGAGGAACTGGATGGTGGTGTCCACGATGATGATGATGATGCTGTTGTTGTTGTTGCTGTTGCTGATGATGATGAACAAGCCCACTGCCACTGGTTTTGACTTCTGCTACTGTGCCGCTGCCACTGCCACTAGCACCACCACTGCTACTCGTTACGGTATCGGCAATAGCAAGAAGTACGTGTTCAAATGAAAATTGGCCCGCAAGATGCGATTGAAAAAGCTTTGTTACTTGCTGCTGATAGTCTCGCTCTGGTCTCGGTACTCGTGGTTCGTGAAAACGGACGCTCATTGGCTCGCTAGTCCATTGTTGCTGTTGCTGTTTCTTTTCATCATTATGATCTTCGTTTTCTTCTTTCTTATCACTATTCAAAGAATAACTTTGTGACGCTGCTGCTGTCTTTGTTGTTGATGATTCTTTAACATGCACGTATCCATCCATTTCTAATAAGGCTGCTGCGGCTTCCGTTGGGTGGCTGTAGCTGACAAAACCGAATCCACGAGATTCGCCGGTGGCTGGATCTTCCATCACTCGTGCACTGATAATACGTCCAAAAGGTTTGAAAAGATTAAAAAGACCCGTGCTTTTGATTGATGGATCGATGTGCTTTACGTAAATATTGCATAAATCCATTGCCGGTTTAAGTTCAAGTCGTTGCTTGGTTGATGAGGATGTTGCTGTTGGGCTGGATAAAGCAGTAGGCTTTTCGTCGGCCGTCATTTGTCTCTGTTGCTGCTTTCGCTGTCCTCGGTGCTGCGTACTACGTTGTTGCTGTTGCTGTTGCTGTTGAAATATTGTGTCACCACTGCTGCTGTTTTTAGAAGAAGGAATTGGGGAAGAAGGAGAAGAAGAATCATGTGGTTTTTGCACATGTCCCGTTGTGCTAATATTTGTCTGACATCAAGTCCATTCACGTTAATAGATTTTTTCAGAAACAAGCTCAGTGGTACAATGGTACTGCGGTGGTTTTGTTCGTCTTTTTTCTTTTTACCTTGGAGGACGATGGTGGCTTTTTGGTATGATCTGATGATGACTTTTCCGGAGGAGTTGCTGAGGCATCTTTTACTATGATCGACCTTTTAACAAAGATAGAAAATTACCTATCCGTGTTGCAGCTAATATGGTTATACGAAAACAAATGTTCGAGTAAGGGCTTACATGATGCAATGCTCGAATATAATTGATCCGTTCTGTACTTATTAATTGACCATTAGCATTTATCACTCAAGACATTAGTGCTGCTGCTACATAAAAGTGTATATAAGGTTACAAAAAAGATTGTAAATGTACCAATTCAGATATTGCTCGGTCAGATTCTTGTTTAGACACGTATTGAACAATGATTGTTGGATCGTGCTTTTCCGTACACAGCTCACATGCTTTTAAAAGGTTGTTCTGGTGTATTGCGCAACGATGACGGCGCTGACATTTGATCAATTGACCGTACTCTCTAAAAATACTGAATGTTTCTGGAAACCAAGTTTGAACAGTAGCTGGCACACCGCGAATATGAAGCAATGGTGGAAGAAGAGTGTTGTCGTTGTCTTCCGTCGTTTTGTGATAAAGGAGCTCTAATCGCAGCCTCCTTCTGCTCTTTTTTGATGTCTTTGCGACAATGATGGACGTGTCATTAAAGAGTGCATATGCGCGCTCAGCTGATGATTAAGTCGTTTTTGTTTTTGGAGGACAGAGAGGAATCAGCTGGTCGTAAATTGAGCATTGCTTCGTCCCCACCCAGTATTATCTACAGTACCTTGTGCTTCGCTACGGAATTGGATATGGCCAGCTACGATACGTCGGGTGCCCTTGTAGTGATACTCAATGGGACCGGCTGATTGGCTATTGCAGTCAGTTGATGCAATTGTGTTGGTCTCTATTCTTTATTGAAATGATGAGAAGAGGAATAATGCATGTTTGATATAGGAGGGAGTAATAACTAGACCACCACCCGCGCATTTCGCAATACACTACGTTCTCCACAGCAAAAACAACTAGACAGGCAATCCGTCAGAGCGAGCAGCACGACAAGCATTGTATACTGTCCATGCTTTATAGTAGGTTACGGATGTCTTCCACTTTACCCATTGCTCCAAAGAGAGTCAATAACAATTAAAAAGAAGCTCAAAGGATGGCTACTTACTCTAGGGGCTCTTGTTGTATGCTTGAGAAAATTTCGACCAGTTTTGTATTGTAACGAACAAGGAAGTTGGCGTCGTCATCATTGTCAGCCGTTTGTGGTGCAAGCACAAATAGTTTATTACGGTTCTCGTTGTCGACAAAAAACCGCGCCATTTTTCGAGTATTGCTTGCGTTTCGTCTGGTTCCTGCTTCTGCTTCCGCTGCTTCTACCTGCACAGATCCGAAACGTATTTTAGCAAAGAATAAATGTAGAGCAATGTTCCTCCGGTTATACACGCGCTCCCTATCTGGTAAGTACCTGCAGTAACCTTTACTGCTTTCCGGGGAGAAATTGTGCCGTGGTTTTCACTTCGTGGCCGTTTCTATTTCGGGTTGCTATTTTTCTCTGCTGCTCCCAGGTTATAGGTATGTATGGTGTATATCGTGCTCTCTCGGGTGATGGTGGTGAGCTGAGTTTGAACAAAGCTGTTTTCGAGTCGCGTATTCGTTTGAAGGAAAAGGGTTGTTGCTGTGACGACGACGATGATGATGATTCAAGCGTTTAGTCGCTGTGTGTCCGTTGAAGAAAGCAGAAAGAAAGGCGTCTGTTTTATAAAAAAAGAAGATCATCAGCCAAATGAATTTCTTTTGGGGACACACTCTGCAAAAAAGAACATTATCCAGTTTCGGTATGTCGCTCAATTCATGAACTTCGCGTGTCACAAGGGCGATATTGCTCCCATGAGAGCTACTTCCATTCTGTTTCACTCTCGCTTCTTTGTAGCTGTAGGCATAGTGGTGGTAGTCGTAATAGTAATAGTGGCAGTAGGAGTATGGATGAGACAGCCCATGCAGGAACAGCCAAAAGGATCGGTTGTGTTCATTCGTAGATTCACAGCAGCTCTTTAGCAGTCAGCTGTCTGCAAAATGTGCACAAGTAGCCTTGATGCTGTCACCTCCCCTTCTCGCTAACCCTTCAGATTTTTCCGACACACGACGACAAAAAGATAGGTGTTGCTTGGGACACCGGAGTATATGCAATGCCTGAAAAAGTAGTTAATGGGAATTTTTTATCTTTTTACACCAATGGCAATGGTGGTTGATCTTTTTGTGATATTCTTTGATTCGTGATCGCACACCAGTAGAAGCAACCAGACACCTTAATTTGGCTGTGATGATGATGATGATGATGGTGACCCTGATATCTTATTATCCCTATGCTGCTGTGTACACTGTTCCCGGGAGCATTTGCTTATGCTCTGTGTAACACTTTGCCCAATTCGCTATAAAGAATCATTTGCACAGTCAATTTCTTACCTTGCTCAAAGATGATATACAACACCGTTTCCAGAATTACTTGTCGCACATTTCGAAAAACTGTGCGGCATTAGAGTGTCGCGTTTTATCAAAAGGATGTCGGCATTGTCGAAACCATCTTTGATGCTAACCTGCCATCCAAGAGATGTCGCATAATACCTTGTTACTCGGCCTCTTTCTGTTACCTCGTTCTGTAATTGGTCCTTTTTATATATGTGGAAAACCGTTACTTCGCTCTACTACCTCGTTGCTTTCTTTTAGTACTACAAATATGAGCATTTGCCGGGAAGAAGCTGCTTGCATGTTTTTTTCACGAGGCCTTTTATTGGATAGAATGTAGTTGGGCTAAGGGAATAATTTACAATATGGAAGATCTGGTTATTTGCTGTGAAAATAATCCAAAGCAGCCTGTTTTGGTATCGTCGTTTGCATGGCGCATATTTCTCTCCTCTGGAATTGGCTCCTGCTCAACAGAATTACCGTCCGATGAAGTTGACCGCCCTCTAGGTAAGGTGTGTCATGCTTATTCACTAGACGGTCCTACTTTGCTCATATCATCATTTATTACAAGCAACGCAAGTTCAAGCAATCTGGCCCCATGACCCTCTGAACGAGACGCTATTTGAAGCCAAAATTATGTCCACTTGACAAGTATATATATTGTTTTCTGGTAGAGCCATGAATATTCAAATGCTTTGCGAAATGCAGCTCGAAGATAATCAAGTTTCTTCAAAGTCGAGCGTTACACAAAAAGTTCACTGTCAGATACTGATCCATCATTGCCATGGAAAAGGACTACCATCGTGAGCACAAAAAACACAAAATGTTTTGCAGTATGTGATATTTTCTATCAGATTTTTAAAGATGATATTGTCAGGATATTCTCTAAATGCTTGCCAAAAAACCTGGACAACCGCACGAGGACTAAGCATATGAATGCTTCATGTTGCTATGGAAGGCTGCTGCTTCGTCAGAAAAAGCACAGTTGGTAGGCTTGTAGTCCATGTCAATTTTCAGTCATTAGGCAACCTAATCATGCGAGCCGTAACTAAATTTCAGGGCTGCTTCTTTCAAAAAAAAAAGGCACGCTTCAGGCTAATCTTGCATTTTTTGGTTATAAAATCATGCAATGCAGTTCTCTCTTGATGTCAAGATCAAAAAAGCTCTCTGTTAGATCTGCCATACTAATCATTATTTAGCACAAGCGTGAGACTATCATTAAAAATCAATGGGTCTAACACCACCGCTACGTTTGATGGCATCTCACTTTGTTTCTTTTTGAACTTGTTGGACGTAGTATTGCGTAGTGTGATCTGCAGTTGTACAGTGGCAGCTCGTACTGAGATGCCCCTTTCGTACACCAAAGAAAAAAGAAGGCTCTTTTCATTTCATTCTTACAACATCGATACGCATTCCTCTTTATTATATTGCTGCTGTCGCTTGTTCATGGATATCTTTGTTTGCTTGGTTTTTTCAGCGATCACTCGTTAAATTCGTGTGTCGTTCATAATCCGTAATTAGGTCAACAGAGTATAGATGGCTATCGCTATCCATCATATCTATATCTGTTCCATCGTCATGAACAAATGAGACCATTTTAAATATATATTGCAGATAAGGATTCTGGACCTGTTCTCGCAGCATACGCAAATTAGAAGCTTGTTGTGTGCCCAAGCATTTCTTCTTAAAAATTGGTAGATTTATTATTAGTGGTAGCGCATATGTAACACGAGGTTCGCGCGAAAAGTTTCCGGAAACAGTGTAGTGAAGTTACATTGAGCACAAATGTTTAAATAAGTGTGAATATTATATTATTTTATTGTGTATATCTCCTATCCATGATACCGCAATACGCGCCTGTTCGCCTTGTTAATTTTTCGGATTCCACTGTGTTTGCAACCTGAGTAAAGACTGCCACGATGTCTCTCTCTCTCTCTCTCTCTCTCTCCAAAAAGGTCTAGTGATCATTCTTGCTGTCAACGCATCACAAAAGAGCTGTAAAAGCGTCTATCCTTGTCTGCGTGCCGTTCTATTAATGAGTCATAAATGCACATATGTGTTACTCTCCTCAAGATACCACCGCGTAGTCTATTAATTGCCGCCTACACTATAGATTCTACCGATCTTGGTAAGTGCGTATGTCTCAATGATACTAATTGTATTGTACTTCTGCTTCGATATTACATCATGTACGCTCAAAATACATTTGTAGTTCCCGCTTCTTTTTTTTATACTTTTTTCGCCTCCCAGTTTCTTTACATATGGACCGGGTACTAATCTCCTGGCAAATGCTTGTACAATATTGCTGCCTCATAAAAACAATAAGAGCGTCCGAAAGTCCATTGCGTGTAGACATTGGACGCATGTCTTTGTTCTTTATGGCGAGAGACTTTGGCTGTTTATCTCGTCATGTAGTGTATGTCTTGAGCTTTTCTAGTGGTTTAATGCTGGCGTGTCTCCGCCATTGATGGTATTGTAATGGCGTCCTTTTATTCCATCAATCACTTGCTGATAGTGTCCCTCAGAGGCAATGTCTTGTTTGATACCCCTTGAGTAGTTGTGCCTCCTGTCTCTTTTTTATGCTGTCACTATCTGCTGCTTATACATTTTCGACTTTGTTACATAACTGCCTCACCACCAAAGCAGAAAAAATACAGCCTAATACGATACTGGCTCGTCCAAAAAGCCGTGTACATTGCTGTCCGCGGTGTCCCTAGCTGCTCATGCCAATGATGCTTTGATGGTTTCTCATGGTTTTGAGACCATCACCGATTTATCGTGCCACCTTTGCAGCTTTGCCGCCTAAGAAGGGTTGAATAGTAGTATTATTCTGTTTCCGACTTGATATCGACCTGATCAAATAGTCATAAACTGTACACGTACTTTAATCTTCCTATCCACTGAACGGTCATGTCAAATGGCGCAACTTCACCCAAATCGTGCTGATGGTTTTGCCTTTTGCTGTCATTGCTTTTGTGCGAATCATGTCGCTCGCGTTTGTTTTCAATTTAAACTTTTATATAGCTTGCAACTGTTGGCGAAAACTTTGCTTTTTGTTACCATTTCAATTTTGTCATCAAGTTTTTTGAGTTTTGTTGTCCTTATATATGTTGTCAGTTAGGGCTCCCCGTACATTTGTCACCATTTCCGCCCTAGCTGCCACTTGATTTGTGCTGTCACACAGTAAAGGTTGATGACCTGATGCTGTCGCTCAACTTGTTGTTGTCAAAGTTAGACCTGCTGTATAGATGATGTGATATCTTTGGTTTGCTCGAGATATCGCCAAATTACATAGATGATACATTGCCAATCCGGCACAGTCGCCAAATAGGCGTTGCCTTCTGTGTTTGACTGCCGCCACTTTTATAGATACACAGTACTTGCTTTCGTTGAAAGCTCTCACGCTTTGTTGTTTTTGTTGGTATAAGCAGAGTTAAATAATAGTTGCCATCTTACACTGTTGCCTATTTTAACTGCTCTTGTCTTTTGCCCCTTATTAACATTACAATCAATGTCAAAACTGTTTCTCTGTTGGGTTGGTGTTGTTACCGCAAGTCCTCGTCATGAACAGAGATGGATGAGCATTGTTTTATCTCATCGACTTGACGTTGATTGATGTTAATAGTTGCCATGTGTGTTGTTATCACACTAGACCGCATAATCTATGGATTCTTGAGTAGTCGTTTTACGCTCATGCATTGTTTGTCTCGTCGTCATCGATAGTAATGGGTGATGACTGTAGACACGATGTTCGATGCTGCTCCATTTTGCCACCATTTCCTCTTTGTGTTCCCGACACGGAAGCAGGGAATGAAAAATGATAATAGTGTCGATGATTTGATATCATCCCAAAACATTCTTGCTGCCCTATCAATATAGCAAAACTCGATGCAATAATTTGTGTGCTTTGCCATTTTGAAAATGTCACGTAATCTGGTATTTTTTGACCAGCTCGAAATTCCTTCCAAGCCAATGGCCATAGATCAGCGACTGCTGTCCGACCCCCACAAAAGTTACATGTCATCTTCTTGCCCCTATCATTTTATCCGCACTAAGTAAGTGATGCCAAAGTCTGTACACGACAACTTGCAGGTGATCCAAGTGTTGAACGCATGTGCCGCTTTTGATCTTTTTTATTGTCCATACATGTCTTCCTCTTCTTCATGCGCAAGAGTAGGCCATATCTACCGGCATATCCGACGGAAGCATGATGCTGATCTTCCATCAATGTATTACAGCGGGCCTTATACTCGTGTATATAAAAGTAAAGCTGGACCAAGAATATTAATTGATGGTGAGTAAATACACAACTGGTAGTATACAACTACATTTTCTCTTAGTGATATGTTTGAAGATGGAACAACTGTAATTTCTATGCTAAAAGGATCTTTCAAACATGTATGATACATAGTTGCATCTAAAGATCTATTGAAAACAGGAGAAAAAATACAAATTTGTTTTGAAGATCGACTCTCCCGATCGTAAGGTACTGTTAGTGGTGTTACTTTACTATTATAGACCAGTAGACGCTAATTTCGTATCATTACACTGAACACAGTAACGTCTATATTGTCTGTGCAAAGGATGCATGAGAGTGGAACTATACGAAATACGAATCCAACACATTCGTAACCTGCGGTGCTCAATACCCTACCCATACCCAATGCCATTATGAGGTTAAGGCGCACTTTGGAAAGAGAAAACTAGTACGTCACTTTCTTGTTTCTTCCCACCTGCTTGATAGTAAAAGCCGTTCGTTAAATAATCCAATAAAGACCCCGTACCGATTTTTTTTAACTTGAACAGAAGAAACAGCGCGTAAGCAGCTCAAGGAAGGGAAAGATTCAAAAAAGTAGTTCCTGCAATTTTTCATTGAGAAAGCATACCATGCCAATCATACGACTTAGAGACATATAATAGAAACGAATTGCTCTGATAATACAAAAGTTGTTAGCACATATACTTTGAGACATATATTAAAGTGAAAACGTATACATATCATAGTTTCGTGTTTTTTGAGGTTAGTCGATATGATAAACATATAGTATTTATGCCCGACTCAACCGTTGCTTGTTCTCTTCTTTACTCCTCTTTGCTACTGGTGCTGCTGTTGTCATCATCATCATTTGTTTGCTGATCATTATTGCTGTTACTACTATTGTCGTTTTAATGTTCTTCTTGCAGTGGCGGTGGTGCAGCGGTGGTGGGTGATGATTGTCTTTTTGTGTTACAGTGTGTCTCCTGCCCCGTCGTTGGGATTGTGGAGGTGCTGTCTTTTGTTATTGTTATTGTTCTTCTTCCGTTCTTTGATGGATTGCGGTTGTAGTGGAGTAGTGGCTACGGTTACAACTTACAAGGGATGATTTTTCGGCGGTAGACTGTGCGTCTCAAGACTTGGTGTCGCCAGTTGAAGAGCTATGTACGGATGGAGAGGTAGTTTATGTGATGGAATTATGATGTGTAGTGTAGCGGACGTGTCATTAGTGGTGGCAGTAGCAGTGGCGGATTGTTGTTGGCGGTGATGGCGTTGATGTTTTATAGTTTGGAGAAAACCAAGAAAGATCATGAGCCAAATAAGATAATAGAAACAAAGGAACGAATGTGGGATGTAATGTTTAATACAAGAAAGAAAAGGAAGGGGTGGTTGAAGTGAAGGATGGCGTCATAATGTTGTTCAAACGATCGTCACTCTCAAGTGGAGTTTTGACTGGTGCGGGCGAGTATATGTCATTGTTCTTTTACCACCGACCTACAACGCGTGGATCCGCCACCATGTTTTCGCGACTACAGAATCTCTTTCAATCTTTGGTTCCTGGCGTCAAGAACAAATCTGCTACACATAGCACAACCACTGGTACTCTTATAGTTTTCTCCATTATTCTTCATTTCTGTAAAAAATGCGCCTTATTAAACTCTGTTAGATGAAGTACAAGTAGATCCCGATAATAACGATTTCCCTCGGACTATGGCATCAGCCCCTCCTATCCAAGTTCAAAAACCAAGCCAGACTTTCGGAATTGCTACTACTGCTGCTACTAATGGTGACAGCAAAAGAGGAGTAAAACGTACGCGAGCAGAGCTGTATGAAAGCATAAAGTCAGAAGGTAAGTAACAATACAACTGTTGCCTTGATTTTATAGCGAACAGAAAAAGAACTAGGAGACTGAATGATGGCATCTTTAGAGAGTGAAGGGGGTGATGAAAACGTCTCTGCCGGACAATCAATCGCTAGTCGGCTACGAAGTCGTCGTAAGCTTGACAACAATGCAGACGTTATCCACAAACAAGCAACGCGATCAAGTGAAGCATCCGACAAAGAAGGAAACCAAGGTATTATATGACAATATTCAACTGCAGAAAAAGTTCTCTCAATGCTTACCTTTGGCGTTGTACAGGAGAAGAAGAACACTCAGATACCGACACAACGCGTTGTTGTTGTCCGTACAAGTCTTGTACTTATTCCCCTATATGGTTATGCCGAGTGTATCGGCACATCCGACAGAAGCACGACGCTGAATTTCCATTAATGAAAGCCAACGAATCTTATAATCGTGTATTGAAAAATATAGATGGAAAACGGATATTATTCAATGGTTAGTAAACAGGAGACGTGTTTGTTAAGCAGTCGTGTGTTTCTAGTTGACACGTCAGCAAATGGCATATTTATGTCTTTCTTTTATGCCGACTAACATTTTGGTATGTTGATATATATGTAGCTGCATCACGGAATCTATTGGACGCAGGAGAGAAAATTGTAATTGAGTATCCCATATCTGAAACCCCTCGCTACTATTGTCCGTACAAGTCTTGTACTTCATCAAGCACAGTAGTACGCTATATCCACTGGCACATCCAAAAGAAGCATGATGGTGATCTTCCATTATTGAAACGCAACGGATCTGATACTCGTGTATTTAAAAATAAAGATGGAAAACGAATATCATTTGATGGTAAGTAAATACAAAACTGGTAGTATACAACTACATTTTCTCTTAGTGTTACTGTATGTTAGAAGATGGAACAACTGTAAATTCTATGCTAACAAGTATCTTTTATACATGTATGATACATAGTTGCATCTAAAGATCTATTGAAAACAGGAGAAAAAATACAAATTTGTTATACAGATCGACTCCCCCAGTCATAAGGTACTGTTAGTGGTGTTACTTTACATATGATTCTCTGTGGAAAAGCATACTTTATCTATTATCGATCAGTTAACATTAATTCTGTATCTTTACACTGAACACAGTAACGTCTATATTGTCTGTGCAAAGAATGCACGGGAGTGGAACTATACGATACGAATCCAACACATTCGTAACCTGCGGTGCTCAACACCCTACCCATACCCAATGCCATTATGAGGTTAGGACGCGCTTTGAAAAGAGAAACATAGTACGTCACTTTCTTCCCACCTGCTTGATAGTAAAAGCCGTTCGTTAAATAATCCAATAAAGACCCCGTACCGATTTTTTTTAACTTGAACAGAAGAAACAGCGCGTAAGCAGCTCAAGGAAGGGAAAGATCTAAAAAAGTAGTTCCTGCAATTTTTCATTGAGAAAGCATACCATGCCAATCATACGACTTAGAGACATATAATAGAAACGAATTGCTCTGATAATACAAAAGTTGTTAGCACATATACTTTGAGACATATATTGAAGTGAAAACGTATACATATCATAGTTTCGTGTTTTTTGAGGTTAGTCGATATGATAAACATATAGTATTTATGCCCGACTCAACCGTTGCTTGTTCTCTTCTTTACTCCTCTTTGCTACTGGTGCTGCTGTTGTCATCATCATCATTTGTTTGCTGATCATTATTGCTGTTACTACTATTGTCGTTTTAATGTTCTTCTTGCAGTGGCGGTGGTGCAGCGGTGGTGGGTGATGATTGTCTTTTTGTGTTACAGTGTGTCTCCTGCCCCGTCGTTGGGATTGTGGAGGTGCTGTCTTTTGTTATTGTTATTGTTCTTCTTCCGTTCTTTGATGGATTGCGGTTGTAGTGGAGTAGTGGCTACGGTTACAACTTACAAGGGATGATTTTTCGGCGGTAGACTGTGCGTCTCAAGACTTGGTGTCGCCAGTTGAAGAGCTATGTACGGATGGAGAGGTAGTTTATGTGATGGAATTATGATGTGTAGTGTAGCGGACGTGTCATTAGTGGTGGCAGTAGCAGTGGCGGATTGTTGTTGGCGGTGATGGCGTTGATGTTTTATAGTTTGGAGAAAACCAAGAAAGATCATGAGCCAAATAAGATAATAGAAACAAAGGAACGAATGTGGGATGTAATGTTTAATACAAGAAAGAAAAGGAAGGGGTGGTTGAAGTGAAGGATGGCGTCATAATGTTGTTCAAACGATCGTCACTCTCAAGTGGAGTTTTGACTGGTGCGGGCGAGTATATGTCATTGTTCTTTTACCACCGACCTACAACGCGTGGATCCGCCACCATGTTTTCGCGACTACAGAATCTCTTTCAATCTTTGGTTCCTGGCGTCAAGAACAAATCTGCTACACATAGCACAACCACTGGTACTCTTATAGTTTTCTCCATTATTCTTCATTTCTGTAAAAAATGCGCCTTATTAAACTCTGTTAGATGAAGTACAAGTAGATCCCGATAATAACGATTTCCCTCGGACTATGGCATCAGCCCCTCCTATCCAAGTTCAAAAACCAAGCCAGACTTTCGGAATTGCTACTACTGCTGCTACTAATGGTGACAGCAAAAGAGGAGTAAAACGTACGCGAGCAGAGCTGTATGAAAGCATAAAGTCAGAAGGTAAGTAACAATACAACTGTTGCCTTGATTTTATAGCGAACAGAAAAAGAACTAGGAGACTGAATGATGGCATCTTTAGAGAGTGAAGGGGGTGATGAAAACGTCTCTGCCGGACAATCAATCGCTAGTCGGCTACGAAGTCGTCGTAAGCTTGACAACAATGCAGACGTTATCCACAAACAAGCAACGCGATCAAGTGAAGCATCCGACAAAGAAGGAAACCAAGGTATTATATGACAATATTCAACTGCAGAAAAAGTTCTCTCAATGCTTACCTTTGGCGTTGTACAGGAGAAGAAGAACACTCAGATACCGACACAACGCTTTGTTGTTGTCCGTACAAGTCTTGTACTTATTCCCATATAGAGTTATACCAAATGTATCGGCACATCCGACGGAAGCACGACGCTGAATTTCCAGTAATGAAATCCAACGAATCTTATACTCGTGTATTCAAAAATATAGATGGAAAACGGATATTATTCAACGGTTAGTAAACAGGAGACGTGTTTGTTAAGCAGTCGTGTGTTTCTAGTTGACACGTCAGCAAATGGCATATTTATGTCTTTCTTTTATGCCGACTAACATTTTGGTATGTTGATATATATGTAGCTGCATCACGGAATCTATTGGACGCAGGAGAGAAAATTGTAATTGAGTATCCCATATCTGAAACCCCTCGCTACTATTGTCCGTACAAGTCTTGTACTTCATCAAGCACAATAGTACGCTATATCCACTGGCACATCCAAAAGAAGCATGATGCTGATCTTCCATTATTGAAACGCAACGGATCTGATACTCGTGTATTTAAAAATAAAGATGGAAAACGAATATCATTTGATGGTAAGTAAATACAAAACTGGTAGTATACAACTACATTTTCTCATGGTGTTACTGTATGTTAGAATATGGAACAACTGTAAATTCTATGCTAACAAGTATCTTTCATACATGTATGATACATAGTTGCATCTAAAGATCTATTGAAAACAGGAGAAAAAATACAAATTTGTTATACAGATCGACTCCCCCAGTCATAAGGTACTGTTAGTGGTGTTACTTTACATATGATTCTCTGTGGAAAAGCATACTTTATCTATTATCGATCAGTTAACATTAATTCTGTATCTTTACACTGAACACAGTAACGTCTATATTGTCTGTGCAAAGAATGCACGGGAGTGAAACTATACGATACGAATCCAACACATTCGTAACCTGCGGTGCTCAACACCCTACCCATACCCAATGCCATTATGAGGTTAGGACGCACTTTGGAAAGAGAAAACTAGTACGTCACTTTCTTCCCACCTGCTTGATAGTAAAAGCCGTTCGTTAAATAATCCAATAAAGACCCCGTACCGATTTTTTTTAACTTGAACAGAAGAAACAGCGCGTAAGCAGCTCAAGGAAGGGAAAGATTTAAAAAAGTAGTTCCTGCAATTTTTCATTGAGAAAGCATACCATGCCAATCATACGACTTAGAGACATATAATAGAAACGAATTGCTCTGATAATACAAAAGTTGTTAGCACATATACTTTGAGACATATATTAAAGTGAAAACGTATACATATCATAGTTTCGTGTTTTTTGAGGTTAGTCGATATGATAAACATATAGTATTTATGCCCGACTCAACCGTTGCTTGTTCTCTTCTTTACTCCTCTTTGCTACTGGTGCTGCTGTTGTCATCATCATCATTTGTTTGCTGATCATTATTGCTGTTACTACTATTGTCGTTTTAATGTTCTTCTTGCAGTGGCGGTGGTGCAGCGGTGGTGGGTGATGATTGTCTTTTTGTGTTACAGTGTGTCTCCTGCCCCGTCGTTAGGATTGTGGAGGTGCTGTCTTTTGCTATTGTTATTGTTCTTCTTCCGTTCTTTGATGGATTGCGGTTGTAGTGGAGTAGTGGCTACGGTTACAAGGGATGATTTCTCGGCGGTAGACTGTGCGTCCCAAGACTTGGTGTCGCCAGTTGAAGAGCTATGTACGGATGGAGAGGTAGTTTATGTGATGGAATTATGATGTGTAGTGTAGCGGACGTGTCATTAGTGGTGGCAGTAGCAGTGGCGGATTGTTGTTGGCGGTGATGGCGTTGATGTTTTATAGTTTGGAGAAAACCAAGAAAGATCATGAGCCAAATAAGATAATAGAAACAAAGGAACGAATGTGGGATGTAATGTTTAATACAAGAAAGAAAAGGAAGGGGTGGTTGAAGTGAAGGATGGCGTCATAATGTTGTTCAAACGATCGTCACTCTCAAGTGGAGTTTTGACTGGTGCGGGCGAGTATCTGTCATTGTTCTTTTACCACCGACCTACAACGCGTGGATCCGACACCATGTTTTCGCGACTACAGAATCTCTTTGAATCTTTGGTTCCTGGCGTCAAGAACAAATCTGCTACACATAGCACAACCACTGGTACTCTTATAGTTTTCTCCATTATTCTTCATTTCTGTAAAAAATGCGCCTTATTAAACTCTGTTAGATGAAGTACAAGTAGATCCCGATAATAACGATTTCCCTCGGACTATGGCATCAGCCCCTCCTATCCAAGTTCAAAAACCAAGCCAGACTTTCGGAATTGCTACTACTGCTGCTACTAATGGTGACAGCAAAAGAGGAGTAAAACGTACGCGAGCAGAGCTGTATGAAAGCATAAAGTCAGAAGGTAAGTAACAATACAACTGTTGCCTTGATTTTATAGCGAACAGAAAAAGAACTAGGAGACTGAATGATGGCATCTTTAGAGAGTGAAGGGGGTGATGAAAACGTCTCTGCCGGACAATCAATCGCTAGTCGGCTACGAAGTCGTCGTAAGCTTGACAACAATGCAGACGTTATCCACAAACAAGCAACGCGATCAAGTGAAGCATCCGACAAAGAAGGAAACCAAGGTATTATATGACAATATTCAACTGCAGAAAAAGTTCTCTCAATGCTTACCTTTGGCGTTGTACAGGAGAAGAAGAACACTCAGATACCGACACAACGCGTTGTTGTTGTCCGTACAAGTCTTGTACTGATTCCCATATAGAGTTATACCACATGTATCGGCACATCCGACAGAAGCACGACGCTGAATTTCCATTAATGAAAACCAGCGAGTTTTATTATCGTGTATTCAAAAATATAGATGGAAAACGGATATTATTCAATGGTTAGTAAACAGGAGACGTGTTTGTTAAGCAGTCGTGTGTTTCTAGTTGACACGTCAGCAAATGGCATATTTATGTCTTTCTTTTATGCCGACTAACATTTTGGTATGTTGATATATATGTAGCTGCATCACGGAATCTATTGGACGCAGGAGAGAAAATTGTAATTGAGTATCCCATATCTGAAACCCCTCGCTACTATTGTCCGTACAAGTCTTGTACTTCATCAAGCCCAAAAGTACGCTATATCTATTGGCACATCCGAACGAAGCATGATGCTGATCTTCCATTATTAAAACGCAACGCTCGTGTATTTAAAAATAAAGATGGAAAACGAATATTATTTGATGGTAAGTAAATACAAAACTGGTAGTATACAACTACATTTTCTCTTAGTGTTACTGTATGTTAGAAGATGGAACAACTGTAAATTCTATGCTAACAAGTATCTTTCATACATGTATGATACATAGTTGCATCTAAAGATCTATTGAAAACAGGAGAAAAAATGCAAATTTGTTATACAGATCGACTCCCCCAGTCATAAGGTACTGTTAGTGGTGTTACTTTACATATGATTCTCTGTGGAAAAGCATACTTTATCTATTATCGATCAGTTAATATTAATTCTGTATCTTTACACTGAACACAGTAACGTCTATATTGTCTGTGCAAAGAATGCACGGGAGTGAAACTATACGATACGAATCCAACACATTCGTAACCTGCGGTGCTCAACACCCTACCCATACCCAATGCCATTATGAGGTTAGGACGCACTTTGGAAAGAGAAAACTAGTACGTCACTTTCTTCCCACCTGCTTGATAGTAAAAGCCGTTCGTTAAATAATCCAATAAAGACCCCGTACCGATTTTTTTTTAACTTGAACATAGGAAACAGCGCGTAAGCAGCTCAAGGAAGGGAACATAATTACCACATACAAAAAATAGCTACCGTGATTTCTTTTTTAGAAAGTATACCATGTCAATTATATGATTCAGAGTTTTGGTCACGTTGATTTGTTTGAGTGCAGATATCCGCATCCGTTTCAATCCTCGTCGCTACCAGCAGACAGTAAATTTTCTCCTTCTCTAATATGTGGTTTCGTCGTTTCATTGGATGTTGCTTGTCCTAAAAGGCACACCTTTTCGTTGCTGTTGCCGTAACGATCAAGAGCGTCATATCAGGATATCCCCATCAAAAAAAATACCGCATGTTGTGTGTATTTGTTAGTTTGCTGCCAAAAGGCTGATCGAACCGAAGACGGGATTCTGCCATAATCTCAGTTCGAGACCAAGCTTTAAAGACCTAATGGTGCCATCTGTATCGGCATAATTACTTTGACTGCTCGTCAGATTCACCCAACAAAACCACAGGATACGGCGTATTCAAGCCAAAGACACGATTCTGCCAATCCTCGAATCGACACCAAGTAAGAGAGGTTTTTTTTTACTCGGCTAGCCTGAAAACCTGATGCCACCTGTAGCAGCATACTCATCTTGAGTTTCCGTCAGATTCATACACCAAGACCACACGAGACGGCATGAACGTCAATTCGATCCTGGATCCTTCCTTTGCGGCTTCTACGCCGTACGTTTGCGCGGTACCCTCCTTCGCGGCTCCAATAACGTCGTACTGTTGTGCGGGAATCCTCCTGCGCGGCTTCAACTTCTTCGACACGGACATTCCTTCCGATGCTTAAGCAGCCTGAAGCTCTTCGCCAATGGCGGCAGGGTGATTATCCGGAGATGAATGGAGGAGGCGGAGACGCGTGAAAGTGGCAAGAGACGATTGTTATGGCGACAAAAGTATTGGCAATGGTTTTATGGGGATGTAATTCTCAAAGCAGCGACAAGGTGGGGGCTTCATAGACGCAGTACGTGGACAACAGGATGGTCAGCGTAACCGAAGGGTGTGTAGTCAGTGGTAGTCACTGTAAGACATCGTGTTAAACATGGAAACCAGGAAACGCTGGTGAAGATAATGTATATCCGTTGTCGTGACAACTTTTTATTTTGTTATTCTGTATGTTTTGAGCTTGTTGAAGCAAGCAGAGAAATAAAGGGGGTGGAGAGCTAAAGGAGTACAAATACTATAGAAACGGTCGTCGTCGCCATGGCACTGCATGTATTCGCTGTATGCGTAAAATGTTTCACATACGCGTCTCCGCTTAGATCTGCCAGGTCTGTGTCGAGGTTAATTGTTTCTCCTTGGTCAGTGCGTCAGCCAGAAAACTCGGTGGTTACGATTGTAAACAGTTTAGTTGAAAAGCCACTTTTGTGATTAATGCTAGCACAAGTCATGGTGATCAAGATACGCACAAATATCTATTCGCAGTAAACGACTGCTTTACTGCTGCTGCACGTCTGAGATCAAGTGCTTCTAAATATTGGGGTTTCCAAGGGTTCTTACGCATAGCATCCTTAATAAAATAAAGCTTAAAGAATCAGAAGAGGGCTCGCTATTTTATACATGTGCGATTGCTTATATTCGCTCCATTTCTCTAAATACTCAAGTGGAAACTAAAAATGCTAATTGAATCTGTGAGCAGGAAAAAAGGAAGAATTGCTGCCAGCTGCTGCAGGGATGAAACAATGGATTGTCGTCAAAGTATGTCGTCGCCATGCTCATGCAAATATGGTTATGATGGCTACGCTGACAGATTTTTACGTAGAGATCTCGTTTGGATGATGCTGACGGTTGATATATGTGTAAATACAAACTTTGATAATATAATGGCTATGATAATACGTCAAAGGATACAGCACTTTAAACAATTTGAGCCTTTATTGACGACGCTACGAACGGCATTCATGATATTTAGCTGAATATAGATGTACAACATTATACGAGGCTGCTTATTGAGAAAACGCAGGCACACCGGGAAGTATTTAGATGTGGATAGCGAGTGGCTCGCCAACCTCAGCTTGAAAACTTAAAAGGGCTATGCTCAGTCTCCTTGGCTCAATAAGTTTTGAACAATTTATGATTGAAAATATTGGATCAAGTTGATTTCGAGCGTGCCAACGAACATGAAGAGATAATTTGTTAATTAAAGTCAATAATACTGAGATACTGAAAACTAGTACCACTGGTTGCACGAGACAATGGTAAAGGGTAGAGGGGTTGTCTTTCTTTTTTTTTGCGTGCCAACTTTATCTTTTCTGCGCTAACGACAGAGCCAAATATAAGGATATCAGCTGCGAAAAAGAGAAGATTGCAGTTATTGGAGTGCTATCTGTAAAATGCTCACTAAGTTTGAAGTAGGATACAGCATCATCTTAGATAGAAGCACACTCCATGATAGTATTGTTCATCATAATCCATGGTATCAGACAATTCCTAAAATAAGATTCTATTTTGTACAGAGTGATATACACATTTTGTTTCTGGGAGACAAAAACGATAATGATACAAATGGAAGCGGGTGAGGAATACAGTAGGATTGGTTCAAGGCAATAACGAGTCTAGTGTTTTTTTACAGCACCCTCGGCCTTTTGTTTCTTTGTGTACGATTTCACTTGGCCCTCGCTGACCTTGTACCAGAGGTAAAAAGCGAACAATAAAACAAGGTGAAAGATCATAACGAGCGTGGCCACCATATAAGGCAATGCCTTGTCTTTACGTGCTTGGAACGCCAAGTAGGAAATCAATGCGTGATATACCATCAAGCCAAGACCTAGAATGTAATTTTTTTTAAGCTTGACTCTTTATTTTTATAAGCAGCGATTTTGTTACCTGTAGCTCGTTTGCAGGGTAGCATATCTGGGAGTGTGGAACATATAAGACTACCCACGGATGGACCCAAAAGGCCGGCACCATAGGCTCGAGCTAACAGAGTGGCTGTTCCGTTTGCCAAAGGAAGGAAATCGTCAAGCAGTTGTGGCGCAAAGATCAATAGTAATCCAAGACCGCCATGCGTCAAGGCGTGCTAAAAGATACACAAATGAACAAGATTAACACGATGCCCATTCATATACGTTACAACGGATGCATCTCTCTATACCAACATTTTCAGTGATCTTTCTTCTCTAAGATGTTCCAAAGAGCCAAAAAAGAAAACTTACGAATGCAAAAACTTGGCCAAGCTGAGACATTGGAAAAGTTTGTTTGAAGAAAGAAACGAGGGTGATCGATGCGAGCTGGATTAGCTTTTTTGGTTTTCCTCACTCTCGGAGACAACGAGTTCGCAGTAGCAGTTTGTTAATAATACAGGGCTATAACCTTAAAAGGTAAAACGCTGCTGACAACATAATTCTTCCCCCCACCCCCATTTGTTGGAGACTCAATTTCATGCAGCAGCCATCATCGTCAACATGTGCAAATTCTTTGAACAGCGTTGTTCCAAAGTGCACCTCTATAATAATATAGAACAGCCTTATCTGTGTTATCTGTTGAGGATGTAAAAGCTATAAACTGTGAGATATGCATTGTTCTACTGTAGTGAGTGATGTTTGTTGTTGCCGTTGTTCATGTGGCGCCGCAGGCTTCCACATGTTTATGATGGCAGACATGATAACATCAGCGACTCCCAAACTGTAATAACACCGATACCAATTCTGCGCCGATCAAATAAACACTGCTCCTGCATACCTCTCTTTCACATCCTCTGGCTTTTCTGATAGCAACATCCCCCAACATCAATGCCAACAGCATGTTACTAACATATCCAAAACTTTTGGTGTGCGCTTAAATAAGTTCCAACTTGGTACCGTGGCATTATAATAATATGTATTGTATGTGATAAAAGTAAGAGAGAATTGCTTTACTGCCTGAAAAAACAAAAGAAAAGGCATAACCCTATATCTATGATCCAGCTGTAGTACATTTACTTTGTATCATAACCTTTGGATGGTTATCTTCTTACAAACAAATACATATGCTGTAGAGATAGGTTGGAGTGGCTATATTAAAAGAAAATAACGCAGCACAGTGTACTATACTTAGAGATACACCAATGAAACTTTGAAAGAGTCGGATCATATTCTAATTCTTTACAGTGGAATTCGAAAGTAAAGTAAGATTAAGGCAATAGATTGGGCTGTCGACTAATTCATGGTAAGTCATTGACTTTGATGTCGGGTAATAGGAGGACGGACAAATCAAGCCATTTCTGTGGTTGTAGTAATTTAAATGTCGTTTGCTGATACGCTAGAGCAGTGAGCAAGAGCTTTTTTTGGTGCACAACCATTAGGTACTACATCACAAAACAATTGCTACTACTATGTAGCCGTCCCTACAGCCCGGCCAGGGTTGTTTTAGAGCCATAAACCTTTCCAGATCTGACGCGGGCAAATATGTCCCCTTGAAACGCAGTGTACACACCGTCTTATTCTTCAAAAAATCATTATCGTCTATTATTGTGTGGTACTGCTGCATGATATGACGCTTGTATACAAGCAGCGCATGCCAAATAAAAACATAGTAAAAGATAAGAGAGACTACCTGATTGTCTAAAATACGTGTACTGTAAACAGCAACCAATCGGTGCACCGAACGAAACAAAAAAGTATTCGCCGTTGTAGTAGTAGTAGTAGTAGTACTACATAACATTGTCTTATCGTAACCACAATGCCCCGGGTTTTGGCTACTCATACGTTTGTATAATAAATAACGACAATAATGATAAATTATCATGCTTGTGCTGTAGTAATATGTGTGAAGCAGATGCATCATAAGACGGTTCATTCTCGTAATACATCCGCATAGGATGCAACATACACATAGCCGAAAAGAAGATGCAATTTCTTGTTATGCTGTTTCGGACGAGTATATCGATGCATAACTGCCGAACGGGCCAACCCGGGTTTACATTGGTTATGGTACATGGAATAATGACAACGAAAGTATTACAAAGGAAGATAAAAGTTAATTGACAATGAAATGTGAAAGCGACAACAACAGCCGGTGTGTTTTTCAACGGAAAGTTGTTTTCTGCATAACATCCGATAGCATCAAAAACTTATTGACGATGTGCGTGGTGGGGGATTGGTATCCAAGGAATTTTTCTAATCGAGCATTGTGCGACGCACTTTGTTGTCGTTGCTTGGTGACTTGCTCTTCTGTTCCCAGGGAAAATGGAACCCTGCAAACTACGTAATCAAGAGGCTGGGGGGGGAACTGAGCGCCGTATATATTCCAAGTGGGTTGTACGACATTTTATAGACAGTATACAGATTACCGACGATGAGTATGTTACCTAATGAAATATGACTGGGATGCGGAGTAATTGCCATATTCATGCAAATGTGTGCGACTTTAGGATCTTTTCCACAATCGAGACTTTTTACTCAGATATCTTCCGGGATCATTACTGTTATTGAAAAGGTTCAATTTATGAATTACAATTTTCTCGCATTGGCGTTAATGTGTATGTGTGAGGACAATTAACAACACATGTCGGATAGGGTATTGAATCTTAAAATCAGTACATATTATTTATGCAGCGATTCTAAGCTTGTAAGGGGTTTATTATAACCGTTTTGCTGTTGCTATCACGTACCCAGGTACACACACACACACACACACAGCGCTTTATTTTTTTTTCACACACCATTTCGGCTATGTGCATTAAATCCGATTGGATGATGATGTAGAAAAATAAGAGAGAGAGAGAGAGACAAAAGTTGTGTGTCCAAGGGCAAGACCAACGACGACGACGACAAAAATAGTCGGGTGCGTCAACTTTTTGTAAAACTCACCTTCTTTTTTTTCGTTTCTTCTCCAAACTCTGTGCCGAAAACAAAAAAGTGATAAGGATGGTTGACAAGAATAATATATCGACGGTGCTTGTTGGACCAGAAAAGATAGAGATGGTATATAAAACAAACTACCTTTTCGTAAAAGGGAGGGAGGATATGATAACACTATGGATTACGACTATGAGACTCACAAACAAAGCACACTTGCAACCGCGCATTGCAAATAAAACGTACCTGATCGATATCAGCGGCAAATGCCGATCCCTGAGATTGGTCCTTTCGGTAAGCTGTCACTTTCTTTATCCTTTTTGAAAGCACATATGTACCTTGTTGAGAAGTAATATCGATAAAATAAACCACTAAAATCTCCTCCTTTTCACTTCTTGGCCTTTAGACGTGCTGATCAATGTCAAAGTCACTGGGATTTGTGGATCGGATGTGCACTTTTATAAACACTGCAGAATGATGGATTTCCAAGTAACCGAACCGATTGTCTTGGGCCATGAATCCGCAGGCGTGGTCGTGGCTACAGGCGACCAAGTTACGCGTGTCAAAACAGGCGATCGTGTGGCTATTGAGCCTGGTGTGACTTGCCGAACATGCGACATGTGCAAGGCTGGCATGTATAACTTGTGTCCAGACTGTCAATTGTGAGTAGTAGCCCATGCAGGGCTTTGTTGTTGGCATATATGCAATGTTTTTCTCCCTCACACTATGTATGCATCGTTGCTCTCAATAACACTTTTATATGCTAGCCGTGCAACTCCACCGACAGACGGCACCTTGAGCAACTACATTAGCCATCCAGAAGACTTTCTGTTCAAGTAAGGAGAATGCAAACAACCCCATAAACAGAGAGAAAGAGAGTGAGTATATATTGATCTGGAAGAGGGCGTTTTGAAAAAAAAAAGGATTCCGGATGGCGTTTCGCTTGAAGAAGGCGCTTTGATCGAACCTTTGTCTGTGGGCATGTACGCTGTTGAACGAGCCAATGTCAAACCTGCCGACACGGTGTTGGTGCTAGGTGCGGGACCCGTGGGTTTATTGACATGTGCAGCTGCCAGAGCAGCAGGGGCGAGCGAAATCATTGTTGCAGGTACTACTACCACTACTACTAGAAGCTTATACATAAGACTGTTTTGTTTTTGCAAAGAAGACACGCGTTTGATAATTAACTCTTATTTTTTTTCTCGTGCGCCCAGATCTGGTCCCGTCGCGTTTAGAATTCGCTAAAGCATATAACTCTGACGCCCAACTCTTGTTGGAACGTCCCCAAAAAGGCGAACCTAACATTGAGTATGCTCGACGCATGAGTACGCATATCATAAAGGAACTAGGTGGACGACGCGCCGATACAGTGATTGACTGTACAGGTGCCGAAACGTGTGTGCAAATGACTGTTTTGGTAAAATAGCCACCCCTCCACTCCTTTTTTTGTTGTCATTAGTGAACGTTGGCGTTGCTCATCATATATACCATACGTTTTAGCTGACGAAAAATGGAGGATCGGCAGTCTTGGTGGGTTTGGGTGCGTCGACACAAACATTGCCAGTGGCGGAAATCACAGGAAGACAAGTGGATATCAAGGGCGTGTTTCGTTATTGCAACGTGAGTTTTCTTTTTTCGACCATGTGGATGATCTTTTTGTTGTTGTTGCTCATGGATATTCATTGTTTGTTTGTTTTTTCCATGTTTTAGACGTAAGAGGACTAGAGAAATAAAACTCTGGAACAGGTTTTGCTGTTGTTGTTGGTGGGATAGAGAAGCCTGACGGTTGTTTGTTGTTTATTAGGTACCCACGTGCCATTAGCATGCTAAAGAAAGGACACATTGATGTCAAGCCGCTGATCACACACAAGTATCCAATTGCAAAGTCCAAGGAGGCGTTCCTGCACGCTGTAGAAGGACGTGATGGTGCGATCAAAATCCAGATCATCAACGATCATGTCTGAGCTCTTTTTATGATTTAATGTGTGATAAAACTTATTACAAGGGTCTTTTTTTCCTGAATAAAAGAGAAAAAGAATGGTTTTATTTTTTTTTTTTTGCGTGTAATGTGTGTGATTGTGATGTGACTGTAGGGTTGAATGGATGGATGTATGTGTGAGTGTGAAAGGGAAGACTATATAGCTGTATCTTGCGTACATGAGACGCCATTTGTATATCGAATAAATATAAAGAAAAGAAATTCAAAGTACAACCAAAAAAAAAGAAGAAAAGAAAAAAACGAGAGGTGGGGAAATATGTACAGAGGGAGAGGAAGGGGCGGGTACAAAGATCGGACGAATATACACGGCACATAATACACGAGAGAAACGGATATCTTTTTTTCTCTCTCGGAAAAAGGGGTGTGGGTTAGTAGTGTGACATATATAAAAGAAACATACAAGAAGTTTGGAAGTTTGGATACTTGGAAAGTGTTGGAGGTGGTACAAGGGGGGGGGGGTTGAGGGAAGAGAGGCGTGTGATAAAGAAAAAAATACAAGGAGTGGGATGGGTACAGTAGTTTGGGCATACAGATAAGAAAGAGAGAGAAAAAAGAACCGTGTGGTGATGTACATGTTGGTTGTTGGTGTTCCGTGTATGTTTTTGTTTTCGTGCGACAATGACGAGAAGCGAAAGTAATGGGTGATGACGATGTTGTTACATGCAGAAGAAAGAAGGAGTAAGCGAGTGTGAAGGTGTATGTTGTTGTCCATGGTAAAGAAAGAAGAACAAAGGTGGTTTTAGACGTTGACATAGAGACTGACCGAAGGACTACGGCCACGGTTCTCAAATGCCATCTGAACATCGTCATCAGAGTTGATTGTGATATAGTCACCATCCTCGTCTTGGTATTTCAAGCGCAACGTATCGTCCGTTTTCAAGTTGCCGATCAAGCGGATCTTCTTTTCGACCTTTTCCATGAGATCCATGTAACCGACGTTTTCGGCAGCCTTGATCACGTAGATACCGTCATTGTAACTGAGCTTGACTTTGAGTCCACCGCCCGCGTTATGTGCATCGGACAAGCGAGGTGTGGACGCAACAGGACGTATCACATTATTATCCAATTCGTTGTTGTTGAGAGGATATTGGGGTGGCATCATGGCAGCAGCAGCAGCAGCCGTTGCAGCAATAGCATGTGTTGTGGCTGCCTTGTGGATGTTGGGACTACTTTGTGATCGCATGCGATTTTGGTGGTGCTTCATGCCCGGAACAGGTGGGATAGCTCCATTGTTGTTGTTGTTGTTGTTATAGACGCCTGATCCGACAGCGGCTGATTGAGATTGACTACGGTTCACGGCGGGTGGCAAGGGGAAATGACGCAACTCTTCTTCTGTCGGTGTGGGGATGTCGCCTGTCATGAACTTGGATGCGATCTCAGTCAAAGGCGAACTATCGCCACGTCCATGATAGTGGTAATGGTGGTGACCGCCTTGATGATGCCAGCTCGATCCCGTCGAAATGCGCGACGAACTCGTAGGCGATGAAGGATGCGACGGTGGTGGCGAAGCTGGGTACATGGCATAATCAGGATGATGCGCCTGGTGATGATGATGATGATGATGATGCTGCTGCTGTGTGTTGGTGCTTGCGCTAGCACGTGGCAGAGGTGACAAGTTCATGCCTGGCATCTGGTGCTGGTATTGACGACTTTTCACTTCGTTCTTGGGTCGACCTGACAACGTGTTAAACAGTTGGGCCGAAATGGAGTTGCTACGCGACCGCGTTGGCGCCGGTGCTGCGTTCTCGTCGTCCTCGTCGTCATAGTAATAGTCATCTTCTTCGTCCTCGTCGTCCATGAACGACGCCGTGTCGCCATGGTATGTCGGGCTTGGCATCGAGTACAAGTGCGTGTTTGGAACGTGCGTGCGTGAAGTAAATTTGATCTTGTTCATTGTTGTCTCCCAAAGCTTCGTTTGCTCTTCGTTGCGAAGACGGAATGTGAACACCTCAACGTCGGATGCTTTGTATTCGATCGATAACATCCATACACCTAGAGTCAAAGAGATTATACGGTTTAGAACAAAACAAATGTTATAGCAATCAATGTGGGCGTATATAATGTTAAAAGAGAAAAGACGAGTATACCATTTGATGAGCGGTTGTGAACGCCAAGAATACGGCTAGCTGGAATTCGAATGCGTTCTTGCAAGCTGCCACGACGCTTCTTTTTCATGATCGTGTTGGATTTCGTCAAACGATTCTTTGCAGCGTCCTTGCTTTCTTTGCAAATGAGCAGCATTTTTTCAAACAAGAAGACGGCCATTTCTCGTTCGGTGTCCTTGTTCATGATGCCAAGTTTATCCTGGACGAGAAGACTTCCATAGGACTCGATGGAATTGCTCTAACAATAATAAACATCATCATCTTACAGTATTAGCTATATCTACTAATGCTATATGCTCTAAAAAATAGAGAGAAAAAAAACTCACATTATCATCAATGCGCTTTTTCAATTCTTCGACAGCTTGCACATTTTCGTGCTTGCGCTGCGTTTCGTTGACTTTTTCTGCGACGCGCCGGATCGCCTCCAGGCCATCGTTCATTTCTGCATAGCAAGGCCAGTCCTTGTTGGTGCTCTTGACAAGCTCGCCCATCAAGAGCGGGTATTTGCAGATACGCTGAACGGGTTTGATCAAGTACGAGGGCAGTTCGTAGGTGGGGTTCAAGACATCGGCCAGTTTCTGGAGTTTAGGAGCCTCCTGCACAACGAGGTCCTGAGCGGAGTAGTAGTTGGCGCAGTAGGGCTCGTACACGGCAAACGCCTCTTCTAGCTGAACAAACAGCAAGCCAATGCGTTGCTCCTGTGCTGGCTTCTCGGCCATGTCTTCAACCATGATCAGATAGCGCCGTTGGAAATCAACCAGAGCATTCAGGTTGCCAAATAGGTAATGGATCGTGTCGAGTGAGAGGATTTTCTGTGCTATTAATTCGCGCATGTAGTTCTATTGTCAAGTTTCGTTAGCTTTTTGGTTATGAGCAAATGGTTTTTTTTTTGTGGCAAAAGCGCTATTGTTAATGGTGATAAAAGAGGCTAGGTTCATTCTACCTGGAGTGTCTCCAGATCCTGGACGTATTTTCGCTCAGTCTCGAGCAATTCCATGACGACCTTGCCGCGCGTATCTTTGGGCGCATTAGGATCTGAGTTTCTGTTGGCGCATCGTACAGATATCAGGCCTTTTTCCTCTAGCAAGTGTAAAATTTTGTTGATGGTGTTGACAACCTAACGAAAACAAAAATAAACAAAACCCATCATCAGAATAGCATCGTTCGCATGTGTGCTTGATTCCAAGGACAAAGAAAAACAATGATGAAAGGACTTGAGCAAAACAAGACCCCATTCTTTTCTTTTCGCTCACCTTGACGAATCCGTTTGTATCGTCCGAATACAAATCGGTAATGGTGAAAACATCTTCTTCGGGGAACTGCAGCTGATTACGGCACGCCACAAGGAAATAGTAAACCGACGCTTTGCAAGTGTTGACCTGATTCAAGTTGGGATCCCGATCGTCCACTTTGAGCGGCTTTTCCGGCTGCAGAGCGTTGAACAGAATGCACAGCGGCAGCCCACGGCGACAGATCGACCAAAGCTTACTCAGCGGGTCTGCTGCTGCTGCTGCTAGCGCTGATGCTGTTGTGGGTGTTGTGGGTTCCACCATGGTTGCTGCTTCTGCAGATGATGATGAAGTAGATGATGATGAAGATGAAGAAGAAGCTGTAGATGTCGAAATGGATGGGTCGAGTTGCTGTTGTTGTGACGGAGATGTATCGGTAGCAGCATCGAGATACTCGGTCATGCCGTCCACAGAGGCAAGCCGGTCGAGCACAGAGCGACAGGTGTGGTAGAGAGACGCGCCCTGGATGGCAGCTTTGTACATGTTGGAGGCGGATGGAAGTGGGGTATCGATCACTGCGGGCGGTGTCGCAGCGGGTGGAGATGACAAGGCGCCGAGTGATGGGGCTCGTCGCTTTAACGTCAATGTAGCCATTTATCAAGTCAACGCACGCTACAGTGAGAGATTTGAAACGAGCTAAAAACGTGAGAGCGATGAATGGGAGTATCAAAGGTCGGGTTCGAAACGGCAACGGTTGTCAAAAACAAAAGAAAGGGGGGAGAAGGAGGAGGATGGCGAGGGCGAGGGCGAGGGTGTTGGTAGGTGAGGCGTGATTGTTGTTGTAGCTGTTGTTTGCTGGTGTTGGTTGTGTTGATGGATGGAGAAGGCGAGAGATAAGACGTGGAGAAGAAAAAGAATAAAGAATAGAAAATGTGTGGTGTTTTTTTGGCGGTGAAAGGAAGATAGAAAAGAAGAAAAGAGTGAAGGAGAAGAAGAAAGAAAAGAAGGGCCCAAACAGGCCATAGAAAAAAAAAAAGACACTTCCAGGCCCGGAAGCGGCCGTTCCTTGGGAGGGTTCAATCGCTGCTTTCCCAGCGAGAGTGGAGTGGAGTGGAGTGCAGTGCAGTGGAGTGCAGTGTGTGTTGCGATTACGGTAAGACACAATAATACACACAGCGCGTATTCGTTTAGGTACACACGCACAAAAACACACATAAAGACCGCGATTGCCCCATTTGGAAAAAGCGATCCATCCCTTAACCTTCTCCTTCCCCCCTTGCCCCACCCCCCCTTCTCCACCATTTTAGAATTTCGAAAAATGCTATGTTGCTATGCTGCTATGTTGCTATGCTGCTACCATCGTCGTCGTGATAACAGTACCCCGTGCACACAAGCTTTCTTTTTTTATGTCATGGGGACCCACACTTGTTGTTGTTGACTGTTCGAACTTGACTGATCAAGTAACTGATATTGACTGTTATTCCAAGCTGAATTTGACTTTTGGGAACGAGAGGAAAGGGGAAAAAAGAAACTCAAATCAGAAACATGACCTCCCACAGACGAGCTCTCTTTTCAGGGTTACCCGGACCCAGTCTCACCTTTTTTTTTGTGTGTGCGGAGTTGTTCCCGCTATTGTGTAACACGCTTTTCTCACAATCGTCCACAGGGCAAGCAAGCATTGGCCATCCCGTCCAACCCTGCTGTTCTAAACAACAACAAGTGCGTGCACTCTTCAGCACCCACCCCCTTGCAGCTTGCCGTCTACCTCCATCCTGTTCCTGTCCATCCCATCTGTCCAACGTGCAGCATTCACACACTATAACATCTCAGGGGGGGGGGTCGCTTGAAAAGGGGGAGGAGGAGACAGGCTTCGTCAAGTAAAATAACGAAGAAGGGGATCTGCAGAATATTTTCTTTATATTAACTTTGATCTGTAAATGGCACCATACAAAGACACGCCTAGTATACAATAAGGAACCCACGTCCGAAGCACAAACTGCACTCGACTGCGACGCACATCGTTGCGCACCAGCACAAAACTAGCGTTGTCTTCCAGGACTGTGTAATCCCGTCGCGACGTGCGCAAAAAGTACGCCGTGTACGCCGTCAGAATCATAGGCACGTACAAGAACCGTCGCTTCATCATCGATGACCTAGTACCCGTCGTCACTGCTGCAAAATACAGTGCCCACAGTCCTGAGCTGAGCAGCCCTTCAACCACCCGGCAATACTTGAGCTCTCGCGTGTGACGCAGCTGGGCCCCGCGCAGCGCTAGACAGTCTTGTTGGATATGAATCACCGGCACATCGGCTGTCATGACGCGTTGCATGTCGTGCAAGTTTGAAATGCCTACGGCCATGATGGGTGTCTTGGGATGCTTTCGCATGCGTCGTTCAAGACATGACGGTCGACATTTCTGTTTGGCTAAATGAACGATCCTCGGTATATCTGTTGTATATCGTCTTCTTTAATAAGTTCTCTATTATGCACACTTGTATAAGGGTCTGTTAACAAGTGTTATTCACCTGCAGGTTCAAGCGGCGATAGCTTGGAGGAGACGATGAACGACGTAGGGATATCCATTTCATAGATTGTTATGTTGTTGCGAGGTATGGTGTGTGGGGGGTATAATATATCAAACGGTGTTGTGTCTGTGTACTGTACAAAGCAACCACTTGTGGCAAGTAGTACACACACGCACTCTCTCTCTCTCTGTTTCTCAACTAAAAAGAACTCTCAAAGCTCAGGCCCAAAGCTGGAATAGTTTGTTCTCATGGTGGTACAACCAGTCAAGCTTCCAGTTTGATGGTTTCCATGGTGATATATGACAGATATCTCCAAGAATTTATCACCACAACAACTGAAGGATGTTGTTTGGATGGATTGAATCCAGTAAGCCGGTCTGTTCCGTCCCGTTCTTGCAGATCTCTTTCTCTCTCTCTCTGTGCTATCTGCATATCGATTTTTTACATAACTCCCTCTCTGTTATCCAGTCAACCCCACCACCCCCCCCCCAAAAAAAACCTAGTTTTTTTAAGTTGTTTTCAACCAACCCGCTCCATGTACGAGTTACGCTCCTCTTGATGTAAAGCAATGAAGAACCTTCTCAAAATCTACAAACAAGTCCCCTATTTTTCTTTACATTCTAGACAGCAACAATAAGAAACGCGCGGACGTGCGGGGCGATTTATAATAGACCATTACTTTCCTCTTGGAACGAACAATTATCTATACGGATCAACAAAGACGCTTTGCTGCACACAAAAACAAACTCCACACATATTATATAATACCTATCATTCAACAAAGTACACATGTCATTGTTGGTATCATCATCGGTCAGGTACATGAAACATTCTTTTTTGACTTTCAGCTTTCTTTTTCCTAAACATACAAAAAGAAAGAAAGCGTATTCGCTCGTTAGCTTAAGGATTGATTTTTTTCTTTCTTTCGTTCTTTTTTTCTTTTTGTCTGTGCCCCCATCTCCGTTCTCTTGCTAAAACTGTGAACGAATCCCGATTATGCTTGCAGTATGTCGGTCTGTCCATGAACCACTCTTCCCCGTCTGTGAAAAATACAATAGTGAACAAGTGATTGTATGATTTGAGAAAGCGATGGATATATCGTAGCATCTAGAAACGCCTTACTGCATATCTTTTTCTTTTTGCAGAGATAGTCACCCTCGTTATAGTCTGTAATACTCTGAAGAACTACATCACAAGTGTACATATTGTAGTTTGTACCGTTAGTACGTATTTTAACATGCCACTCTGCTGACAGCTAGAACATTAAACTGAAGAGAACCTTCTTGTTGTAGATATTGTGTCTTTTTTTAAGGCGTCTTTATTATAATGAATGGGATGATGTTTTACGGTTGTTGATAGGCCGATTGTATAACATTCTTCTTGCTAACTTTGTTGTCAATCAGTACGGAACCAACAACTGTCATTTTTTTAATGATGACGAGCAACATTTGAGTTTTTCTTTCAAACCCGATACGCATAACACATCACAAAGTTGAGGCTGAAACGAAGCAGGTCATGTGGTTTTTTTTTATATGCCGGAGTGACATATTTTTTTTTCTTATCACTGCCTTTATCGTAATGGCAGTTCCGATTGAATTTATCTAGCACTTGGTGGTCACGCTACTTACTACTACTACTACTACTACTACTACTACGTTGTGTGACACCATGACATTTGTATTTTAGGACACGTATGATATACTATGCGTGCCATAAAAACTTCTATATACTTGAAACCCCAGGTAAGATAAGATGTTAACCAAAGTAGTGTTTATGTATGTAGGAGAGAATCATTCTTAATTCTAAAAAACTAATAAGGTGCTCATATTGCTATATACACAACAAAGATTCATGCGAACGACTCCTACCATCATATCAATCTACCTTCAATTGCTGTATTTTCGCACTGGTTGTTTTTTTTTTGCTGTCATGTATAAGAAAAACTGCTGTTGTTCTTATAGCTTAGCACATATCTGTCCACAGTTATAATGCTCGATCCTAAAAACCAGCCAAAACGGTATCGATTTTTCAAGGGTTATCTTTTTCATTTCATTATACGCGGCGAACTCTTACGTTTCGGCTTTTTTGTATAACCAAATTATTCCCTGGACGAATCCATTATATCAAAGATCATCATGCCGTTGACTGAGAACATCACTTATTTAAAATACATGCGCATATCGAAACTTTCATCTATACCGAATGCAGTGTACCACTTATAAGGGGTGGAGCATAGGATTAGGTTGAGAAAATGGTTTCCGGAAAAGGGGGGGTTCTACTTCACCTGCAGTTCTAGCCACAATAGCCCCTCACTATGCGGTAACCAAGAAAATGGTTGTATAGGTCTTCGCCTTCTTTGATGTAGAATGTAGCTCATCCACCTCTGCAGCATACAAAAGCTTTGTCCTTTTAAAGCAAAAAGATTTGATTCGATAATGGTACATACAAACGATATGCATCATAAAATGATACATAGACTTTAACAATTTCCATACCACGCACCTGAAGCACTCAAACCGCTCCTATTGTGCTGTAGATATAAAGTAAAAAGGGTTAATAAAATATCAGTATCAGCATCCTCACCTTGGTGATCTTTATAAACGCGTTTGCTGTAAATTCGATGCATCTGACATAATACCTTGTTGTGCGTCTTTTTCCGATTCCTACTCTTTGCTGGTTTCATTATGGGGGGAAACCAACCAAGTAAGTTTTATGATATGGATACCCTGCTGGGTGACGATAGCTATACATCACACATTGAACATATCTTGGTTTTGGGTGATAGCTGTGCAGTAACAGAAGTTTGTATCGAGGGGTGTATTTGTCGTTAATATTACAGTACCCGCTCGTTAAACCGATCACCTTTAAACCGATATTCCGTTAAACCAATCATTTTCCCAAAATACCAGCTTGGTAAGTAGTATGTATGTCATATAGTGGACCCTCGATCTTTAAACCGATCATTCGTTAAACCTATCACTTTCTCGAAAAACAGAGGTGATCGGTTTAACGAGCGGGTACTGTATTGCGCGTCCAATCGCTGGATCTTATTGCCGGTATGTGTGTACATTGTTCATGATGAGGACCTTAACTGAACCCTATAATAAACGAGAATTTTAAATCACGAAAGACCAGTTTGTCGTTTGATAGTGACATCAGTAGTAGCTTTTTTAAAAAGCAAGGATGAAAGTGGTCCCTTTGTTACTAGTATGTAGCAACAAAGATAAGCTATGACCTGTTAAGTGCAGCTCTCTTCTATATTTATCAAAGATTGCTATCGGTCCTTATTTTTTCTTTTAGTCAGTTTAAATGTCGGTTTTATCAATGTTAGACATGGATTAAATAGCGCCATAAGGCATACGGTCGCTTCCTTTATGGTACGGAGTTATTTATGCGTGGTTGGTGTTGTTACAGGTACGGGGTAGTAGAACAATAAGAAACCCAGATATGAAAAGTAGATGAATATAAGATAGAGGGATCATCAAGGTATCCGAAAAGTGAGTGGGAGAAAGCGAGAAGATATCAGGTTAAAATTGATTTATTGTGTGATATATAAAAAGAGAAACTCCACACTTTATAGTGGGTGGGAATATAGAGAGAATCGTTGTAAAGGTGAGTCAAGGCCTGTTGGTAGTGGTTCGTCGTCGTTGTTGTTGTAATCGGTATTGGCGTAACTCTTAAACGGTATATAGTGTGGCGAGCAGTGCTGTCCAGACTTTGGACCATTTTTCCTGAAGGACAGTGTTCATGATTTGATCAATGATGCCATCCTATTGTGAAGACGCCAGAGGGTGGGCCGATCGCAGACTTGAGAGAGAGGCCAGTACATTGCTCAGAAGGGGCCATGTAGTGTAATGCTCTCGGTTGATAGCAGGACAACCACAGCTGCAATCAAGAATTGGCTATAAACGTAACCAGTGCATCCGCCATTGAGTCAGTCGATAGCGGTCGTGAGTTGAGGCCAGGCAAGTATAGGATTGGGTCAATCATCCGTATGTTCCAAAGGCATTAACGAGAGTTATTCTGGAGGCATGATGTTGCGTAATCGTCATCGCATTGATGTTTAACGTTTTTTTTTTGGACATGGTTATCCAGTGGAATGTCGCTAGTGTACAGTCGTCGATAGAGTTGGAGCAATGATTTTTGAAATAGCAAACTTTCTCCACTGGTTGTCCGATGCTTTTTCTTTTAACTCTATTGATTGCGCTAGTGTATACTGGAAGAGTAGGGAGTCGGGTGGCAAAACCTGAGCTGTAGTATGCGGAGACGTTCTCTCTGATCTCCTGAATATTCTGAAGAGCAAAGTACGTGGTCATACCTATTACCTGAACGCTGGACCTCTTTTATAATCATGCGTTTGGTTTTGTTGGTGGCCTTTATGTTCGCGGACAGCCAAAACAGGATTTCCCCACCAAAAACACATAGCTTGCTGTACGACCGCCCAATTATTTTTAAGTTAAACTTTCGCAGGTCGTCAACAAATAAGCTTTTTTTTTTAACTTTTCGACCATTTAAAGGGCAAGAAAGGTGGAAAGACTAGACATCTTCCATGAGCCGAGCAGACGGCTTCTTGTTTTCATTATTTTTGCCAAGAATTTGGATTTGTTTGTTTGTTTCTCTCGCATTATGGAGGTTCGTAATCGAAAACAAGAAAATTCACGTGTCCTTGTGCACATAGGTCGCATTGATTTTCGGGTTGTGCTGTGTGGGGACGGTGCTAATCTTTGCTTTGATGGGAATAAACCAGTAGTTTGTAAATCAATCAACTAAAGCTATAACCACGACGACACAAAGGCAATGGGATCCGGACGACAACGTTCGATGCTCGGGTAAGATATAGGCCATCCTAGAACAAATAGGCGTATGGGAAGACCCAGCTCATATCAGCAACATGATGTTTCCAGAGATGTAACTGTATCCATACCTCTATTTTTGTGCTAACAGTGAGTGATACAGTAGTATCAGTACATACTCGTATCGTGGCATATGCAGTCGGCAATTCCAGCTATCTTCCATGAGTTACTGCAATGCATTGACATTGACAAATAAAATCACACACGACAACACACATCCTCCTGCTGTAGTTGGTTCGCTGCAGCTGACCATGCGGTGAGAAATTGTTCAAGCACAACACATGGTGCACCCTATGAGATAGAACAATGCATCAAAGCAATGTCTTTTGCTTTTCTTTAATCCAGAAGGCGATGCAATACCGTTTCTTACATGCGCGTGAATATAATATATCATATGTGGAATATCGAGGATAATTACATGGCTAGAGGCTGATGATAAATTAATCGGTGCGTGTATCAAAAAGAGTTGGTATTCGATGACTGACAGAATGCAAAAAAGAAAAACGGAAAAAAGAATGTTGTATCCTGGGAACAGAACCAATCTTGGGCCCCAAAAATCTAGCTCGATTCGTTTCCACGAGTACGAGTTATCAGCATACAGCGGCACGGTTTTCTTTGGCGCTTATCCTCTGCTGGTGTTGCTTGGCTGGACTCTAAGCAGGTGGCCACCAATGCACAGTATATAACATTCGACTGCATGGTAGGATCCTTTCTTTTGCAGGATAAGTTAGAGCGAAACGCAGGTAATATGCGTGCGTGTGTGTGTATGTGTAATATATGAATAAGTGAGGTGACACACTCTCTAACTTTGCATGCTCGCCCAAAAAGAAAAAAAAGGGCGGGAGACTTTTTTTTTCTTTCTCAGCGCCCTTTTTTTTTTGCAACTGACATAGCCGCCTGCTGCAGCATACATACACACGCGCGCGTTTTTTCTTTTTACATATCACACAGTAGATAGAAGAGGTCCCTTCTTCTCTCTTCTTTCTCCCCACGCATACAGACACAGCCCTTTTCCTTCCATAAACAAAGTTTAACGACCATGTCAGCAACGCAGTCCGCTTATCCACACAACAATACAGGTAGCACTGACCATCGAGTACGACGACGATCTAATTCGGCAATGCACTTGGCTCATGGGTCTCCACAGCAACAAGCCGCCGTTGACGATGTTCGGCGGGAGTTTCACGTATCCAATGAGCAGCTTCATTCAATCGTTCACGGGTTCGAAAAAGAAATGGAAGCCGGTTTAGCGGATGTTGAAGGTGGAATGGGTGATCTAAAGATGATTCCTTCTTACGTTATTGGTATGATATTGATACCACTGCTACCCACCTTTCTCTTTATCTATTTGTATAAAAGAGAACAAAAAAAATTGATGGGTCATGCTTGCTTTTCCTTGTCTATTATAAAGGATACCCCACTGGAAACGAACAAGGCACGTATCTGGCGCTGGAAATCAGTGGTGTGGACATTTACGTGTGTCAGGTCGTACTTAAAGGCGAAGGCGGCAAACTGGCGATCAACCAATATCAGTATGAAATACCAGACGACCTGACAGCTGGCAATGATATTGGCATCCTGATCGACTATGTAGCAGACTGTGTATCCGACTTTCAACGAAGAGTATCAGAATCATCATCACATCATCATCATCATCATCACCGACAAGAACAAGAACAGCAGCAGACAGTGTATTCAATGGCTATCAGTCTTGGATTTGCCGTGCGCCAAACTGGGCTCGACCGTGGGACAATCATGGCGCTGGAACATGGGTTTGAATTTCCAAATGTGATCGGCAGAGACGTCGTTGATCTCTTCCACTCTCGTTTCCAAGCAAAAGGATTAAACGTGCGCATCGTTGCCATAGCAAACGGTAATTAGCCCCATTTTATCTTCCAGGTGTCAGTAGGATCTGCTGCTTTATTACAGGAATGGTGAAGGGGGCATTCAACGAGGTCTTTGGCAGAAGACTGGATTGGCATAAAAGTTGTAGAAGATAAATAAGATGTCGTGTGCGCGTTCAAATGAGTGGATGAAGGAATAGAAAGACGATTTTCACTGATAATCAATTCTCTTATCCTAAAGATTCCGTCTGTACGCTGCTAGCACACGCTTATCAACATCCAGCGACGCGTATTGGCATTGTGCATAACATCGGAACCAACTGTGCATATTATGATAAGGTTTGCAATATCAGCAAGTTCTTGGCACAAATCAAGCACCAACAACATCCACAGGACAACAACAGCAACAAGAGCAGCAGCAGTAGTAGTAGCAGTAACAGTATGGAACCCTATTACAACAACGACATGATCATGAACACAGAATGGTGTAACTTTGGCTCACGGCATTTACCCATGTGTCGCTACGACAAACTCGTGGACAATCAAAGCAACAACCGAGGCATCCACATCTTTGAGAAAATGACGACGGGCATGTATCTTGGAGAAATTGTACGGCAAGTCTTGGTCGATCTTGTCAACCGTCAGATACTGTCCTTTCAGATCAACGATGACGAGGAGTGCCTATTGCGAACACCGTACCAGTTTGATACCAGCTACATGTATGTGTGTGAGGCGGATGATGACTGGGAGAATCTCGAAGACACGCGGGTCGTGCTGGAGGAGATGTGCAAGGTCGCCGAAACGACGCAGGCTGATCGGGAGATCGTCAAGAAGGTGTGTGAGCTCGTTGGGCAGCGCGCCGCCATGCTGCTTGGCGCTAATATCGCTAGCGTTGTCAAGCACATGGTCGAGCGTGGGATTGGATTGGATAGAAACAGCGATGGTTTTGCTATTGGTAAGTAGTTGGAAGGGCAGCTCATGTTTTTTTTCCCCATTGTTCATATACATGATATATCCCTATTTGATCTTTTGCTTATGTGAACGCATCGTTTTTTGTAGCCATCAGCGGAGAGGTATACAAGGACTATCCATCATTTCATCCACGAGTATGTGAAACATTAAAAGCGCTGATTCCGGAAGACGTGTCCACCAAGATCTCGGTCGGTATCGTCAAGTTCTCACGGATTGTTGGTGCGGCTATTGTGGCAATGATGGCTGAAAAGATGGACCAGCAGGATGTGGAAATGCTATAGTTGGGCCCTCCCCCAAACAATATTACTTTATAATAATGATATACCGTTCCTCGCCAGCGCCTTCTTTTTTCTCCTTTCTATCGTTCCATCATAGGAATAAGAGTCAAAACAAAAGCTACCTTCTTACGCACACACAAGTACACATACGCTTCCTCTTTTTCTACACACACATATTCGCTTTGTAACTTGTCTACCAATTTTTATATGTCTTTTCTTTACTTGATACCTTTGTAATGGGCCAAACCTGTAAATCTCACTCCATCTTTCTCTCTCTCTCTCTCTCTCTCTCTTGCCCATATTCTTGTACGTTTTGCAAAGAGAGAAAAAAACAGGTTCTTTTCGCATAAAAAATAATAATACTCTTCCATATAATGTCTGCCCTTATTCTCGGCTCACGAATAACAAATGATATACCAAATCAATGATTTTTTTTTCAAAAGAAATATATGTATTTTTTACTGTGCAAACGAATAAAATAGAAACATTTTACTATATGAATATAGTAGTTTAATAAAGTTAGTAATAGTGAAAATAATTGCAAAGCAAATCTATTCAATCCAATGTAAGATATGCTTTACCTGCTGCATAGCTTCGGCCTTGCCCTTGGAGCGGTCCTTGCGATCCAAGATAGCCTGACGACTCTTGTCAATCTTGACCTTGGTAACGACAACGTTGGAGGGATGGACACCAATGGGGACGGAGGCACCTGCAATTTTCCATTTACCACATTTAAGTATATTTCTTTCTTTTGCTGATTTTAAGCTGTTGATTTGCTTTTTTGGACGGCTGTTCTCTTACCGTTAACCTTCTCGCGGTTGACACGGTCAATGTGAATGACCCACTTCTTACGGTAGACCTGGACAACCTTGCCCTCACGGCCCTTCAAGGAACCGCGAACAACCAAAACTTCGTCGTCCTTGCGAACGGGAATGGAACGGGTCTAATAATTGTAATCGAGAGAAAAGAAATTTTAATTGAATGGGTTGGTTGGTATGCACTTTTCGTAATGGATAGAATCGATTGTCGGGGGGCCGCACAAAAAATGTTGCATGCGTGTGTGTGTGTGTTTTCGTGAATTTCGTAAAGAGGTATTCACTCACGTTGTACTTTTCGCGGAGCTCCTTGGAGAGAGCAGAGCTCATAATCTTACGACGCTCGGTCGAGGAAGCGGTGAAATGAGCCTTTCTGCTCTTTCTGCGCGAAGAGCTAACGTCTATACAAATGATAAATCACACACAATGTTTAAAATTCGTTAGTGAATCCATCCATCCAGTGATCCATCCGTTGTATCGACGTATCCATCCGTTCGTCTATGTGATTCCGTTCGTTTTGCTGTTGTTCGATATCTTACCAGCACTGTACTTCATGGTTATGTGCGAAGAAAAAGGAGGGTTTCGTTCTAGCGTATCCACGCACTTGAAGCACTCTCAGGTCCGCTCGCCCTAAATTTCGGTCTCACACCGCTGGGCTCAATACCACACCCACCGGGAAAAAACATCTGAGTTTGACAGAAGCAACGAAAATTGAATAACTAAGCAAAAAGTCAAGGGTGGTTGAAGCAGCCCATTGTTTGATGTATCTTTTCTACTACCTTGGCTCATGGGTTATCTTTTGCTCGAAATGATTTATAATTGAAATGCGCTTACCGTTACAGTGATTACAACAACGTGGGGAATGTTGCTAAGGTTATACAAATTGCCATTTTTTTTTAGCAAAGCTGAAGTCTGATTCAATTGGTTGAGAAGATGGGGTAGGTGAGGTAAGTATCCAGATGGCTAGTTTTTTAAGAGGCACTATCAGAGAAAGGATAGTTGAAATCAATCAAACTACGGTTTTGTTTTTGATTAAGCTAATAATTTATCAAAGATCTTCTGATACAAAACAGCTCAATTGAATATTTCTTATTGTATGTAAACCCGACAATATACACAATGAAGTTATCATGGTCATTGTATCCAAATAGCTGCACATTGACTGCATACTAAACGTCACGCACATATCTACTTCGCGTATACTTGGTGTTTAAATTGATGGCATTCTTAACAAGCGCGTGTGTATCCACTGCTTTCTGTAAATGCAACTTGTCAGCTAACTGCGGACATTACCCAAACTCTCTCACTGTATCCTAATTTCCGCCAAGTGTATACATAATCAGAGAACAAAAGCGAGAATGTATTATATTTTTGCATCTTTATGAGTAAAATGTCATTAAAGTCAAAAGTATTAGTCAGATTAAGGATAGGTCAAAAAAAATTTGATCTACTTCCCTACCATTTTTTTAGAGGTTTTCATATCTACTACATGATTTTGATAAATAGAATCAACCGTCTTTTGAAATAGTAAGAAGCGCAAACAGCGGGTTGTGATGGGCAAACGGAAGTTGTTATGCCAGCTATGTAGTGCGGATCATAAAAGTCAATTTCTTTGAAATCGTAATTATCGCATTATTTGCTACAGTAGCTCACCCTATATATAAGAAATCTGGTTTTTACTCATTACTACTGCCACTAGACAAATTGACCTTCGTAGCAATGGAGCGACAATGTCGATCCATACTTGATGTTTTTGTGATAATGTGATTTACATATTTTATTTTGTTAGGCAGGGATATAACTAAGCTAGACTATTTTTAAACAAATTCTCACCATAAATCCAGTATGCCAAGATGATTTCCTGTCATTTGGCACCTGGCTATCTATGAAATTTAAAACTTTGGTGATTATACAATGAGAAGCTTCCTGATTTTATCCTTTTTCAATAAGCAATCATGCTTGTTTGAGCTCTCAAATCTGGATCAACTGTTCATAAAGAAAGGATATCAACAAAAGACACCCTTGTATACCTGGATCTGGGCTCTTCGAAAGAAAAGACGGAGATGATCTTGCTTATTACTGGCTGAAGCCAACATCAACAGCACTTTGATCTGGTTACACTCTTGTTCCTTAAAGGTGCAAGCTGCTGGTAGCTGTGGAACATCAACGGGCTTTTGGCTTAGCTGTTGAAGGTTGTACGCATCAACGGCGTTACACATGGTATTAAAAAAAAGAAGAGTTGATGAACATACCCCTTGGTAGATAATTCTCTCTTTTCACCACCAACACCACTTTGTTAACCGTTTATCGTTTATCCTGCTACTGTCATATCGTTTTTTGATATTTGTGATATCCTCTTAAGACTATACGTGAAGGCATACGAAACATTGCTGCTTGCTATCATACCGAGAAAGTATCTTGCCGAACGCCTCCATCTTTCTTTCTCTAATAAAAAGTAGGTCTCAACTGCTCAATGTATCAGCGCTTAAAGTCGACATAATGTAACAGTAAAAACTCTATCATAGATCATGTACATTACGTATAATACCGAGCAGTACTCTGATGTCGAGCGATGGTATTCAGAGCCTAAATATGGTCTATTCCAACATACCCGACCACCTCAGCGGTTTTCTACACTGCCAAAACCAGAATTTATGCCAAGCAAACTTCTCCGTGTGTCCGACATGCGCGTAATTCAAGGGTCCAGCGTCAGCGAAGGCTATTGTGCGTTGTCGTATTCTTGGAATTGGTCCGGCGAAATCATCGTGGACGAAGTGACGGGGACAACCAGACGGGTGGATCATGGAAGACATAGAATCATTTTCCCGGCCAAACGGGTACCACGAAGACCAAGGGGACGAAAGCGTAAACCCCGCCGCGTCAAATATGTCCAATTCGAAGGTATCATCCAACAAATATGCAAGGACTTCAATGTCAGGTACATCTGGTATGACCAATGGTGTATCAATCAGGACGACAAAGACGAAAAGATCCGAGAAATAAAGCAGATGCATAAAGTTTATCGCAATGCATACTGTACCGTGGCACTGATTCCGGAATTTTGTTCACGCCATTATCTCGAAACGAAGCCTCTAAAACACCAACCCAATTATCCCAAGCTATATACTTCCCAATGGATGAGACGTGTTTGGACCTTGGAAGAAGCACTACTATCGCAAAGGATACTTTTTGTGGGCCAGGACATCCATTCTTGGTGGTATTTGGTCCAGAGAGTGGCAAACTTACATACGCTCTGTCAGAAGCAACCAGTCTGGAACGTTAGTACTATCCTATACTATGCTCACATACGGACAACCACGAAGGAACACGACAGAGTATTTGCACTTGCCAACCTTCTTCCCGACATCATGAGCAGTATTACGGTCAACTACGATCAGCCAATAGACGACTTGTTGCTCCATTTTTATGGGCTTTTGGCCCAGAAAGACATATCCATCCTGTGTTTTGGGTGTCACAAAGATTACACACGCATCGGCCGGCCAAAGGACGACTTGGCCGAAGCTACTGATGTATCCTTCCAACTCAAGGAACTTTTAACGGGGGCTAAACTCCGGCAGCGTCAGCCTTACACTGTCCCAATCCAGACCCACTGTCAACTCTTGCCAACTTGGACTGGTGTACAAGGAGAGCATATACTTCCTCTTCGCCACGAATATAGCGATTATCCAAAAACAACTTTTAAAAGCTATACTGTTAATGGTGAATTTATGCATGTAACTAGCACAAGTCTTCCATCCAACAAAGATGCTCATGACAGGTGGTTTTCTCCATTCGAACACAAAGATCTTCCACTTGTACCTCAAGGTCCGAGCCATGATGTTAACGGAGAAGAAGTTCGCTGGATTCTCTGTATTTCTGTCCAGTTCCCAGGGAAGGATGTCAGTAAAATCCTGAATCTTTTGATAACGCATGCCTATGAGCTTCCAATCTATGATCAGAAGGGACTCAACAAAAGCCTCCATGATAAACTTTGGCATGTGGCACAGTTTGTGCCGATCAAAAAAGAGAACCTGTTCTGGTGGAATGCTGCTTGGTCCCAGGAGGCTATTGCATGTTTCGAAGACTTTTCTCTGACAGAGCGCGTATATGCTGTCTCCGACGTGGTGATACTATCTGGTGTACAGTTCAAAGATAACTGGCCTGATCGAAAACGCTTCCCGGTTATTGTGCGGGATAAAACAGACAATCGTTACAGAGCTATTGGGACATGCAGGGTTGCAAATCCAGAGTACTTTTTCTCCGGCGTTGTCGTACCCGAAGAAACTTTTGTCATCAAATGATTAGCGTTTTTATATTAACATGTATAGCTCCAAAATTATTGGCAAAAATAAAGAGAAATATCGTTTGCTAAGTAGTAGAATTCGTAAAAGCTTAGTGTTTTCACTAGCGTTATTCTATGGTTTTCATATCATCATACTTACATTACAGTTTTTTTGAGAATCCAGCGTCTCGACGTTGATTCCTAACACCTTTGATGGTTTTAACTACTTATATCCAACAATTGTGCGTAAAACGATACATCGTTAGGGTGTCAAGCGCTGTAAAAGAACAGAAGAAAAGCGGAGTCACTCTTGCCACTGCTGCCTTGAAACGGTGCTTTAACATCCTTCGCACGCGCTTGTTTTAACTACGTCTTCTTGAGTGCTTTCTGTTTCAATATGGAGATTTCTCGGCAGCAGTTTCAATCAAAGATTGAGACCATCCGAGAGGCTATTGAAGAATGCGATTTTATTGCTGTGGACACCGAGCTATCAGGTACGGTTTTTATTTTCGCAAAAAAAAATGGAGCGCGTATTGGTGGCAGTAAAATGAAGAAGCGAAAACTCATAAACAAGCCATGGTGCGTAACGGATAAATGTATCGGTGACTTCGGTTTGTGCAGGTCTTCATCGTCCTGGAGGTAGTAAACGACTTGACACTTTGGACAATCGTTACACTGAATACAAAGAGGCAACGGAACGGTTCCAGATCATTCAGTTTGGCTTCTGCACGTTTACGTGGGACGAGCGCAGTGGTCGGTATATGGCCAAACCGTTCAACTTTTACATTTTTCCAACGGGCACGACAGGTCGGATCCAACCAAATCGTGTTTTCATGACGCAAGCACAAGCTTTTGACTTTCTTGCAAAGCAGTCGTTTGACTTTAATAAGGTACATACATAAACACGTTTTGGTGCGGGGTTCGGTAATATGCAAGTTCTGGAGAAATGCCTATATACTAATACACGCGTAAATATTTGGGTATGTATCAGTGGGTTTATCAAGGCATTCCATATCTCACCGTAACAGAAGAACAAGAGTATATTGCCGAAGCACGAAAAAGAATCCGTGATGATTTGCCGGATATCCGTATTGATGAAAAAGAAAAACTATTTGTCGAGGATGCAAAGTGAGCAATGGGTACAGATCCATAAGCGACGGGAGATTCTTCTTTATTTTAATGTAATAGAGAATCATTAACGCATGAATCTGTTGTATCTCTTTTTGGAAACAGGAAAAAGATCGCGAAATGGGTAGAGAATCCAAAAAAGACTGATGACGAGAGTGGCGTCAACATCTCCACTCGAAATGCGTATCAGCGTCGATTGATATATCAAGAAGTCCGGAAAAGGCAAGTAGATTATGATACAAAGGCCTTCTACTTTGTGTGAGGCATGATAGAGCATATCTAAATTGACTATTTTTCCCCTCTAAAAATCCATTAGTTTCCCAGATCTAACTGCCGAGGGCCGAACTGGCTTCATTCGTATCGTGAGGCTAACTGAAAAGCAGCTCGAAAAACGTACTAATGAACAAATGGCCCGAGTACAGGTAACTGGATTTTCGAAAAAGCTTGGGGAAAAATGAGACTCACGCGTAGTACGTGTTTTTTCACATAATTTTTAATGAACATCTTCAAGAAAGACTGTGACGATGCAGTTGGTTTCCGCAAAGTGATTGACATGATTTCAGCGTCGCGCAAGATGGTCGTGGGCCACAATATGCTACTTGATATCTGTCATATTATTGGCCAGTTTATTCAGCCGTTGCCAGATAATGTCAATGAATTCAAAAAGCTAGCCCATAAGGTGTTCCCTTAGTACGTGGATCAGAGGGAGAGAAAACGATAAGGATGCTGGGAATCGAATTAATCTTACTCACGCGGTTGTTTTATAGTATGGTTGATACCAAGTACATGTGTGCTGCCTCGACTGAATTACAGGTGTGTATATTTTAAGTAATACCATTATTTCCTGCAATATTTTCTATATCACTCACATAACGATATATAGTCACGCATTGGTGCAGGAACTGCATTAGAAAATTTGCGTTTCGAGACCAATCAAGAACTGTTCAAGAATCCATATGTTGGTAAGAACAAGAAATGGAAAAAAGTGCTATATATATCCTGACACTCTTATTTTCTAGATATGAGCATTGAATTTCCTCGATATCTTCATGACAAAGAGCATGAAGCTGGTTATGATGCATATATCACGGGCCTGGTGTTCTTGAAACTACACTCGTACCTTGGTAAGTCGTTTATATCTTAGTGCTTTCTCTTTACAGTAATACCAATGTATAAATAATATGCGACTAAACAATAAGGGTAACGTTAGAAATTCAGGCGAACCCACCGCCACCAAAAGCACCCGAGGAAGAAATAAAGCAAGAAGAACCAGAACCTGTCAAGGAGGAAGTTCCTGAAGAAGAGCGTAAACGTCGAGGCAATACGGATGGGTGGGATGTTTCAGATGAAGAGGGAGAGGATGCAGCCTGGCTTGAAAGTGATAATGAGGACGACCAATTCAATCAAGACGACGAAGAAGATGTATATAACTATGGATCGACACGCTATCCACTCTTCGACCAAGACCGCCAACCAGCATCGGTCATTGCTAACTATGTCAATAAGGTTGTGATGGTCAGAACTGCCTTCCTATACTTTGATTTCATCGACACGGAAACCATCGATCATACAATAGACGCCTTTTACATTACGAGCAGCAACACACAACAACCATCTCCGCTCCCTCAAGCCGATATTTTGGCGCTGTTCGCTGAATATGGCAAGTGCATCATTGATACGGCGGGTGATGACAATGATGCGAGTGCATTTGTTGTGTTTGAAAATCTCAAGGAAGATCCAAATGCTGTCAAGGAAAATGTTTTGAAGGGGCTTGCAGCTGAGGAGATCAAGGATGTACAAATTGAAACCATAGCAAAGTATTATGAAAATGTATTATTATTGAGAAACAATGTTGGACAAGAGATTAATAAAGAGTAAGAAGATTACGCCTAGACGCGTATCTCGAAATCAAATTGTTGTTCGCCAATCAGGATCTTGACAGGACCGTTGTCAATGGTGCCTTGAGGCACATCGTCTAATCCAGTGTAGCGGAACATATCTGCGCCAACTTCAAAATCGACCGTCTTGGACTCGCCTGCAGCTAATTGGATCTTTTCAAAGCCCTTGAGTAATTTGGCAGGTGGGGTCACCAAACGTACTGGCTGATGGATGAACATGAGCACGGTTTCCAAGCCATCGTACGGCCCTTCGTTGGTGACTCGGATCGAGACGGTGCGTGTCATACCAGGTTCCAAAACGCTATTGCTGTCTTCCTTCTCTGCGAGTGTGATGTTGCTGTAAGTAAACTTGGTGTAGCTCAAACCGTGACCGAACTCGTAAAGAGGGTCCCAGACATCGTTGGCTTGGCGCCAGTAGCTTAGGTTAATATCACCAGCGTACTTGGGGTAAGTGTATGGAAGACGACCCGATGGATTAACTTTGCCGAACAAGATTTCACCAATTGCATGGCCACCCCAAGGACCAGGCAAATATGCTTGGACAAGTGCATCGGAATCTTCAGGAATGGAGTCCAACGTGCGTGGACGGCCTTCAACCAGAATTGAGACGACCGGTTTACCGGTACCGGCAAGCATCCTGACCGACTGGGCTTGACCAAGGGGCAATCGAATATCGTGGATGTCACCTGGTGCTTCAGAATACACGTGTTCACCAATGGTTGCTACGATCACATCATAGTCTGCTGCTGCTGCAATCACTTCAGCCATGTTTATATCGTTGCCTTCGATATCGAAGCCTTGCATGTACTCCACAGTCGTGCCCTCAGGCGCAGCAGCACGCACACCATTATGGATGGTTGTGCCGTTGGAATAGAACTGCTCGTCGCTGGTGTTGCCTTGCCAACCATCATCGGTAGCACCTTGCCAATAAATTGTCCAGCCACCAGCCAGATGTGACAAGGTATCGCCAGTTGGACCGACGATCAAGACGCGCTTCGTGTCCTCCTTGAAAGGCAGCACGTCGTTCTCGTTCTTGAGCAGTGTAACAGACTCACGAGCAGCATCGCGTGCAAGCTCAATATCTTCGGGTAAACCAATCGCCAAGTTTGGGTCAACTTTCCAACCGTCAGGCTCCAGCAAGCCAAGGTCCTTCTTCAACTGCAAGAGGCGACCAGCGGATTCATTGATACGCGCTTCGTCAATGACACCGTCCAGCACCAGCTGCTTGAGTTCGTCAAAGAATATGACATCCGAAGGCACCATGGACATATCAACGCTAGTGCTGCCAATCGACAAGCGCACGGCATCACGATGTGAGGCGGCCACTTTGTGGGTCGTATACAAGTTCTCGATTTCAGCCCAGTCTGTTACAAGCATGCCCTTGAACTGCAATTGCTCGCGCAGCATTTCTTGCAAATACTTGTGCGAAGCTACAACCGGCTCACCGTTGACATCAATATAGCTCTCCATGGCTGTGGCAACACCGGCATCAACAGCTTCCTTAAATCCAGGAACGAAATAATCATGCACAATACGATCGGAAACTATGGTCGTGTCACGATCTTGGCCACTGTAAGGGGCTCCATAGGCGATGAAATGCTTCATGGAGGCAGCGACTTTGGAACGATCGGTCTTGTATTTGCCTTGGTAACCACGAACAGCAGCAGCACCCATAACGCCAGACATGTAAGGATCCTCACCAAAGTTTTCAAAAACACGCGCCCATTGTTTGCTCATTGGAATGTCCAACACAGGCGCAAACGTCCTAGTTTAAATATGCGCGGACGTCTTTTTAGCCTTTAACTTTTTTTCTCGCTTGTCCAGATTAGAAGAAAACCAAATCCATACCAGTGCACATTGGCGGCGCGCGTTTCCCTGGCTGTGACTGCAGCAGTATCGTATGAAAGTTTGGGATTGAAACTGGCCCCAAGGTTGACACCATGCGCGAAGATAGTTGCTAAGTTATAGCATTAGTTCCATGCTCCTAGCTAGACAAAAAAGTTGCGTTATGTAAAAGCTTACATTTTGCAACATAGTGAGCACCATGAATGTGGTCCAATCCATAGATAATGGGAATTTTGTAGGTGGAGTTCACACCCAACGTGATCTCTTGGATTTCTTCGATGGTCTTGGCATACTCTTGATGGTCAAAGTTGATACCATCCCTGAGGTACAAGATACATGTCAGCATTATCTTACATAGTATAGAGAATTTCTTCTGTCTTTGCTAAACTTACCGTGCCAACTGGTTTAGGTAGGATCCTACATAGTAGTTCTGGGCATAGTGCTCCACGGCTGTTCTGTTGAGCACGCCATCTTCACCCAGGACCAAATCTTGATTGATCTGAGTCATTTGGCCGATTTTTTCTTCCAAAGTCATGCGTGACACCATTTCCTGAACATCCGCGTCTAATTGATCGCTAGGACGGTCGTATTCTTCAGCTTCGAGCGTGCCATAGCCAAGCGTGCTTTCTTGGCCCATAGCTAATGGGAGTACAAGGGTTTGGAGGGATAATGCGATACTACCCGCGATTATACCGAGTGAACGCATTATGTGTATAATAGATCTTTGGAAAAAAAGTTCGAAAAGGAAAGGAGGAAAGACGCGTCGATTTAATCGAAGAAATTGGGTCTATTTTAATTATATAATAAGAAGACGAAGAAAAGAAGAAAGGACAGAAATATACATGTGTACGTTTGTTTTCAAATGGAACGAGGAAGAACGCAAGATTTTTTGTGTTTTGTAAGTGTGCATACATTGCACACATACACAACGTATGTGCATGCAACACACATTCCCCGGGATAGTACGAATCAAAGAGAGAAATGACAACAAAGATGTGTCAGGGGATGGTGGGTGTTACGTGCATACGAAATATTTGATATAATATTTACAGAGATACGTGTTCCTGGGTGTGGTTGGAAAGATATCGTACCAGGACCAGCGTTTGTTCGTACACCAAAAAATTGAGGGAATGAATTCTGATTGGCAGGTTGTTGTTTAATCATTAAAGCATCTAGCCTATCAAAGTGCACACGCCAATTACCCCTTCAAGTCCCTTCCCTCCCCCCAGCCCCTTTACCCATGTCTAAATGCGAAAATTATCACTTACGGAAAAGCACGTAACAGAGTGACAGCAATGCCACGATAAAAACCAGTTGGTCCACGGGACTTATAAATATCACGTACACAATGCATTGTGCTTTTATATGTTGGTTGCTGTGCCAGAATCTCCTTCTGCATCAAGGATTTGACAAGATCGATAGGGAACACCGCAAGCCAGCAAAGAATGCCACACACGCCTCCTGCCAGAAACTGTGTCATGGGCCCTGCTGTCCTCTCAGGTCCAGAAAGAAGGAACTTGGTTGTCTCATAGCCTCCAAAATATACACCAGTGCCGATTACATCTCGCACTATTACATAAACCAACCAATCATACCAATGAGCTCATTGTCCCCTGATAGAAAATATAAAGACTTACCAAAATGCAAACCGAATCCGCTCCATAAACCACGTATTCCCTTTAACCGAACAATCTCTTTTGCTGAATGCCAGCTCGATGTGGCTTTTGGTAGATTACATTTGATACCCTGTTTTTTCCTATTTTCACGGACAACAGTAGCACCTGTCGATATACTGCTGGCCTGCAACAATAAAAATTCGAGCTGTTTATGGATCTTGACCAGTTCAAACTATTTGGCGTTTGAGACACGTTATTACACGGATGAATATAAGTCCATCCTTCTTCCTCCTCCCAACATGAAAAAGGGTTAAGATACAAACTGGACAACTAAAAGTAGCAATAAATGCGCCACTAACGGCGCCACCGAGGGTTGATATGGACATCACAGGACCTAATTCATCTCGTTTCAAATAAGGAAATCTTGATTTGCAGAAAGATTTTGTTTCTTCGTACACGGAGAACGAGATGGATTTGATGATGCTGACTGTGACAAGTGGTGGCAGTACTCCTCGAAAGAATCCACGCACACCTTCTTCTCGATACGTCTGTCGGACACATGCTGTAATTGAACCGTAAGGTTCTGTTTGCATTCGAGTTTTCACTGAATCAAACTAAACATGTATATTGTTATCAAGCAAGAAGCCTTGTTACTCTGTTCGTGTTTCCATATTACATAATATTATACGCACTGGATAGCCAGCAATGACACCCACAACTGCTGCCGAGGAGGCAGCAATTACGGTCTTGTTGCCTTTTTTAAGAAAAATTACGTGTAGTCGTTAGTCAAATAAACTGTTGTCTGTTTTAAGGCGTGCCACTAGTAACCCTTTAATTATTTCTTGTGTGTAAGCTCTTACTCCAAAGTAACTCTCGGAACATGGACTGGTATGGTAACGGATGCACGGCATTGTTGTTCGGTTCGCCAATCGATGTCACTATAAAGTAAACAGCAATAGCAGGAATGTGACATTACTATGAGAAGGTGCTATTCGCTGTGTTTAATGCTGTCCTTTGTCTATTATTTTGTATGACAGAGTCGAAAAGAATAATAAACGAGAAACTTACTCCTTCTGGAAAAGGGGCGACAATCGATGTCAAGATATTGATCGCAACGCGGTTATTTAATTTAAATTTGGACAAAGAAAGCTTGCTGTGTTGGATTAAAGAAAGGAAAAACGCAAAGCGTAAACTTGTTTTCGTGTATTATTGGGTGTCGTAATGGAGATGGTAAACGGGTAGAGAGAGAGAGAGAGCGTGTGTATGCTCACGCGCGTATACTCTTTTACTTTGGTTACGATGCCAAAAAAAAATCGCAGAGGATAAATTTTTATGCGCTATATTAGGAGCGGCATGAAGACGTACTACTGTGAATCCCCCCTGCAACGAATCACCAACGCACGAATCATAATAAGTACATAATTGAGCGTCATATAATTCGTTGTCGTTCTTGAGGAAAGTAGTACAATAGAAGGTGGTACCAGAGCAAAAGTCCCGGACCCACTTTCTGTTTTCCTTTCACTCGGTCGTTAACAGTAAGACTGATGCATAACAGTGTAATACGTAATACTGTAGGGATTCCCTTTTGTTACCAGATCGACAAGAAACCTCTTCTTCTTTACACTTGATATGACGTAGCTATTGTTGGTGAGAATACTCCATGAGCACTCCTTTCTTCTGTCACCAATGTTGGTTGACGGCAGTTGTGTATATGACAGCACAATGTATATAAACGCGCGTCTCAAGTTTAGTCGACTGACTAGCAAAAAACTATAATAAAAGACGACGCAGAGAGGTTGCATGTTTACTACGATATGTACTTGAGCGTTTGGTAAAGCGCGACTGAAATAAAGTGTTCTTGTGAGGCTTACGTATAGGGATACTGCAAACAATAACTTCTCTTCTTATTTACGAAGGACATAATTAAAGTATCGGATTGAAAAACTTTATTAAAAATGTAAGATCTAGTGTAATCCTCCATATATTAGTAAGGTTTCGTCCAGTTTTCGTTGAAACAACTGCAGGTTCGCCAGGTTCTATTCGTTCAGTCTTGATTTTTGCAGTTGCTCGTGTTGTCGTCATTCCTGGTAGTTTGCTCGTTATTATTCTTGCTACTTTAGCGTAATGATGTTGCAACTTGAAACCATATCATAGGACGTGTCATTTTAGCTTCTATTTGATGATCTTGATTCATTCTTTCGCACAGATGCCTTTTTGTATGTCATGTTGCCACGGATCTTGGCGCAGATACAGTAAAATCAAACTGCTATGATGTCGAACGTTTGGTTCGATCCTAGCTGGCGTCATTTTGGCACTGCAGATCCTCTTTAGTTGCTGATTTTATTGACCAGCTCAGGATTCCTTCCATGCCGATGCCCACAGGTCAACGACTGCTGTCCAATTCGCGCAAAAGACACGTGTCGTCTTTTTGTCTCGGTCGTTTTGTCCACCCACAATAGTTGATGTCAGAGTTTGTACACGATGACTTGCAGTTAATTCGCCCATGCAAGTTTTGAATGTATGTACCGCCTTTTGATGAGGATCTTGAGTGCAGATACCAGTATCCGTTTGGAGAGTACTTGTCGCCATAGCATCACCAGTAGATAGTAAATCTGCTCCTTCCCTAATATGTCGATTCGTCGTTTGAATGGATGTTGCTTGTCCTTGGACGCACGCTTGTTCGATGTCGTTGTCGCTGTCGTTGGTGTTGTTGTAATGATCAAGAACGTCAGATCAGAAAAAAAACCGTCAAAGAAATTTCGCATAAGGTGTATATGATCATGTGCTGCCAATAGACTGATCAAGCCAAAGACGGAATTCTGCCAATCCTCGATTCGAAACCAAGCCCAGGAAATCTGTTGCCACCAGTATCGGCATAACCACCATGACTGCTCGTCAGATTCATCCACCAATACCACAAGAGACGGCATGGTCAAGCCAAAGACGGGATTCTGCCAATCCTCGAATCGACACCAAGTAAGAGAGGTTGTTTGTACTCGGCTAGCCTCGAAATCTGACGCCACCTGTAGCAGCATAGTCATCATGACTTTCCGTCAGATTCATCCATCAAAACCACGTGAAATGGCATGATCAAGCCAAAGACGGGATTCTGTCAGTCCTCGATTCGAAACCAAACCCTGGAACTCTGACGCCACCTGTAGCAGCACAATCATCATGATTCATCCACCAACACCACACAAGACGATGTGATCAAGCCAAAGACGGGATTCTCCCAACACCCCGAATTTTTTACTCGGCTAGCCTGGAAAGCTGACACTTTCCATCGCGGCGTACTACACACACCGCTGGCCAAACACCCCAGCCCGGACACCCCAGCTTCAGAAATCCCCGAGGCAAAGGTGAAGGAAGGAGTTGGACTTACATGACGTGACACTGACTACAACCGGTGGGGGATCCAGGATATGGAAAGGGCGAGGATAACTCCGGTTGAGCGGGTGGCGGGGATTGGAGGAACAACATTGCTCTGGTACAGGTAGGACTTCTGCAGGAACACCATCCACATGAGCTGGAACTGACAGGAATGACAACCCCGGGAAAGGAATAAATTCCTAAGTTTCTAGGAGCCTTCTTCAAACCACATCCGAGGTGAATGCAGTATGAAGAAGGTAACAAGGAAAGGAAAAAGCTTATATCAGTTAGTAAGCCTCTTCTTATAAAGATGGTTGTAGGTATTAAAGAAAGCATAGTACGTACCGTAATTATACAAGCTCGATTGGGTTGTCATTTGCTGTCAAGAATCGCCGCTGTACATGTGACTCGATGGTATATTCCCGCTGCCTACACAACCAGAGCGTTGTTCCCCTCCCCACCACCGGCTCCACCATCATCGCTATCCCCATGTGCCCCTCCATATCCCTTCAACCCCCGGTGGCTGCAGCAGTGCCGCCGCCACTGCCAACTCAATCCTGCCTTTACCTCAAAGAAACATCCACTGAGATGACCGGACCGCTCCCCAACGCCTGACGAAGGCGGAAACCGCCAGACACCACCGAACAACAGAGTACGCTCTACTTGAAACGAGATGATAATATTATTGGTTAGTATTCTATGCAGATCAAGCAAATAGGGCTCAACACAAGATCGAATATTTACCCCAGCAGAACGCACGCAAACAGACACCGGAAAACAAGAAGAAAAAAAGCGGAGCAAATGGAGACGACGGCAGTAACGGCGGAAAGTGATGGACAGCACCAGGAAAAAGGGACGAAGACAGCATAAGTGGCATAGGTGGCATAGGTGGGCATAGGTGGGCATAGGTGGCATAGTGCGCGGAATTCGTCCTTCGCGGCTTTCTCTTCGTCGTACGTTTGCGCGGCATCGACCTTCGCGGCTTCGGCGTCGTACTTGTGCGCGGAATGCGTCGTCCTTCGCGGCTTTCTCATCGTCGTACTTTGCGCGGCACCTCCCTCGCGGCTTCGTCGTCGTACTTGTGCGCGGAATGCGTCGTCCTTCGCGGCTTTCTCGTCGTCGTACTTTGCGCGGCACCTCCCTCGCGGCTTCGGCGTCGTACTTGTGCGCGGAATGCGTCGTCCTTCGCGGCTTTCTCATCGTCGTACTTTGCGCGGCACCTCCCTCGCGGCTTCGGCGTCGTACTTGTGCGCGGAATGCGTCGTCCTTCGCGGCTTTCTCATCGTCGTACTTTGCGCGGCACCTCCCTCGCGGCTTCGTCGTCGTACTTGTGCGCGGAATGCGTCGTCCTTCGCGGCTTTCTCGTCGTCGTACTTTTTTTTTGTTCACGCGCGCTCTGTGGCAGCACCTAGCTCCTGATCATCGTCAGATCGAGGAGGTGGCGGGAAGGGACGCGGCGAGGAATCGGGGCAGAGGTACGGTAGGACGGACTTGAGCGAGAATGTGATGGGAGGCAACGGATGGAAGTGGTTGACGAGCTTCCACAAGACAAAAGTAACGAAAAGCACAACTGTGCAAGCCAGAAGAACAGCAATCTTAGCAACAAAGATCACATCGTAACGCGCATTCTCGTAACCCGGGACGGTGAAAATGATGACCATTGCACTGATAAAGCAGGCCCACAAGGGGTGGTACACTGCGAATCTCACAATAAAGGCAAGGGCAAAATTGACGAGAAGGAAAATGAGGGCAACAACGGTGCGGAAAGCGGCTAAACCGCATTGGTTCTTGCTCGGCATCGTCATGCTGGGGATGGTGAAGGTGGGCATCGTCATGCTGGGGATGGTGATGGTGGGCATCGTCATGCTTGAGAAGATTGACTTACTGCTTGTCTTGCGCGACTTGCTCTTGCGCGACTTGCTCTTGTGAGACTTGCTCTTGTGAGACTTGGAGGACTTGGTAGATTCGCTCATGTGGGACATGGTAACTTGAAAAACGCGGGTGAAGAAGAAAAAAAAAGGAAAAACGACTCTTTTTATGACCATGAGAGCAAAAACAATTCAAATCCCGCTGAACGCGTGACGTAACAACTTTTTTTTTGCTCGTTTTGAGCGTAGACAAGATACTCGTTAGGGAAAAAAAGTGAACAAGTAGAAGGGGCAATGAAGGACGAGTGCTATTGTTGTCATCGTTATATGGCGCTGCTATGGCGTCGCTTTATGCGTGGAATGTTTCACATACGGGTCTCCGCTTAGATCTTCCAGGCACCGTGTCAAGGTTTCTTGGCCAGTGCGTCAGCGAGAAGGGAACTTGGTGATTACATAATACGATGGTAACAGTAACTTTACAATAGAAACACCGCAAATGTTGTTAGCCACAAGTCAGGGTAGTTAAGATATGCACAGGCATCTGTTAGCAGCAACGATCGAATTATTACCACTGGACTTTTGAGATCTTGTGAGAATCGTCCGCTTCCACTTTTGAGTTATTCAAATTATCTTATAGGCCTGACGTATTTATATAAAACGTTCGAAGTCTATAAGGTATGCCAGTAGTTTTCACTGTTTTTAAAAAGAAATGCTTCCTTTGGTTCACGAATGTAGAGGAAACAAGGAGCTGAAGGCGAAGAGGAAAGGGTGGGCATATTGGAACGTATAATGTAACGGCTACATATGTAATACTTGCTATCTAGATGTCTTGTCGTGAGATTGTATAAGAGTCATGCAACGAATTCCTTTCCTCCCGATCGAAATTAGCACATGGTAGAGACAAAGCGCAGTAAATTGGTAGTCAGAAGCTTCTTATACCATGATATGTCGATATATAATCCGGGAAGTCCTGTCGCTAAGGCATCCTACTTAATAGACTGATACTACTGTCATTTTGATCCGGAAATTCAACGGCGGAATTCTATATGAAGAATAACGCTGTGGAAGAGAGCTATTAAGTATGGATCAGTGCCTATATGTGAAATAATAACACAAACGCTGGAAGACAAGCGTGACGACATTTTGGAAATGTGTAGATGATGCATGTACGTTTAAGCTACGCAGCTTTGGTGTGAGTGTTGCAAAATAACTGAGATTTCTTAGCGTGCTTCAACATTTATTCATCCAAAGTACACCACAGGCTGCTACTCCGTGCCCTTCAGAGCGTTGTGCATATATTTTTAGTAATCTACCAGCCTAAAGTCATCTTTTGGTGCAGTCCTCAAGACACTTTCATGATTAGACGTAGTATGCTGTCCACGTAATATGTACAGCAGCACGTTCATCATGCTGCTAGCCATTGCAAGAAGTCTGTATTCTATTATACGGTACTCTTGCGATGTAATTATATACTCCCATTCTCATTTTCTGAGCAAGTGGTAGATATGGTAGGAATCATTCTCTTGCTTTGTTACATAGAAAGCATGGTAGTATTGATTGCGTGAGAAACATATTGATCATCATCGTTCTGAGATATGTCGTTTCACTGGATTCTTAGGGGAAAATCATAACCATACAAATCGCCCTCTTACAGTGATATCATAGCTCCATTTCTAATGTCACCTCTTATGAAGGCTACTCTGACTACTACTTCACATCCAAACATCTTTGTACAAAGTGTAGTTTTATGGCTCATTATGTATAACGATGTAGCCCAGGATAACTGCTTTGCAATTTATAATGTCAAAGTATTGTGAGATATACAGAAGAAGAGTTGCGTTGCAGGTACCTTACTTGAAAATATAGCCACACTTTAGCTCCTAATCCTTTCGCTTTCATTTAACATCAGTATTGACATACTACATACATGGTGAGCCTTTGACAGTCGTTCTTCGGAAACTCACATATGGTTACAAACACTGATTTTCTTTTCGTTGAAAAAAACATCATTTATGTTTGTACCGAATTTAGAGCTTTATTTGTAATTATATATATATATATATATATATATATATGCATTTCTAATCTAGGTGATGTTTTGACTTGAGTACTTATAAAAAGAGTCGTTTAGTCCTGCAGCTGTTAGTAAATTCACGTCCTAAGTAATGATAGCCCCCTGTTCTTTTTTGTTTTTTTTTTGCTTGTTTTTTTAAAGATCTATACAAAAGTACTAGTACAGGCACTTCGCTGCTTGGTTCTGCCTTTCTGTCTTGATGTGTTGTCGATTTTTCAGTACCCATATTGCCGTCAGTTTGTCTGTTGTTTTTTTTTGAGCCACGAACCGTATTTTCGCATTTCCTAGTTGATCATCTTGACTTCGCTCTTTTGCATAGACGGCGTTGTCCTGAGTTGCGACTTGAAAGTTGATCTCCTATGCTTCGAATCTATGTCTTGCACTGATGATTGTTGAGGTTATTTTGGCGATGGAAATAGTCTTAGACCTAAACAGATGAACGTCAAAGAGCTTTTTATGTTAGATAGTGACGATTAGATGAAATTTGAGCACCTGTTGCTGTTTTCTGTTTGTACGTACTGTCAATATTACCAATCCCTTCGCTCGTCCTGTGGAGTTTAACTTGATGGCGTGTTTGTGTTTGCCATGGCTTGACGTTGTTTTTGTGTATGATGTGGATAATAGAATTGGCTGTTCTGCGTGTTGATTTCTCTTTGTTTTGTTGATGGTTCCTGAATATGCTTGTATAACATATCTGTCAAGACTTGTTTTAACGCTGCTGTTGTGCGTGTGATATGAATAAGCCCATTCGATGATACGACTGATGTCCTCTTTTGTGTGCCTTCTTGGCCTCGTGCTCCATCAAACGTCAGTGACGCCTTTTCGTTTCTCGACATTGGCTTTTGCTTCTTCCATTGCCTTGAGCTTCGCGTTTTGTGTTACAGACTTGGTTTTGCTGATTACTGTATATTTTTCTAAACTTATACTAACACTACTTTTTTTTTCTGCTCTCTTTTTTTCGATTTCTTGCTTTTTTTGGGGGGCCATCATTACATAGAAAATAACTTACTAGCAATCTGTCAGACAAAGAATAGGTGTAAATTTTGGCGGATCTTGATTTGTGGAGAGAGGCCTTCACTAATAAAGAAGATAGAGTAAAATCACAGTGAGCACAAGTGTTCACAAAAGTAATGAGCATAAAGTGCGTTGATTTTCCTTACCACGATACTACTATACGTGCTTGTTCTCCTTTTTGATTTGCACTATCATTCACGACTGGAATAGAGACTGCCACCATCTCTCTCTAGTGATGTTTCTTGTTGCTGCCAACGCATGACAAGGAAAGGATGATAACAAGTGTCCTTCCTTGTCTGCATCGTGCCCGACTAGATCAGTCGCTGTTTTCACTATTAGATTTATTTGAGCTTGATAAGTATGTATTCCCAGTGGTACTAATTGCATCATATTTCTGTTTCAGCCTCACATCATCGACATTCAGATTACCTGTGTAGTTCTCCTACTAATGATTGTATTGCTGCCGTAAACCAATGAGTATGCTTGGAAGTCCATAGTGTGTAGATCTTGAGCACATGTCTTGTCTTGTTCTTCTGTGCGTCAAGAGACTTTGATTGTTTCCCTCGTCGTGTAGTGTTTTTCGGATGCGCTTTAAAGCCACTGCTTGCTTGTTGTTGTATATATGACAGTTGTATATGGATGACGTGCCAGCTTCGTTCCGCCATCGAAGGTATCATAGTGCCGTCGTGTCGTTCGATCAATCACTTGCTGATACTGTCCTTAGAGACAATGTCTTGATTGATGCCCTTGGGCATTTTTTTTTGTTTTTGCTGCCACTGCCTGCTGCTTGTTCATTTGCCACCGCGTGACATAGACCACCATAGCAGAAGCGAAACTGGCTTGTTCAAAAAGCTCTGAGCATTGTTGTCCGTGATATCCCTGCTGCACATGCCGATGCTTTTTATGAATCTTCATCGCCGACTTTTTGTGCCACCTTTGCCGCCTTGTCTACTAAGAGAAGATGTATATAAGTATCATTCCCTGAAGTATTGGCCTGATCAAATAGTCACGTACTGTACACTTACTATTATTTTGTATGACATCCACTAAACGGTCGTGTGAAATGTTGTCAGTTTCACCCAAATCTTGCTGATGGTTTTGCCTTTTGCTGTCATTGCTTTGGTGCGATTCATGTCGCTCGCGTTTGTTGTCAATTCTGCCTTTTTATAGCTCGCAACTATTGATGAAAGCTTTGGTTTTGTTGTCATTTCGAATGTGTCGTCAACTTTGTTTTTGTGTCTTTTTAGTTAGTTGTCCTTGCTTTTGTTGTCAATTACGGCTCCCTGTAGGTTTGTCACCATTTCCGCCCTTGCTGCCGCTTGATTTGTGCTGTCACACAGTGAAGATCGGATTGACCCTGTGTTGCCGCCTAAATTGTTGATGCCATGAGTATTCCCGCCGTATATGTGTGTAATGACTCTGGTTCGCCAAGATAACGTCATATCATATCGTGCATTGCCTAGCTCTCGTAATTCCTTGGCGCTTTTGCTTCTTGTGTGTGATTGCCGCCACATCGGTAGCCACAGGTTATCTGCCAACAATCAGTATTGTTCTTGGTTTGATTGATGGTTGTTGCTCTCTGTTGTTTTCGTTGTCATAAGCAGGGATAAATAAAAGTTGCCATCGTTGACCAGCTTGACAAGCTATCATTCGTGCTGTTGCCGACTTCCAAGTTCATGTCCTATGCTTCCAATAGCCACCATATCAAAAGATGTCGCCTCGAATGGCATTGTTTTGTTGCCACCTTATTGATTTCCGACGGACCGAAATAATTGCCATATTCCATTGTTGCCGATTTTTTTGACCAGCTCAGAATTCCTTCCATGCCGATGTCCACAGGTCAACGACTGCTGTCCGATTCGCGCAAAAGACACGTGTCGTCTTTTTGTCTCGGTCGTTTTGTCCACCCACAATAGTTGATGTCAGAGTTTGTACACGATGACTTGCAGTTAATTCGCCCATGCAAGTGTTGAATGCTTGTACTGCCTTTTGATGAGGATCTTGAGTGCAGATATCCGCATCCGTT